ACCTGGGGGCTTAGCACAGTAGTCTAGAGGCTACAATCCTTGCCTTGCAAGTGCTAGTATCCCATATGAGCACTGGTTCATGTCCCGGCAGCCCTGCTTCCCATCCAGCTCCCTGCTTGTGGCCTGGCAAAGCAGTCGAGGACAGTCCAAAGTTCTGGGACCCTGCACCTGTGTAGGAGACCCAGAAGAGGCTCTGGGTTCCTGGCTTTGGACTGGCTCAGCTCCAGGCATGCAGCCGCATGGGGCGGGCACAATGAATCAACACACAGAAGATCTTCCTCTCTGTCTCTCCTCCTCTCTGTATATCTGACTTTCCAATAAAAATAAATAAATCTTAAACAAAAAATACTTTCTCTTTAAATCACTGACTCATAGATCATACAGCAGCATCATTTTCTTCAAAAATATTATTGATTTTTTTTATTTCCTCAGCAACATATTAGTCACTCGGTAGCATTTATGTCACTTCTTTTTTTCCTCCTGTTGATTCTGTTTTGTGGCTTTTCATTTAAGGGGATATATAGTAACTGTGTAATGGAAACTATTATATCTAGCAGCATGTTATTTAACTTCATGGTGTTGTAAATTTCTATTTTTCTTCCTGTTGTTGATTTTGTATTGTGGTGTTTCATTTAAGGGGATGTATAATAACTGTGTAATGGAGACTAACATATCCAGATGTGAGGATACAATGCAGTATGCATCTCTACTTCCAGATCAAAGATGGACTCCCAATGAAACTGTTCACTATATCTTGACAATAGGATGCTGGACTCTCTGCCATTGTCCATGCCCACAATGATGGACATATGATTGTTTATGAAGAACTATACTATAGTAATAATATAGGGGAACTCAGTGAGAGGGGGACTTGGGGAGGGAGGGAGGGAAAACCCAGGGCCTATGGAACTGTATCATAAAATGATAATAATAATTTAAAAAATTTAAAAAGAGCTTTTTGATGAATAGGGTTTCTTTCTATTTAATGATCAGATCAAATAATTGATTTTCTCTGACCCTTAATACATTGTAACAAACATTCAAAAAAAAGAAGAGTGATGATAAGGGGCTAGGGGACAGGGTATACAGATGTACAGATGCTACCTTGGATAATGAAAATGTTCTTGACATGGGTGATGAGTACAACTCTGTGGATGTCCTTACAACTGTTGAACTGTACAGTTAAAATGGTACAATTTTAATGTACAGTTAAATAGTCCTTTCCTTACTGACATTGAATCACATAGCATCATTTGCTCCAAGAAGTTTTCTGATTTTTCTTTTTCATTTCTTCAGCAACATCTTAACCATTCAGTAGTATGTTATTTAATTTCATGTTGTTATAAATTTTCTACTTTTTTTGTTTTATGGCTTTTCATTTAAGGAGACGTACAGTAACTATGTAATAGAGATTATCACATTCAAGATATGAAGATACAATGCAGTATATATCTCAACTTTCAAATCAAAGATTAACTCCCAATGACAATAGGATGGTGGACTCTGCCATTGTCCAAGCCTGCAATGTCAGGATACAGTTAAATAGCAGAATGATGGATGACTGATTATGAAGGACTATACTACTCTAATGACATAGAGGAAATCAGTGGGGGGATGAAGATTAGGGGAGGGGAGAAAGGAAATCCCAGAGTCTATGGAACTGTATCATAAAATAATAAAATAAATAAATTTGATATTAAATAAATACATTTTTTAAAGGTTAAAGTGTTACATTTCTAGTATGTCTGTGTATGCACGCTGGGGGGAAAGGACAGGAGAGAGAAAGAGACACTAAGAGATCTACTGACTTACTCCCAAATGCCCACAACAGTCAGAGCTAGGCCACAGTAGGAGTTGGGAGATGGTATCTCAGGCCCTTGGGCGGGTACCAGGGACCCAACGACTCGTGCCATCACTGCTGCCTCCCAGGGCCTGCATGAGCAGGAAGCTCAAGTCATCAGTTCGAATCGGGCATCCAACCCAGGTGCGCCGGTAGGCAATACAGGTGTTAAGCCAGGCCCAGACGACACATCTTCTATCACAAATGTTTCAAATATACAGAACGACATTCCTTTTAAGGAAACATGAGTAAGGTAATTTTTTTTTAAGATTTATTTTTATTGGAAAGGCAGATATACAGAGAGGAGGAGAGACAGACAGGAAGAGCTTCCGTCTGTGGATTCACTCCCCAGGAAGCCTCAAATGCCTGGAGCTGCACTGATCCAAAGCCAGGAACCCAGAGCCTCTTCTGGGTCTCCTACACAGGTGCAAGATCCCAAAGCTTTGGGCCGTCCTCACCTGCTTTCCCAGGCCACAAACAGGGAGCTGGTTGGGAAGCAGGGCTGGTTGGGAAGCAGGGCTGCTGGGATTAGAATGGGTGCCCATATGAGATACCAGCGCATTCAAAGCGAGGATTTTAGCCACTAGGCTACCGCGCTGGGCCCTGTAATATATTTTTTTAAGAGATTTTTAAATTTTTTATTGGAAAAGCAGTTACATACAGAAGGAGAAGACAGAGAAAGATCTTCTGTCCAGGGACCAGTGGCATGGCCTAGCAGCTAAAGTCCTCGTCTTGTATGCGCCAGGATCCCATATGGGCACCGGTTCTAATCTCAGCAGCTCCACTTCCCATCCAGCTTCCTGCTTGTGGCCTGGGAAAGCAGTAGAGGGTGGCCCAAAGCTTTGGGACCCTGCACCCACATGGGAGACCTGGAAGGGGTTCCTGGTTCCCAGCTTGGGATCAGTGTAGCACTGGCCACTGTGGTCACTTGGGGAGTGAGTCATTGGATGGAAGATCTTCCTGTCTCTCTTCCTCTTTGTATATCTGCCTTTCCAATAAAAAATAAACAAATCTTTATTAAAAAAGTCTTCTGTCTAGTGGTTCACTCACCAAGTAGCCCCAACAGCTGGATCTGAGCCAATCCGAAGCTAGGAGCCAGGAGCTACTTCTTGGTCTTCCACAGGGTAGAGTGTCCCAAAGCCTTGGACCACCCTCTACTGCTTTCCCAGACCACAAGCAGAAAGCCAGATAGGAAGTGGAGCAGCCAAGACAGAACCGGCACCCATATGGAATCCTGGTAGCATGAAAGGCAAAGATTTACCCACTGAGCCATTGAGCCAGGCCCATGAGCAAGGTAATTTTCAGAATATGATGATTAAGCCAACCTTTACATGAGAAGCCAAAAGATAATGACCATCAGGAGCTAACTTCTTTTCTTTTGCTTTTTCTTTCTTCCTTCCAATCTTCTTTTTTTCTTTCTTTTTTTGAGAATTGTTATTCATTTCTTGGAAAGACAAATTAACTGGAGAAAGATCTTCCATCTGCTGGTTCATTCCCTAAGTAGCCACAATGGCCAGAGCTTAGCTGATCTGAAGCCAGGAGCCGGACGCTTCTTCCAGGCACCCTCGTGGGTGCAGAGTCCCAAGGCTTTGGGCTGTCCTCTACTACATTCCCATGCCACAAGCAGGAAGCTGGATTGGAAGCGGAGCAGCCAGGACACAAACTGGTACCCATATGAGATCCCGGTGCTTACAAGATGAGGACTTAGCCATTGAGTCATCACACTATCAGGAATTTTCTAAGGGTGACAGACCCATGCTGATCAGCACCAGTGACCCCAGCCGGCCAGGAGTGACTGCGAGCAAATGGAGCCATTCACAGTCACGATGCCTCATTATGTGACAACCTATTAGGACTGTTACAGGCCTCATGTATTCAGGATTCAGCCATTATACCTACTGGGGTAAATTAGAACTCCAATTGTCACTGAACTATCAACCACGACAATGGAGTGTTCAATTAAGGCTCCCTTTGGCTTAAGCATCTTGTGTGGAACACTTTTTTAGCGTATAGGTGATGGGGCCATAGGATCAGGTAAATTAATGAACACCTGTGTGCCCAAAATTCCTTTTCTATGAAACCTCTTAATACTACTTTTTGCTCTCCAAACATAAATCCATACTTACATTTATATGGCATATGCTCTAAAACCTTTTTCAGAATTCCAAATAAATGAATGGCTGAGCAACTAAGCAGTTAATCTGATTAAAGAATAAGTTGAGGAGAAAAGCTGGACTAAAGCAAGTGATTTGGCCTGGTCACTCGGCTGTGATGTTTATTTTATCCAAATAAACTTTGACTTAACTTTCTTTTCATTTTGTGCCTCGCTTCAGGCTAGGCCAGATGATTTCAAAGAATCAGGAGGATTTATCTAGATAAGGCAGGAGTAGATAAGTAATGTGGCTTAAAGTTCTGGCCATGAACATGATACGGCCTTCGAAGTTCATTTTAAACTTACTGGAAGGTTATTTTTAATAAGGTAACAACTAACATAAAGTCTGATCTACATTAGACCCTGGGCCCAGGATATTACTGAGAAAATTGGGAAAATATAGTCTGTAGATGAGATGGTCTATGTTAATGTCCTGATTTTATAACCATACTACAGTCACGTAAGAGAATATCCTTGCTTTTACAAATACATACTTCAGAATTTGGAATATGAGAAACATCTTTTTAATTAAATCTGGAGCAAATAATCTAGAAAAAGTTATAAATGTGTATATATACATTTATATATTATACACACACATATGTATAATGAACACAGAACTGGATAAAATAACTATAGGGGAATCTGAGGTATGTACAAGCCTTCTATACTAGTCTAACTTTCCTGCGGGTAGGAAACAATTTTAAAACCAATTCACACACAACAAAATTTAAAGCTACATTCACAGTGATTCTATGATCTAAAACCAAGCCAAATGCGTATGTTATTATAATTGTATATTTAATTAATTTTAATGTCATGTTCGGAACATTATTAACCAGGACAACAACAGTATGTGCGTTTCAGCAGATCATACAATCATTAAGTGTCAAGGTCAGAAGGGAAGTACAAGTCCAAACAACTGGAAGGAACATCCCCGCTTCCCAGGGCAATGCCGTCAACAACAGAGTAAGGCTGCGGGCAAGCAGTGCAGAGAGCACGTGGTACCTGGAGCCGCTGCTGATCTCCACCCAGCCTAGCTTCCACGACACATGCAGCAGGAGTCCACCGATGAACGTCTGCCACCTGGAAAAGGACAAGCACAGATGTGAAGGCCGCAGGGCGCTGCAGGACCCCGGCTGCCCTGTCCACTACACAGACACAGCCAGGCCTTCTTCGGCTTGCTTCGTCCACTCTGTCCCAGGAACCACCCCGTTCCTCACACCGCTCCTTCACCACCTCGACCTTGCCCCTGAGTTTAGCTGTGCCCAAAGTGCTGCCATTCATGTTCGCTTTTTAAACTGGATTTTTCCTGAACTGTCTCACCCATGGCCACTGCTTTTCACACTGCCCCTCTACTGACCACCTTCAAATCCATGTCCTCACACAGGTACCACCACTCTGGAAACTGCCGGTTCCCAGTGAAAACAACACCTTTATCCTCTTTATCCAGTTGATTCTCCTACTATATCTTATCAGTCAAGTCCAATGGCATCCTCATCTGGTTGGTTAAACACTGGTGATGTTATTGACTGCCCAGCATCTACACACAAAACCTTTGCCTCCATTTGGTCAGCCTCAATTTGGGCTCCCAATACCACATCCCTGGCCCACAGCATTAGCCCTTTAACTGGTCCCCTGCTCCTGGGGCTGTTCTCTACCACCCATTCACCTTGCTATCCAAAGGATTCTTTTCCAAGCTGCACATTGAACTGTGCCACTCAACATGTTCCAACACAGCCGAGGAGTGGGCACTGGCCTAGCCACGCAGACACCAGCTGTAACGCCTGGGTTCACGTCATAGCTGTGCTACAGGTGGCAACCTCCAGCTATGTGTACCCTAGAAGGCAGCAGGTGATGGTAAGGACTCAGGTCTGCCACCCTTGTGGGAGACCCAGACCAAGTTTTTGCCTCCCAGTTTCAGCCCTGCCCAGCTACAGCCATTGAGGATATTTGGGAAATAAATCAGCACCTGGGAGACATCTCTCTAAATATATAATTTAATTAATTTTTAAAAATTTAATTATTCTTCCCTGTGGAACAGGCAGCATCCCTCAGCCTCTTCTGTGCCAGAACAGACTTGGGGTGTCATAAGACTCCCTTTGGGGTACAGGGTTCAGGGCACATCACTGATTACAACAGCTCTCCCTCTCCCCCAGCAAAAGTCCATCAAAATGCCAAAGGAGAGGCAGTTGTTAACATAACTTTAACCTATCTCATTCCGGTAGCTTTTTCTTCTAGTGACTCATTCATGAGTGTAAAAACCCTCTATGTACTCATGAACACGTCATATGCTGCCACACCACAGCGCAGAAACCCTGGCCTATAGGACAAAGTCACTTGCAAGCAATACACAGGCTCTGGACAGCAGTGGAGGTTCCATCTGGCTGCCATTGGCAACCACGTTCCAGCCACTCAAAATAGCCTGCAGCCTGCCAGAGGCTGGCAGGTGCTGTTCTCAGCCCCTTAGCTCCTCCCAACTCATGGGTTGGGTTGGTGAAACGTACTGGGCTGGTAAAGCAAGGTGGCACCTCTCTCCTTGGGAAGTTCCACTTTCCTGGGCAAGCAGAGAGCACAACATGGGCCCACCATGCCTCACAGAGCCTAGACTGGACAGCCTGGCTAATTCTCCCATAAGGGGCAGTTGGCAGCACATGGATATCTTTGTGGAGAATGTCAGACTAGTGTCAGCCATTGCATACAAGTCAAAGATGACACTAAACATTCTACAAAGAGCAGGGCAGCGCCAACCCCATGCAAAAAAAAAAAAAAATGCAGGTTACAGAATGAGACTAAGGTTACACATTGAGACTAAGAATCTCCAGTCTAGTGAAAAGTAAGATAATTAACCACTAATCAGACTGCGATTAGATTCCAACAGGAACAGTACCCGTTATGACCTATCACCCAGGCAAGTACCACTCATCTCGCCTGGTGAGCTGGCATATCTACAGAAAGCGAGGAAGAACATACACTGGAAATGTGCTCAAGGAAGAAGACCCAGAAGAGATGAAGGCCCAGAGGTGAGAGAGACCAGAGCTTGCTGAAAGCTTCTCAAGAAGTTCAGACGTTCCGGCTCTTAGCAGCTGGGCAGGGAGGTGGCGAGAGCTGGCACTGAACAAAGAGGCTGGTCCTAGAGGCCAAGCCAATTGAGGAAAGCAGCTGGGACTTCGAACAGGGGACCCACTGTAGGGTCTTAGCAGGGGTGACCCTACTACATGGGGATGCTCTTTAGTCACAAGGAAGAGAACTTTTTTGAGAGAAACAAGAGCAAGGGTGAGGAAGCGAGTGGAAGGCATCAGCGGGGAAGGGGCTGTATGTTTGAAGATGGTGGACAGAATCCAAAGAGGTTCAGGAGCTCCCAGTGGCTAACAGGTGTTGGGGATGAAGAAGACCAGAAAAAATATCCCATGGATAACACCTATTTCCAGATGGACAACTGGAAGGAAGACACAAGGCTCAACTTTGCTTTCTTCAGAGTTCACCCCAAGAGTCTAGAAGGGCCTGGCACACAGACACACTGATGGAGTAAGGTGCTCTGCCCTACCATGCACTTCCCATGTGCCAGGCGGTTCCAGGCACTGTGAACACTCCAATGACAACGCAGATAAAGGGCACCTCCTGCCCCTGTGGGCGGGCCACCTCACAGGGAGCTGTGTGCTGTCTGACGTGTCCATCACATGAAGGAAAGCAGTCCAGGGTGCAATGTGGCCTTCTCCGTGGAAGCTCCCTACCTCTCTCCACCTGGCTTTTGGGCTGGCCCAGTCGTGGCTGTTGTGAGTGCTTGGGGAGTGATCCAGCAATATGAAAGATTTCTCTCTTTCTCTTTCTTTCTCTCTCTCTCTTTCTGCCTTTCAAACAAAAATGAAAATAAAATTTAAAATATATGTAATTAAGACAATTCCACACTAGCCTGTTTCCATAAAAATTGACAGGTAAGAACCCATATAGGCTTCAAAAAAAAAAATTAATGTTACCCAACTACATGATATGAACAACCCCAAGACCAAAGAGAGGAGTAAACCTTAGCTGGGTACTGGGGTATGGATGATGGCTTCACGGTGACTCTAGACCAAAATAAACTGATTATGACTAAAAATAGGGCAGGGCTTCAGTGAAACACAGACATCGACAGGACCTCGTGATAGGAAAGGAGAATCATAAACAGAAGGAATCACAAAGGAAATAATGAGTGTGCTTAATCACATCAAAATGAAACATTTAGTAATCAAAGGAATTATCAACAGAGTAGAAGGCAAATAACAAATTAGCAAGAAACATCTCCAATAAACCTGATGGATAAGTGGTAGACATCCTTACAATAAAAATTCTTCCTTAAGTTAGTAAGAATAATACTAACATCTCAGTGAAAATAAATGGGCAAAAGGCACAAAGAGGACAATTTACTGAATTAAAGGTGTGAGTAGATAATCAGAAAAAGGAAACTATCCAACTTTACTAATGATCTAAGAAATTATGAAACAAAAGGGGGCTGTTGTTGCAGCTTAGCAATTACAACTACCATGCGCAACTACCATGTCAGCATCCCATGTGGGTGCCAGTTCAAGTTGCAGCTCCTACTATGCTGCCTGCAGAAGCAGTGGAGGTGGGGCCTAAGTAGTTGGGACCCTGCACCCACATGGGAGACCCAGGAGAAACTCCTAGCTTCAGACAAGCCTGGATGGATAATGAACCAGTGGATGGGAGATATCTCTTCCCATCTGTCTCTCTGTAAAATTCTGCCTTTCAAATAAATAAATCTTAAAAAAAAAATCAAATACACCATACATGTCAAGTATGACTTCTCTAAAATCTGGATCAGATGTGCTTTGCATTTCAGATACTGGAATATTTGCACACAAATAAGGTTATCTTGGGGGATAAGCCTGAATCTAAATACAAACTTCATTTTTGTTTTATATCTACTATATACACATAGTCTGAAGGTAATTTTATGCAAAATGTGTAGCATGCCTGTATTTTTGCTCCAACCCAACATATAAGGTCTGTATAGGATTTTCCACTCATGGTGTGAGATCAGGACTCCAAAGGTTTGGGGCCTTGAGGGATTTTGGATTTTTATTTTGGATTATAGATACTTAACTTGTCCCATTTCTTGTTCATGAACTCAGCAGAGAGAAGAAAAGAACTAACCCTGGTATGAATACAATATTATAGAAACTTTCCAACATAGGCTCTGTAGCAATGCCAATGAGTCAAAAAACTTTTGGAAAATCTATTTGCTGATATTCAAGAATTCTTGAGAACTTCATGTTGTTTAATTGAAATTTATTATGTAGGACTCTATCCCAAGATGTAATTAAAAATTTGAACACAGGGCCCGGTGGCATGGTCTAGCAGCTAAAGTCCTTGCCTTGAACGCACGGGTATCCCATATGGGCGCCGATTCTAATCCTGGCATACCCACTTCCCATCCAGCTCCCTGCTTGTGGCCTGGGAAAGTAGTTGAGGACAGCCCAAGGCTTTGGGACCCTGCACCCGTGTGGGATACCCGGAAGAAGTTCCTGGATCCTGGCTTCAGATCGGCATAGCATTGGCTGTTGCGCTCACTTGGGGAGTGAATCATCGGATGGAAGATCTTCCTCTCTGTCTCTCCTCCTCCCTGTATATCTGACTTTCCAATAAATAAATAAATCTTAAAAAAAAAATTGAACATAAAAGTGTCTAACAGGGTCCGGTAAAGTGGCCTAGCAGCTGGGGTCCTTGCCTTGAATGTGCCCAGATCCCATATGGTCGCCAGTTCTGGTTCCAGTGGCCCTGCTTCCCATCCAGCTCCCTGCTTATGGCCAGGGAAAGCAGTCAAGGATGGCCCAATGCCTTGGGACCCTGCACCCATGTGGGAGACCTGGAGGAGGCTCCTGGCTCCTGGCTCCTGGCTTCGGATTGGCTCAGCTCCAACCGTGTGGCCGCTTAGGAGGTGAGTCGTCGGATGGATGGTCTTCCTCTCTGTCTCTCTTTCTCTCTGTATATCTGACTTTGCAATAAAAATAAATAAACCTTTTTTTAAAAAGTGTCTGACAACTTTCTTGCTTTTATGCCTCCAAAACTGAACAGGTGTTTAGTCCAGCAGTGAAACCATCAGTGGAGATGCCCACACCCTCTGCTGCAGTGCCTGGGTCAGCTTCCAGTTGTGGTTCCGGATTCTAGCTTCCCACCAATGAGGATCTTGGAGGCAGCAAGTGACAGCCGGAGGAACAATCCCTGTCCATGCAGACTGAGCTCTGTGCTCTGGGCCTTGCCTTGGCCCAGGCTTTAACAGTGAGGGCATTCTGGGAGTAAACCAGCAGGTAAGATTTCTCTCTCTCTCTCAGGCTCTCAAATAACAGTAATAATTAGAAGGAAACACAACCTAAATGCTCGATAATCGAATAGCAAAACAAATTACAATATGCGACTCTGACAACAAATCTATATGTTCTCGTTAAATGTATTCTGAATAATATTTTAATGCTGTTGATTGGACATTTCTATATGAAGAACATAAACAATACTCACCCTTGGAATAATGTAGGGTAGGTAAATTTCAAGACAGACAGGACATACTGAAAAACAAATACCAAATTAATCAACATTTCAAATGATGCAGAAGTGGGAGACCACACAATCAAGCAAATTCAAGTTTCAAAAAGGCCTTTATGTCCCACCAAAATGACACATTAGACAAACAAATGGCCTCTGAAGTCCTACTAAAGCATATGGGCTTCCCTCTCTGCAACGCCACCAGAGCCTGGCTCCTCTTGACTGCAGAGTGGTACTGGTGACGTCAGCACATCTGGAAGCTCGGCAGCAGGGCTGATGGCATCACCACTGGAACACTTCACATCTCCCCATACCCCAGCCTGCGACATCGCCACTGCAGCCTCTCCAGAGAAACCCAGCCCAGTGCCTGGACCCAGTCGATTAACCTACTGTCCAGCTTACCGAAAACTATAGCCCCTTCTCTATGTCTTCAAATGTCTTCCTTCTGTTCTCCTTTAATTTGTAGGATTTTGTATGGCTTTTGCATAAAAGGATCTGTTTTAAGCTAATTCCGCGTAGGTGTCATAAATGCTGCTGTATTTTAGCATTTTAAGGATTCTTTTTCAAATGTATAACATTTGATAAATATGGGAATCATGTTTTGTTATTGGAGGATCTTTTCCTGCCTTTTGAAAATTTTTTGAAAACTTGGAGCCAATGCTGTGGCTCAATAAACTAATCCTCCACCCTGTGGTGCCAGCATTCCATATGGGTGCCAGTTCATGTTTGGGCTGCTCCACTTCCCATCTAGCTCCCTGCTTATGGCCTGGGGAAGCAGTGGAAGAAGGTCCAAAGCTCGGGACCCTGTACCCACATGGAGATGTGCAAGCAGCTCCTGGCTCCTGGCTTTGGACTGGCTCAGCTCTGCCCATTGCAGTCATTTGGGGAGTGAACCAGTAGATGAAAGATCTTGGTCTGTCTGTCTTTCTCTCTCTTTCTCTCCCCTTCTCTCTGTAAATCTGATCTGCTTTTCCAATAAAAATAAATAAATCTTTTTTTAAAAAACGATTTAATACTTGAGGAATTTTTAAAAATCTAAAATCATTCCACGGCTTTAGGGCAACATACTACTGATTCTTCTCATGACCCCAAAACTGGAATGGGATGATGGTAATGTTTGCATCTCAATACCTTCCCAGGGATTAGCCATGCAGAATCCCCTCTATGGAAGCTCTTAAACACCCCAAGTATGGCTCCCTATGTATGCCTGACTGTGCTCCAATCTGAAAATCTACTAACAGAATGTGTCATGCTGCTGCCTCCTTTTCCCTGATATTTTTAGTCTAAAATGGAGAAAGAAAGAATTGAGTGAGCACCAGGGCCACACACCGTGTAGCATCGTTGCCCTTCATTATGGTACTTAACATTCATTGAATTTATTGTATATTTAACACTGTCCTACCCATTAGGGCAGATCATCACTTCTAAGGCTCTCACCTCACGTTGCTAAAGAGCAGAGGGAAAAGGGAATCTGTAAGAAACAGAATCTAAGTGCTAGAAATGTCTCCTTCTAGTAATTCTTCCACATGCCTGAGAAGCGAGGCTCACAGCAGAGCATGGCCTGGCAAAAAAGCAAACCCTCACAGCAAGGTTCTCCAGGTAAGGGGAAGACAGCCCCTCCGAAGCTTGTGAAACAAGAACGGGGCCAGCGCCGTGGCCTGGCACATTAAGCCACTGCCTGTAGCAATGGGATCCCAGAAGGGCGCAGGTTTGAGTCCTGGCAGCCCCACTTCCAAAACAGTTCCCTGCTAACATAACTGGGATAACAGAAGAATGGGTACAAGTGCTTAAGCCCCTGTATCCGTGTGGAAGACCTGGATGGAGCCCCTGGTTCCTAACTTGGGCCTGGTCCCTCCCTTACCATTGTGGCCATCTGGGAAGTGAACAGCAGATGGAAAGTCTCTTTCTGTCTTTCTCTTCTCTCTCCCTGCAACTTTCAAATAAATAAATTCTTAAAAAAAAAAAAAAAAAAAAAAAAAAACAGAGGTGGGTGGGAATGGCCTGGGAGGGAAACAATGGGCTCCTCCCTCTTGGGTTACCACTCCCACGGGAGGGCATGAAAACTAGGACAGGTGCTGCGGTGGCTAGATGGAGAGACACCCAATAACATCCGTGAGGGCTGGATAGTTGAGCTGGTTAGATGAAACTAGGCTTTAATACCCATTGACATGCATGAGGGCTGAATGGGATGTGGGACAGACTGGACTAGTCTGCTACACATATTGGCAAACCAGGGTAGAGGGCAGACCTGGTGGGGGTTATTGTGGGTCGCCCCGACTAGGCTGCAGCTCCCATTGGTTTATGTGAGGGCCGAGTGTGTGCTGGGCAGAATCAAGCTGAACTGCAATACCCATTGGTCCCAGTGGAAGTCGGGGCTGAAAATAGAACCAATCCAGCAATTGCAACCACCAGCTGATTGGGGCAATGGACTGTACCAGGCCCTGTACTTGCAAGTACACACAAGAATCTGGTCTGGGAACACCTCAGACAAAGTTTCTCTGGGGATCCCCCGAATCGAACTGCCAGACTCAGAACCCTAACCATGAAAAGACAGAGGACAGAACAAATCAATCAACCACCTCAGCTATATGTTGGCAGTGAAAAATTGGGCAAACAGAGACTGTATAATGGACTATGTCAATCAGTGGCTTCTTCAGCAACCTCATCGTGCTTGGAATGGCGAGACTGGCAGCAATTCATAACTGCTGAACTGTCAAAACCACTTGAACAAGACCCTCGGAGCATGCCCTACATCAGGGACCTGGGGTGGGTGGGAGCCTGGGTGGGGCTTCTCCCTTAAAATCCCCCTTTACGTCAGATATATGAAGGAAATAATATGGAACTAATAGTCTTACCCATTTTCCTGTAGCCCTTGAATCTTTTTACCCTAATTAACTATGTAAAGATTGTCAAAAATATAATAAAAATAGAAAAAAAAATAGAGGTGGGCTCAGTCTCTAGGGGGAACATTCCAGAGCTATGAGGGGCAAGACAGGGAGCTGCTTGGTCTTGGTCTCCAGTTTCTGCTGGAAGGAAGCAGGTGACAGAACAAGCCACTGACACATGGGAGACCTGGAATGAGTTCCTGGCTTTGTCCTGGCCCAGCCTCAGCTCACAGGTTAAGGCAGTACGTAGAATGCCAGCACCCAACATTGGACTGCCAGTTCTAGTACCAGCTGTTCCACTTCCAATCTAGCTGCCTGCTCATGCACCTGAGAAAGCAGCAGAAGATGGCTCAAGTATTTGGGCCGCTCACATAGGAGACCCAGATGGAGTTTCCGGCTCCTGGCTTTGGCCTGGTCCTATACTGAGTATTGCAGTCCTTTTGGAAATGAACCAATAGATGCAAGATCGATATATCTGTCTCTCCCTCCATCTGTCTATTTATTCTGCCTTTCAGAATAATGTAAATAAATAATTAAAATATAAATAATATAAATGGCTTTTTATACTTTTTTCCTAACCAATGCCATGGTTTGTGGACTTTCAGAAAAGATATGTTATTCTGCCCTTCTAATGATGGTAAGAAAATAAAAGAAAAATACCACCAATATATTTACTAGATTAGTAAGTCCAGTGGACATAATTTTAAAAGTCATGGTATTACAATGTTACAACCTCTGAGTAGGTGCTACTGAAACATAAAACTCCAGTGAGATACAAACACATCTGCTGAAAGCTAACAGTGACTGAGTCCTACATGAGCAAAAGATGGCCTTTGCTGCCTCTCTTTCTGCCAGGTTCCCCACCACTGACCCCTGTGGGACAGCTGTCACAGCAGTAGGCAGCAGGCCAACCACTTCCCAAGCATCAATTAATTCTCACCACCCTGTGAAGGGGACTTTCTTATTTCATCTTAAAAACTTACAAGAGATTGGGCTTGGCACCATAGCCTAGCAGCTAAAGTCCTTGCCAGCACTGGGATCTCATATGGGCGCTGGTTCTAATCCGGCGGCCCCGCTTCTCCATCCAGCTCCCTGCCTGTGGCCTGGGAAAGCAGTTGAGGACGGCCCAAAGCCTTGGGACCCTGCACCCTCATGGGAGACCTGGAGGAAGTTCCTGGCCATTGCGGTCACTAGGGGAGTGAATCATCACAATGAAGATCTTCCTCTTTGTCTCTCTTCCTCTCTGTATATCTGACTTTCCAATAAAAATAAATAAACCTTTTAAAAAAACTTACAAGAGATTAAGGTTGGGGCAGGCATTTTGGTCTAGCACATTAAGCCACTATTTGGGAAGTCCAAATCCCATACCAGCATGCTACGTGAATACCAGCTGCCCTGCGTCTGACCTAGCTTCCTGCTAATGATCCTGGGAAGGCAGTGGAAGATGGCCCAAGTACTTGGCTCCTGCCCTCCTCCACGTGGGAGAAACAGTATGGAATTCTGGGCTCCTGGTTTCAGCTTGGCCTAGTTCTGGTTGTTCTGGGCATTTGGGAAGTGAACCAGGGGATGGAAGATTTTTGTGTTTCACTGAAATAAAACTTTAAGGGGAAAAGAGAGAGAGAGAGATATTAAGTTCATCAAGGCTAAGTGGAGCCAGGATGCAAGCCAGCATTGGCTCCCAAAGGACTGCACTCGTGGGTCAACAAAGGGCCTGACCACAACTGGACCCAGCCCGCAGAGGCCAGGCAGGTGGGCAGCATCCTCTGGGCAGCATCCTCTGGCCAGCCTAAAGGTAGTTACCCTGAGAAACAAGGGTAAGGAAAAGCTGTTTGTGGATGTTCTTTTCCCAGAGAGAGAATGACAGGAAGGGAACACACAGAAAGAGAGCGGTACAGATCCTCAGGGGGAAAAGCTGGTGCTGCCCCCCTCCATCACCTGGGTGGGACCAGTCTGGAGCCCAGGCCAGCCACAAATGCCCCAGTCATACTCGTGGGTCCCAAACTAAGGCCAACTCAGCCCCCTCCTACCAAGACAAAACCCCACCTGACATTGGACATGTAAGGTGACACCGAAATCTCATTTTAAAAAATAATTTCAGGAAAAGCAGACGTAAAGTGCTGGGGATGCAGACATTAAGAAAACCACAGACGTGAGCATCAAGGGAGTTAGGGGGAAATGTAACAGACACCCCCAGCCTCTGCCCCCCAGGTAAGTGTTCTGGAATCTTGCAGAGCCAGCTGACCAGTCAGGCAGCCGCTGTCCAGAAAGGAAAGCAGGACACTTCTGCCGGCTTCCTGACCCCTCCTTTCCCGAAGCCACAGGAGCCGAATGGGTTCTTTCTGTTTTGGTTCAGTTGCCCTGGAAAGTGGTCGTCACCGCCCACTCTTAAGTCCTCAAGCCACAGGGGAGTCAAAACAATTAGTTTCCGGGGAGCTGTGCAGGGCGGGAATCGCGGAAGCTTGAGTCCCACACATCCTGTTCCAGAAGCGCTTCCCAAGAGTCGGTTTCTTCTCCAACCCCATCCAGAGTTTTCATAAAAAGGAGAAAAGGCTGGAGCGCCCACACCTCCTACGTGTCATCACCCCCTCCCGCCCGGCCTCACCTTGTTCGTGATGTAGGACGCCAGGTAGCAGCTACAATAGGTGAGGCCGACCAGGGACCTCCCCATGCACATCTGTGGACTCGTTCCCCGGCCCCGGAGACCGGCGAAGGCCGCCCGCCCGAGCCCCGAGACCCCCGAGCCCTGGGCTCCGGTAGGAGCCCGCACCCCGGGACCTCCACGTGTCCCCAGGAAAGGCCAATCAGCGTGGGGACCGCCCCCGGTCCTGCCGCCTTAAAGGGGCCACGCGGGCCAGGCAGGCAGGCTGCCTGCAGGGTTCCCCAGCCCTACTGGGCACTGCAGCCACAGGTAGCGAAGGATCAGCGGATAATCCTCCTGATAGAAAAGAGTGGCAGGTGGTAGAAGAGAAAGCAAGCAGATGGGAAACCATCTCACAACGCCCAATCCTCCTGTGTAGGTAAATATCTCTAGCTGTCTCTACGCAATAAGACTAACATGTGCTTTCCTCCAACTTACGCGCTGAGTCCAGTTTCATTGAACAGAAGACCCAGACACACTAAGGAAAGTAAATGATTTTTAAAAAGGCAGGGGGTGGGGGTAACTGGGAGGGGAAGTAACCAGGGTGACTGTACGCCTGTGTGTGATTCCAGGGGAGGTGAGATTTGTGCATGAGTGTAGAGTGTAGAGTTAGTGTAGAGTTTCCAGCCCAGCTCCTTTTGCTAGTCTTGGAGTGGGAAGCTGACCTCCTTAGGCTTCAGGCAAAAGTTGTGAACAAGCATTAAAGAATGCTGAAAGGCTCAAAGGCTTGGTGGGTGAGGACAGACCAGTGGTCCCCATCAGGTGCAAACAGACTTTTAAAATACCGGGCCACCTGCACTCGTTGGTCACAGCCCAGGTTCACAGTAGGACTCTCCCTCCCAGGACAGTGCCTGAGAACAGCTAGGCAGCATCTGGGTAACCTTCAGGTTCTCTCTACCCTCCAGCAGGAAGGAAGTTGACCTTGACTTTTCCATCCCAGGCTTGCATCATGCACTTGCTTTTCCTCGGGTCTTCCCTGGGGGCAGAGAGATGGCAGTGCAACTGTCACCCTCCCTGCCCTGACCCTAAATCTTCTAACTGATAGGGGTCTTTAGTTCTAAGTGAGCTAGAAATTTTGCAACCTGGCTATGTCATCTCATTTCCTTAACTGCTGGCTATATCCGCCTTCTCAGGATGTGCCTGTGTGCTCAGACACCCCCAACTCCGCCCCAGTTGTTTATCCAACCAAGGATTCCACAGTGACCATGTAGAAGACTAGCTTGGACAGCCCAGGGGAAGGCCAGTTTCAACAGCTTTAATGAGCTGACTTTGAAGAGTTTCAACTACAAGGAGTCATCACAAGAGGAAGATGGTGTCTTCACATCTATTGGCTGCAGGATAATTCTTTTTTTTTTTCAAGATTAAAAAAATTTTTTTAATGCAGTATAGAGAGAAGGAGACATGGAAAAACCTTCTGTCTGCTGATTTATACCCCAACTGGTCACAATAGCCAGGCTGAACTGATCCGAAGCAAGGAGCCAGGAACTTCTGCCGGAGTCCAACCCCAGCCGAGTTCAGAACTCGAGAAGGGTGTGTGGAGTAGGCGTAGAAGAGAAATGGACCACTACGATTTCATGATCATAGTGGACAAATGCAAGAAAGCTGTCCCCTTTATTCATACAGAAACCCTCACAAGGGCCCATGCTTTAAGTATGCTCTGGCGCAGACTTTTGACACCATGGCCTAGTGGGTATACCCAAGAATAATTCCTATTACAATTCTTATTCTGCAAATCAATCTTGTATCACAAAGTAAAGGAGAACCTAAAGATCAAGGAAAGAATGAAACCCTAAACACAGATCCCTTAAGTAGCATAAGGTTGAGGAGACAGCATGAATAATAAAAGGCCCTTTTCCAAATGTTGTTATTGATTGACATTAACCTCCAAGCTCACATTGATAGTGAAAAGCCAACTCCACAGCAGCAAACGATGCCTGAATGGATTAGAATTCTTCCACAGGGTGGTCTGGTGTCCATGCAAAGGAAGGCAGAGCTGCATTCAGGTGGCTGTAGAGACATCCACAGGACTCTGCCATGCCGCGGGAAATTCCTTGCAGCCCTGCCTGCAATGGAACAATACTCTTCAGACCTTCATGTCCCCCACATCCACTGCACAGACCCCAGCAAACTTCTTCCAGGCCTCTCATGCAGGTGCAAGGTTCCAAAGCTTTGGGCTGTCCTAGACTGCTTTTCCAGGCCACAAGCAGGGAATTGGATGGGAAGTGGAGCAGCAAGCACACGAGCTGCCCCCCTTATGGGATCTTGGTGTGTGCAATTAGAGGACTTAGCCACTGAGCCATTGCAGCAGGCCTGGCTAGGCATAATTCTGACAGTTGTGCAAAGGGTGGCCTTGAAAGGGTTTGGCTGTGAAACTCAACAGGCATTTCCTAGGGAACGGTGTCAGGGACACATCCTTGACATGTGTTAACACCTGCCATCTGCTTTCAAGTCTCAGCACAGATTGCTCCTAGTTGCCCTAAGGTGCCTCTGGGTCTTTAGCTCTGACCTCACTGCCCTCAGTTCTGAAGTCTTCTTTCTGAGATGTGGTGCTGATGGGGGCGGGAGGGGGAGCTGTGGAAAATGTGCAAGCTGAGCAGATGCAGGTCATTGCCAAGTTGAACAGCCACAGGTCATCCTCAATTAGGGCACCACCCCTAGCTTCATGAAATAGGAGAGGGCTTGTCCTGCCCCGGGCCACACCTGTAGGTATGCTTTTTATCTCTCTTGCATGCAACCCTCTGGCCCACTCATGATGGGCATTTCTTGACCTGGGATGAGTACCCACTCTCACACTTGAAGATATGTTTATTCTCTCACTGTTAATCCTAGTCTCACTTGTGTATTATATTTATGGATGCTTTTGCTTTGAATTCTTATCTTTGTGAGAGCAAGGACTTGGAATAAAGATTAATATACTTCCACAGCTGTAGGGAACAGCTTATGTTGCATGGTACCCAGGCAAGTGTTATATTGCTAGGAGAAAAGCAGCTAATAGCTGGCAGGCATCATGGGCCAGATTAATGCCAAATTTGTGTTAACTATACCAGTATGCCAACATAGTCACCTACTCTATTTTTTTTTTTAAGATATATGGGGGGCAGACTGTGTCTGAGGGCCCATGCTTTAAGTATGCTAGGAAGGTAGGGTCCCAGCTGGTACAGCACACCACCAGAAAACTGGGCACGGGGCGGGGGGGGGGGCTGTGGATTGTTCAGGGAAGCGGATCTGGAGGCGCGTGGAAGGGAGGACTGCTGAGGGAGAACATGACAGGTGAGGAGTGACATCTGGGGGACTTCCACCAACCTGGCTACTGCACTTGCAAGTAAACGAGGGGACTGATACTGGGTGGTTTAGAGGGAGAAACTGGAGGACCTTTTGGGGCCAAACCAATACACCTGCCCATGTGGGAGACCTGAGCTGAGATTGTTGGTATCAACCACTGCCTACCGGTGCACACGAAAGCCATGGCTGGGGAGTCCTGCTGGCAGGGCTTGATCACAGTACCCACCAGTGAGTGTTGGGGCAGAGAGTGGAACTTGTTAGGCTGGGCCATGACAGTAACCAGCTCACCAGAGAACTGGGCCTGGGGGCAAATTCTGTGGGGGATCATGGGCTCATCCCTGTACAACTGCTGTACCAGTTGGTTTGCTCAAAGGCTAGGGGGACAGGCTGAGCTAGGCATGACCATGGAACTCACCAATACTCATGGGTCCTGGGGTTGGGAACGGGCTGGGTTGGCCAGGCTGTAGCACTCACTGGCACACCCAAGAATTGGATGTATGGTGGGCCAGGCCGCAACATGCACAACACACAAAAGCTGACACTGTGGGGCAGACTGCTGGATAAGGGCCTAGCACTCTAGGCACGTGTGAGATCTAGGTCTGGGAGTAGGCCAGGTGGGGGAACGTGTGAAACTCCCCTGGTGAGCACATGAGTCAGGGATGGGTGTTGATCAGGCCGGGCAGGGCTGCTTCACTTGTTGGCAGGTGTGTGGGTTGACTCTATAGGTGGCAGACTGAGCAGAACCAGGCCAAACCAAAATTCACTTTTATGGGAGCCAGGATGGGGTACAGGCCATGCCGAGCTAGGCTAAGCTATCACACCTATCAGTTGCATGAAAGCCAGGGATGAGGGGCAAGCTGGGTAGGGCGAGGATGCAGCACCCCACCAGCGAGAGTTGGGACTGGGGAGTGGGCCAAGTCAGGTCAGGCTGTAGCATCTGAAGCAAAAAGCTGGGGGATGGGTTATGCCAAGCTGAGTTGGAGCAACCACCAATATTTTTTAAAAACTACCTATTAAATGCAAAAAGAAAAGAACATATATAAAGCAATATCTTGTGTGTTTTTGTTCCCACAAATCTCTTTCAACAATAAATTTTTGGTATATTATAAATGCAGAATTAATGTAAGATGACAGGTTACAGCAACGTATTTTTTGAAACTGCATAATCTCCCTTAGGAAATAGAGCATGAGACCTGAGTATGTAGCCTCGTGGTTCAGAGGACTGAGTGCCACATGGAATACCTGGTTTGGTTCTGTCTCCTGCTTCCAGTGTCTTGTCAGTGTGGACCCTGGGAGGTTTCAGGCGATGGCTCCAACAGCTAGGTTCTTGCCGCACGTGTGAAGATCTGATTTGTGTTCCTGGCCCTGGATCAGGATCTGTTCCAGTCCAATCTCTCTCCCTTCTACCCTCCCTCCCCAGCTGTTTCCCTATCTCTCTTTTAAATAAAAAAATAATAATAATTACATTTTTTTGCATCTCGTAAATATAGATACAAAAATCTTCATTGAAAGAATTCTCGAAGCTTACAGGGAAAGATACACCTAAATCAAGTGGGGTTATCACAGGCATGCAAAGTTGGCATGCAGAAAAAAAAATTAATTTCCCACTCCATATCCTACAATCAAAAACTACATTAACATTTCAGCGGATGTAGATAAGATATTTGACAAAACGCAATATCCTTTATGATAAAAACACTCAGATATCTAGGACTAGAAGGAAACTTTCTCAATGTGTTGACAGGTGTCTGTGAATAACCCACAGCTAACAACATCCATTACAGTGGAAGATAAGGCTTTCCTCTCTAGGATCAAGAATGTATGATGTAATTTCTATTCCACATTGTGTTGGATTTGTTAGCCAAGACACTAAAGCACAAAACTAAAATGCATCTGCATTTCAAAAGAAGAAAAAAAACAACTCTGCCACGTAAACCAAGATTTTGAATCTAGAGCGTCCTTGGGAATCCACTTCTATACTATTAGGATGAACAAAGAGCTGCATAATGCAAGACTAATGTTTAAGAATCAGTTATATGTCTGTATATGTGTAATGAACAAGCTGAGAATTAAGGAATAATTACATTTAAAATATTAAAAATAATATTTAAGATTAAATTCAGCAAGATAAATGCAAAATTGTTACTCTGAAAACTACAAAAAAAAAAAAAAGAACACCACAATAGGGAAAGCATCCCATGCTTATGGATTTTTTAACATAAACACTTTCAAAATTCTGGTGGGCTTCTCATTTTCTGCACAAACAATGTGACCCTAAAATTTATGCAGAATGGAGCCAGTGCCACAGCATAGTAGCTTAAGCCTACTGGGCAACAGAAGGATCTGATAAGTTAAAATAATGAAAGAAAAACAGAGGCTAAGTCTTTAGCAAAAGCTACACTCTAATTTCTACCTTACAATCATTTTTAAAAGGGCCCAGCGCAACAGCGTAGCAGCTAAAGCTCTCACCTTGAACATGCTGGGATCCCACATGGGCACCGGTTCTAATCCCAGCAGCCCCACTTTCCATCCAGCTCCCTGCCTGTGGCCTGGGAATGCAGTTGAGGATGGCTCAAAGCCTTGGAACCCACAGGGGAGACCCGGAAGAATCTCCTGGCTCCTGGTTTCAGGTCGGCTCAGCTTGGCCATTGTGGCCGCTTGGGGAGTGAATCATCGGACAGAATTATTCTGTATTTCCTCCTCTCTGTATATTCGCCTTTCCAATAAAAATAAATCTTAAAAAGAAAATCATTTTTTAAAGATATGACCCAGCAAATGGAGAAAAGCAAACAATTCTTTGTTAACAGAATTTGAAATTCTGTTAACAGAATTTCTGTTAACAGAAACAGAAATTCTTTGGTAACAGATCAGGGAATATCTTTGACCTAGTGGTGAAGATGCCACTTGGGCACACCATGTTGAAGTGCCTGAGTTAATCCTTGCTCCAGTTCCCATTCCAGCTGCCTGCCCATGCACACTCTAGGAGGCAAAGGTGATGGCTCAAGTACTTGGGTCCCTGCCACCTGCAAGGGAGACCTGGATCGGGTCCTGAGTCCCTGTCTTTGGCTTGGCCCAACTCCTAATTGAGCCTAAATCATATCCACAACATTGCACTCTAGTGTCTTTCTGGAAGTTTTCTGTTGTCACCACACACACTGTGCTTCATCTATTCTGTTCTGGCTGCTCTGCTTTCCATCCAGCTCCCTGCTTCTGGCCTGGAAGACCAGTCGAGGATGGCCCCCAAAGCCTTGGGTCCCTGCACCCACATGAGAGTCCTGGAGGAAGTTCCTAGCTCCTGGCTTCTGGCTGTTGATGTCACTTAGAGAGTGAACCAGTGGACAGAACATCTGTGTCTCCTTCTCTCTGTAGATCTGCTGTTTCAATAAAAATAAATGAAAGAAAAGAAAAAAACCCTTTCCCTGAGATCTCCAACCTGGTCTTTCACAAGCTTCCTGTTAAACCTTTGGTCTGGCTGTCAAGCCCCTTCCTTTTTTCAACACACCCTGTCTACTGCACCTCTTACATGGAAGAATAACATGTAGGGTCCAGTACAATGAATGGCTCAATGGCTCAATTCTGACCTTGCAAGCCCCAGGATCCTATATGGGCACTGGTTCAAGTCCTGGCTGCTCCACTTCTCATCCAGCTCCCTGCTAGTGGCCTGGAAAAACAGCAGATGGCCCAAAATTGTAGGACCCTGTACCCCCGTGGGAAATCAGGAAGAAGCTCCTGGCTTCTGGCTTCAAATCAACTCAGCTCTGGCCACTGTGGTCATCTGGGGTCTAACCTAGCAGATGAAGGATTTTTCTGTCTCCTACTCTCTGTATATCTTATCTGCCTTTCCAGTATAAATAAATAAAATTCTTTAAAAAAAAAAAGAGTGACATGTAATACTTAATTTTCATATTATCTTTTTTTAAGATTTTCCCTCCAACATCAACATTTTTATTATGCTGTCCGAGTTCTGCTCAACATTATATAATACAATGAGCAAATTTTTGCTTTCCAACCTTTGTCTCTAGTCAACCGCAATATCAAAATCCCGACAGCTTTCTTGAGTCTATTTGTCCTTTGCAAATCTGTTATTTTCTGTCTGCTAAACCATCCAGATTTAGAATTACGCCAGGAAATAATGAATGAACAGAGGGAGCCCGATTCATTCATTTCCAGTCCACGCAGAATAACCTGTTTCACCGTCTTTAGCTGCCGGGGAAGGAGGAACAGGAAGCCTAGCCGAGGGCAGGGCAGAGTCCCGAGCTGGAGGAAGCCACACCTACCCCTGCCCCGCCTGGACACAGTGACCACGGCCTCGAGCAGCCTCACCCCTGCTGACCAGCCGCACCTTGGCTGCCCCGCCGCCGGGCGCACAGCAGGCGGGGCGGGGCACGCCGCCTAGGGGTGGGACCAGGCGGAGGCAGCCAATAGGAAGCGAGTATCCCAGCGATGAGGGCGGAAGAGACGAGATCTAGTTCCGGACGCGGCGGCCACCGCCGCCATCTGTCACCTTAGCGCCGGCATCGGCACCCAGCCACATCTGTCTCCTCTCGGCAGAGCCTGCTTCCCACCCTGCCGCCTCTCTGCTCTGTTCTCGTCGCAGCCTTCTTCCATGGATCCTGTCGGAGTGGCATCGCCTGAGCCAGGGCCTGCAGCGGCCTGGGGCCCCAGCAAGGTGAGGAAAGGGGTGGTCGCGGCTTGGCGTACCTGTCTGGATGACCAGTGCTTTCCCAGAGAGGCAAGCCCTCTCAGGCTGTGAACCGCTCCCTGAGCAGACTGGACCCCAGCCCGGGAGGACGTGCGGCGGGGTGACGGGCCTCCCGTGGACACCCCCACCCCGGTCCCAGGGTTTGGTCTGTCTGTATTTCAGCACCTTGCTTACTGCTTTTCCGTTCATATATTGTAGCAGTCTTCGCTTTACAGACGTTGACAAGCACGGGCTTGTTTTGTCTTGAGCCAGATGAGTCAGCCCGACACACAGAAAGTTGGTTTGGGAAGCGGTTTGCTTGATGTGACAAGTGTGGCCGTGGCGGCGGTGCCTTCGCTTCTTGTTTTTGAAGGAGAGTAAAAGATAAAACCGCGGCGCTCCCACCCTCTCGCGGTCAGGTGCTCAGCACAGGCTGCGCCCTCCTTATCGTCCTTCAGCCCAATCGTGCTTTCCGTCGATGAGCGAACTGAAAACACTTGTTTCTAGCTGAATGCCTGGGTTCGGTGCTGCTGTTCCCCCACCTCCCCCGTACCTTCATTAGAAGAATGGAAAACTTCTGCCTCTGGGGAGTTTGTGATGGGGGCGAAACTGGCTATGAAGGGACCCAGCTCTTTTAGCTTCCTCGCTGTGCCTTGCATCCTAATAGAGAATACTGGCTCCACTTAAAAAGTTACCTATTCATCTTCAGGGGGTGGCCGAGGCACAGAAGGAAGCAAAGAGCTATGAAGTAAAAGAAAAACGGTTTTGTGAAAACTCTCATACAGTTTGTGGGGAGCATCTAAGATGGACAAACATGGTTACATCTGTGTATTTTTGGGGGGTGTGTGTGTGTATGTTTTTTTCCTGAGGCTTTGTTTACAACATCAAGATCAGACCGCATTGAATGAGAACACCAGTAGAGGAGATGAGTAAATGTATGCTCTATGTATTACACGCTTCCACTGATCCTCCACCATGACTGGCTAAAGAAAAAAAAAAAAAGGCCAGAGGAGGCATAGTTTATTCAGAATCCTCTCCTAACCTAAAGACGCATCTCACTTCGTAAAGTGTCAGTGATATGTGCTTCACACAAGTGTGACGTTTTGTGTTCAGTGTCAATGACAACAAGTGCTCCTGGGACGTTGCCAGGCACAACAGGAGAGTGTCCTGTCCCTCAGATGGGAGCTTGGGAAGACCCAAGTGTCACAGGAGCTTCTGGGCAGGAGGTGGAACTATTGGAAATTGTTACATGTTAACAGAAATAGCATGTTTCTATTAAAAAAAATTTCCAAAACAAAACATTAGTGAAGAGGATATTTGTTATTCGTTCTACGTTATTCGTTATTCGTGTTACAAACTTCTTGCACATGTTACTTAGAAGATTGCTGAATTCTCCCATCAGCTGTTTCCATCTTGTCTGTTGTGTTGGAGTAGACGTAGGAGGTGTAGTGAAACACCGAGAACAAACTTGAGTCCATCTGCAGACGCGGGTGTTGGTGGGCAGGTGTTTGGGGCGGTGACTAAGATGCTATGTGGGACTCCTGCATCCCCTGTTGGAGCGCTGCCTCGCCTTCAGAATCTAGGTCTGGCTGATGTGTACCCTGGGATGCAGCAGGTGTGATTCAAGCAGTTGAGTTGATGAGACCCAGGTGGGGTTCTGGGCTCCTGCCTGTGGCCTGGCCCAGCCCCAGCCACTGAGGGCGTTTGGAGTGTGAATCAGCGGTTGATAGGTCTCTTTGTGTCTGTCTGGCATTTGCTTTTCAAATGACAAAAATAGATAAACTTTTAAAAACTTGAAAATGATCTTTAAAAATTTTTGAATTCTAAACCTAATTCCTTAGAAAACATGAGTACACAGCCACTCACCCGCCATCCTCATGAGGGTGATGAGGTCAGCATCTGACACTCCATAGTACTTTTCTGCTTTTTTTTTTTTAAGAGGCACACCACCTCCTGGCTTTGTTTGCCTTTCCCTCTTCTTTCCCCACTCATCTGGTCCCTTCGCAAATAAGCTTCTCTGAAAAAGGCAGAGTTACATAGAGAGAAGGAGGGAAAGAGACAAAGGATCTTCCCATCCACTGGTTCACTCCCCAGTGACCACAACAGCAGGAGCTGGGCTGGTCAAGGGCCTGGAGCTTCCTCAGGGTCTCCCATGTGGAGGTAGGATTCCAAGCACTTGGGCCTCTTCCATTGCTTTCCCAAGTACGTTAGTAGGGAGCTGCAAAAGAAGTGGAACAGCCAGAAACTGAACCCAGTCTCTATGGGGCACTGACATTGTTAGTGGCGATTTGTCATGCTGTGTCATGATGGCAGCCCCACAAAGTACTTTTGGATATTATAGTTGTACTCATCCTAGTTAGAATTGAATAGAAGATGTATTCACTTCTCCAGTATCTGCAAATTTGAGGTTGATGTAACTAGTTTGGTTCTCATTAGATAGTTATTTCCAGGTTGTTTCATTATCAGTTGAACTCAATCGAACTACTTGCTACTCTCCGTTTAAACAGTGTCCATGGGCCACACCTCAAAATACAATGTCCTGTTCTTTGGCTGACGTCATGAGCGAACAGCTGGCTAAAGAACTGCAGTTGGAAGAAGAAGCTGCTGCTTTTCCTGAAGTTGCGTAAGTAAAATTTACAGCCTTTCATCTAGCAACTCGTCAGTCCAAAGTTTTAGGACTTGATTTGTGACTCTCCTGACAAATGATTTGCAAATATATTTAGAAACAGAAGGCAGTAGAAGGAATATCACAGGATGACTCCACTGATGTCGCAATTTTGATCCTCATCCTGTGTTCGTTTTCAATATTATCATGAACAAACCACTATTTCTCTTGACTTTGCTATTTCATGTTAATGCAGCATTGAAGTAGATAAGATACAGTTTTGTTTTGTTTTGTTTTTAAAGATTTATTTATTTTAATTGCAAAGTCAGATACACAGAAAGGAGGATAGGCAGAGAGGAAGATCTTCCGTCCGATGATTCACTCCCCAAGTGACCGCAATGGCCGGTGCTGCGCCGATCTGAATCCGGGAACCAAGAACCTCTCCCAGTTCTCCCACGCGGGTGCAGGGTCCCAAGGCCTTGGGCTGTCCTTGACTGCTTTCCCAGGCCACAAGCAGGGAGCTGGATGGGAAGTAGAGCTGCCGGGATTAGAACCGGTGGTGATATGGGATGCTGGCGCGTTCAAGGCGAGGACTTTAGCTGCTAGGCCACGCCGCCAGGCCCAAGGTACAGTTTTGATGACGTGTTTATAGCTTATCATTTGTGTAGCTGTTTGTGCCTCCTTGAGTAGACCACAGAACCACTGTATTTGGCGTGGCAGTTCAAGTTTAATGGTGGGCTCAAGCTCTCTTGCTACTCTAGAGGAGCCGTACCTTTGGCAGGAACCTAGCTGGGCAAGTAGAGGCAGATAGTTTGTAAACTTTCTTCCCAGTGATCAGTACAAGTTTGACATGCACAATGCACAGTGAACTCTCACTCGATAGCCTCCTTGTGCACACACACTGTATTTGTGTCACCCTATTTTGTATAGTGCTGCTGATGGACCATTTGTCTCTGGAGAAAATGTTGACACCTCCAGTGATCTAATGCTGGCCCAGATGCTACAGATGGAATTTGACAGGGAATATGATGCACAGCTGAGGCGTGAAGAAAAGAAATTCAATGGAGACAGCAAAGGTACTCTTAGCTCTTGTGACAACTCCTTTGGCTATAAGAAAGTGTGTGTTCTATGCCCCTAAATAAAGCATCAACCTTTTTTTTTTGCCTTTTAAGTTTCTATTTCTTTTGAAAATTATCGAAAAGTGCATCCTTATGAAGACAGTGACAGCTCTGAGGACGAGGTTGACTGGCAGGACACGCGTGATGATCCCTACAGACCAGGTATCTTGCTTGCGTCTCCTGGGCCGGGATGGAGGATTAGAAAGGCAAGCTTTTTCCAGGGAGCCTTTGTCATTTTCCACTCATCTTTGAATCATATATGGTAATTTACTCTCACTGGATTCAAGTGTCTTTTCATTGGATGCTACACTTTAGCCTTTGTTAATTTGATCTACTGTGTTTGTCTTGATTACCTTTAAGCAAAGCCAGTTCCCACTCCCAAAAAGGGCTTTATTGGAAAAGGAAAAGATATCACCACCAAACATGATGAAGTTGTGTGTGGGAGAAAGAACACAGCAAGAATGGAAAATGTAAGTTAAAGGAAGTATCTCTCTTGCAATTGAAACTTTAGTTTGAATAAATTTTAAAAACTAGATTCTAAATATAGTATCTTAAAAATACCTTTTTTCTTCCTTGCTAAAATGTTTTAGAGGATAAGATAGCAATGCCTTGAAAACTGATCCATTTATAACTCTAACTAAAACAATATATTCTTTTTTTGTAAAGATTTATTTTTATTATTTTTTTATTGGAAAGGCCAGATATACAGAGAGGAGAGACAGAGAGGAAGATCTTCCGTCCGATGATTCACTCCCCAAGTGAGCGCAATGGCCGATGCTATGCCGATCCGAAGAGCCAGGAGACTCTTCCAGGTCTCCCACGCGGGTGCAGGGTTCCAAAGCTTTGGGCTGTCCTCCACTGCTCTCCCGGGCCACAGGCAGGGAGCTGGAAGGGCAGCGGGGCTGCCGGGATAGAACCGGCGCCCATATGGGATCCCGGGCGTGCAAGGCGAGGACCTTAACCACTTGCGTCACCGCGCTGGGCCCCAATATATTCTTTAAAAATTATTTTTTTGAAAAAGAAAGTTGTACAGAAAGAGGAAAAAGAGGAGAGACAGAGAGGAATCTTCCATCAACTGATTCACACCCCACATGGCTGTGATAGCTGGAGCTGAGCCAATTTGGAGCCAGGGCTTAGGAATTTTTTTCCAATTCCTGTTTTCCACTTCTTTCCTGGGCACGTTAGCAGGGAGCTGGACTGACAGTGGAGCAGCTAGATGCCAGTTCCACAGACAGCAGCTTACCCATTGTGCCATGGCCCCAGTCCCAAAATAAAAACAAAAGAACTCAACGTGTGTATATTTAGAAATAGCTTTTTGCTTATTTGTTTGTTTGTTTTTACGATGTATTAACTTGCTTGAAAGGAGAGAGAGGTCACCTGCTGGTTCACTCCTCCAGTGGCAAAGCCAGTAGCTTCCTCTGCATCTCCACATGGGCCATCTTCTGCTGGTTCCGTAGTGTGTTAGGGGCTTGAACTGGCACCCAATGGGATGCTGGCACTGCCAGCATCAGTTTTACCCATTGTGCCACAGCATCAATTCCTGTTACCACTTTAAAGGAAAAAATTATTTTTAATGATTTATTTGGAGTCAGAGAAAAAGGAGACAGAGAGAGAAAGATCTTCTAGATCTTCTTCCTGCTTGTCCACTCCCAAATGGCTGTAACAGCTGGGGTTAGGCCAGGCCAACACCAGAAACTAGGAGCCAAGACTTTTCTGGATCTGCCACGTGGGTGGCAGGGTTCAAAGTACTCCTTTCTTTTTCCAGGCCATTAACAGGGAGCTTGATCAGAAGTGAAGCAACTGGAACTTGAACATCCAGCTATGTGGCCATAATGCACTGTGCTGTAATGCTGACCCATGTATTATTTGAATTTTTTTCTTGTGTCTGAACTATGTAAAGTCAGCAATGTAATTTTAAATAGTAACCCTCTAGGACCAGCATTTGACCTGGCAGTTCAGACACTGGGTAGGCTGCCTGCCGCCCACATGGGTGAATTCCTGCCTCAGGCTTCAGACTGCAGCTTCTTGCCAATGGGGACCTTGGGAGGTAGCAGTTGGCGCATATGGCAGAGAGCTGGCTTGCATTCATTCCTAGCTCCCAGCGGTAGCCAAGCCCAGTCTCAGTTATTTAGAACATTTGGGGAATGTTCAGATCAGCGGATAGTAAGAGAAAAAAGAAACATGCACATAAGTAAGTATATATTTAAAGTAATAAATATTCTTGTACAAATATTATGGTTAATATAAAGTATTTAGAGTTTAGAGTACAAGTTTTTAATATAAATCCTTTATTAAAAGATTTAATAATGCTGGATCTGACTCAACAGCAGTGCTTTTCAGTAGAATTTTCTGTAATAATGGAAATATTCTTTGGGCTTTCCAGGATGGTGGTCATAATTGTTGTTGAGGACCTGAAATAACTGAGGAAGTGCATTTTAAATTTTAAATTAAATTTAAATAGATTTAAATAAATTAATTTAAATGCTAACTAATTTATAGGCATGTGGCTAGTAGCTAGTAGCTGCAATATGCATTTGTTGAGCACTAGAACATAATTGTCATGGTTGCTCTGGGCACATTTTTCTAGCCTACTCCTCCAAAATTATTAATTATGAAACTGTTTGCTTAGTAAGTTTTGGTGTAGGCTTCACAATATCGTAATTTGTTCCTTGATGGATATAGAAGTGAGGTGCAAAGCATACATTGAAAGACCTCATTTTTAGGTGTGATTAAGTGTTTGCTGTTGGTGCAAATAAACACTTTGGGCTGTAATTTCTTAAATAGTATTACTCCTCTTTCTCTTATTTTTCCCTGTAGTCCTTGTGGATTGTGTTTGGAGAGCGTCATCCTCCGAGTGGAGGCCAATCTCATGGTTGCTGTCTAACGCTGTCCTGCCTTAGAGCGTTTCAGTTCTAATTCTTCTTCTTCCTCTGGCAGTTTGCGCCTGGCTTTCAGGTTGGAGATGGAATTGGAATGGATTTGAAACTGTCCAACCACGTTTTCAACGCCCTGAAACAGCATGCCTACTCCGAGGAGCGCCGGAGCGCCCGCGTGCATGAAAAGAAGGAGCATTCTACCGCGGTGAGGGCCCTTGGGTCCTGTCTCTGTACTGGGCACAGTCATCCTTCTCGTTTGTCAGGGAGAAAATAACACAAAACTGTGTCCTTTGGTATCCGGAGAGCAGGCACCGCTGCTCTGACGGTGAGGCAGAGGTGCAGTCAGCCAACCTCTTCACCTTCAGACACTTCCTGTGCAGGCTGTGGGTGGGCCTGGCTGGTTGGCCTACTGGGCCTCAGTTGTTTTTGCCCGACATGTGCCATGTCCAAGCTGCCCCCCAAGTCTTTCAGTGGGTCTCCCCACCCTGTGCTCGCTAGTTGCAATGGCTTTGCCTTAACCAAAGTTGGGGAACTTGTGGCCTGCAGACTGTATAAAGTCCACAAAACCATTTGCCCTTGTTCTTGGCAAGGCAACCACAGGTAGGGCTTGAAATTCAGCAAGGCTATAGGAAGCTAGTTTTTAATTTGATAATTGTGAATGATGCTATAAAAATCCAAATGGCCCTTGGCATGAAGGAGACTTCACCCTGTTAAGCTCTTGAAGTCCTCTTGGGCCCGCCCTCAAGATATCCCAACCTCTTGTGGCCCAGGTTTGGAATTGCCACCACCTGCTCTCAGCTGTCTGTCTCCGTGTGAGCTGCCCCTCGAATCCCGGCCGCATAGCTCATCCCAGGAGTCTCTCCTCCGGTGTCTGATTCTTAATATTCTTTTAGATGCCCACTTCCAAGGATAAAGAATTACATTTATGGGAATGAATTGCATCTTGTCGGCACTCTTTTAGGAACCTGTTACGTATACTTGTAGATAAATTAAGTAATAAAGTTAAGAAGTATATGTTTATTCTGAGTGTTAGAGATTAAAAATGGCTCAGAAAATGAATGATTAACTATTATTTTCACTTATAGCACTTTATCTCTTACAGGAAAAAGCAGTTGATCCTAAGACACGTCTACTTATGTATAAAATGATCAACTCTGGAATGTTGGAGGCAATCACTGGCTGTATTAGCACAGGAAAGGAATCTGTTGTCTTCCATGCCTATGGAGGGAGGTAAATGAGCGCCACCCAATCTCATGACAGAAACAGCAGCTTAGTACCTTCTTCTGTGCTGCTGGCTTTCCACAGAGCTAGTGCTGCATGGCAACCAGCGTCACTTAGAGTGTTATTGTGGAAAGTTTAAACAGGGCTATATGAAGAAAGTAACTACTAATGGTTTTGTGCAGATCCTCCAGCATTTTTTTCTAGGAAGTATTACCTCCTGGTAGTCAGGCAGCACATCGGCCACTGTGCAGCAGAACCTGAACTGGGTTTTTTTGTTTTTGTTTTTTTAAGATTTATTTATTTTTATTGCAAAGTCAGATATACAGAGAGGAGGAGAGACAAAGAGGAAGATCTTCCATCCAATGATTCATTCCCCAAGCGGCCGCAACAGCCAGTGCTACACTGATCCGAAGAGCCAGGAGCTCTTCCAGGTCTCCCACAGGGGGCAGGGTCCCAAGGCTTTGGGCTGTCCTTGACTGTTTTCCCAGGCCACAAGCAGGGAGCTGGATGGGAAGTGGAGCTGCTGGGACCAGAACTGGTCCCCATATGGGATCCTAGTGCATGCAAGGCGAGGACCTTAACCACTATGCTATCATGCCGGGCCCTGAACCGAGGTTTTCTAGGGGTCTTTTTACCGTGGCTTCAGGAAGGTGCATTTAGTGTTACTGCCTTCTCTCCTGTAACTTTGATCCTTATTTTAAGAAATTCTACCTTTAAATAATGCTCACATGTTTTCAGAAAATGTCTTCTGAAGACCTTAAGCCAGTTTAGATCTTACCCACCTAACTTGCCACAAGGACTTTCTGAGTAGACAGTGTCACAAGGGAGAGAGAAGTGGAGCCTGGCTAGAGTGTAAGCCATGCAGTCTGCTTCCTTGCCCTGGGGGCCGTCTGCAGAGACTTCAGCCATTCCTTTACCTTGACATTGGTTTTGTTTTTTTGTTTTTTTGTTTTTGTTTTTAATTCGAAAGTCAGATTTACATAGAAAAGGAGAGACGGAAAGTTCTTCCCTCCACTGTTTCACTCCCCAAGTGACTGCGATGGCCAGAGCCAAGCCAATCCATAGCTAGGAGCCAGGAGCTTCTTCCGAGTCTCCCACATGAGTTTAGGGTTTCAAGGCTTTGGGTTGTCCTCTATTACCTTCCCAGGCCACAAGCAGGGAGCTAGAAGGGAAGTAGAACAGCCGGGATACAAACCGGTGCCCATATGGGATCCTGGCACATGCAAGATAAGGATTTAGCTGCTAGGCTATTTCAGTGGGCCTTACCTTGACATTTTTGATTTAAAAAGTTAAAGCAGATAGCAGCAAATGTTCTGTTTTTGTGGATTTTTTTAAGCATATAAAGTACCTCAGAATGGGCCCGATACAATAGTGTAATGGTTAAGGTCCTCGCATTGAACGCACCAGGATCCCATATGGGCGCTGGTTCTAATTCCAGCAGCTCCACTTCCCCATCCAGCTCCCTGCTTGTGGCCTGGGAAAGCAGTCAAGGACAGCCCAAAGGCTTGGAACCCTCACCCACATGGGAGACCTGGAAAGAAGTTCCTGGCTCCTGGCTTCAGATCAGTGCAGCACAGGCTGTTGCATTCACTTGGGGAGTGAATCGTTGGGTGGAAGATCTTTCCTGTCTGTCTCTCCTCCTCTCTGTATATGTGTATTTCCAATGAAAATAAATAAATCTTTAAAAAATAAATAAAACCTAGACCATAGGACATGTAATTTAGTAAGAGACGAAAAAGCTTGTCTTTTTATAGTAGGAAAATTGGGTAAGTTTATAAATTGGCCTGCATGGTATTGGTCTTGTGTATTTGGGTAATGTCTCATGTTCTGGGCTAAGCTGTTCCAGTGGAAGGGAGCTGATGTCAGAACCCAGCCTGTTGCCTCTAGAAAAGTCTTTCGTGTTGGAAATTGCTTCCTTGTTCAAAGTCTCTGTGAGAGCTGATGCGTGCACTCACTAGGTGTTTGAGCAGCTGCCCGTCCAAGGTCTTCAGCTGGGTGTGGGGGCTACAACAGGGCACAGGAGGCCCCTGCTTTAAAAGCGTGTACTCTCCCCACCCCGAGATAACAGTGAGTTACCAGATTCGTGCTGTGCCAGTGGCCAAGGCAGATGATGTCATAGTGAATGGTGGTGGTTTTGATGAGTAAAACAAGGAAGTGTTCTCTAATAGGGTGGCATTTGGGTGACACATCCAGGATGTGCCAGAGATCGGGGCAAAGGGCGTTTTGCACTAGAGAACAGATGATGCTGATCCCTTAAGCCAGTTAGGAATGGACAGATGCTGCACTTCAGAAATAAAACCCATACATCAGGTTTTTTTAAGATCTAACACTTGGGGCCTGGCGCAATGGCCTAGCAGCTAAATCGTAGTGGTCCATTTCTTTTCTACGCCAGCTCCACTTCCCATCCAGCTCCCTGCTTGTGGCCTGGGAAAGCAGTCGAGGACAGCCCAAGGCCTTGGGACCCTGCACCCGCGTGGGAGACCTGGAGGAAGTTCCTGGTTCCTGGGTTCGGATCAGTGCAGCTCCACTCATTGCAGTCACTTGGGGAGTGAATCATTGGATGGAAGATCTTTCCTGTCTGTCTTTCTTCCTCTCTGTATATCTGACTTTGCAATAAAAATAAATAAATCTTTTTTAAAAATCTAACACTTGAAGTATTAAAATACAAAACATGATGTTCTCAGAGAAGGTAGTGTTGGTGTATTTGGGGATTGTTTCACCTGTCAGCTGGTACTGACTTGGTTTTTCTTCTCCCACTTAGCATGGAGGAAGAGAAGGAAGATTGTAAAGCTATACCCACAGAATGTGCCATCAAGGTATTTAAAACAACCCTTAATGAATTTAAGAATCGTGACAAATATATTAAAGATGATTTCAGGTTTAAAGATCGCTTCAGTAAACTAAATCCACGTAAGATCATCCGCATGTGGGCAGAAAAAGAAATGCACAATCTCACCAGGTAAAGAAACTCACTGTGCTAGAACATTCTTGCTAATTACCTTCCCTTCTTGGGCCTGAAATAAATTATTAAAATAATGAATGGATTTAGGACTTTAGTATTTAATGAAACTTATTATTAAGGAAACTGTTCCATGTCTAACCGAAAAGCGTACCTTTAAAATGAAAAACTCATTTTTTTTTTCCACAGTGAAGTTTGAGGGAAACCAAGGCATTTTGAGACATTTTGTCATAAGCCTACATGTTTTCTTTTAAACTTTTCCCAGAAATAAAATTCCCAGCTTCCAGTTAGGCTTAGTATAATGATTTCCACCGCCACACCTCCCGGGATAGATGGTTTATGGCATCTAACTTGTTAGTTTGGGGAGGGTAGCATCTTGTCAGTCAAATTATTCTGCTGTAATTTATTAGACTTGTTTCTCTGTTCTCTAAAGAATTTATTTTCTATTAGGGAATTAGTTAACCAAGAAATTAATAAATAACACTTCTCATTAATAGAAGTTACCATTATCTTAATCCATGGAAAGCTTAATTTTAGTTCTTTTGTGAAGGTGTTTGCTTTCCAAAGTAATTATCTATATTTATTAGTTGCAAAATTCTTCTGCTTAGAACTTGCAAGTAGAGTAATTTTGTCAGAAGGCTTGCTGTCCTCCCATCTCCTTGTCAGTGAGAGCTCAGCCTTCGCCATGCTAGTGCTGCTTTAACACCTTCCCCCAGTCCTCAGGTCCTGCGCAGAGCCCTTCGGTGACGGGAAGCTTGCCTGCCTCTGTAGCCCTGGCCCATAACACCCTTCCTCCCTCCAGCATCCAGCGGTGTGGGCTAATCTGAATCCACCACACAGGCTGTGCTCTGGAAAGTGTCTGCTGTGTTTCCTGGCTAAATCCTGTTCCACACCTCGCCTTCTAAGATGGCTTCCTTGGTGCTGGGTGATCGCACACCTCTTACCACTGCATGTCCCCAGCTGCACTGTCCCTGCCTCCTCTCTGTCATTCGTCCCAACCCCAGAGTTTCAGAGTTTCCCCAAAGGGCAGAGGCTGGGTCTTACTGTCTTTTTATTCCCATTTGCCAGGTAGAATAAAATGTCTGTTCCTTGCAGGCCCTGGTTAGATATTTGTTGAATAAATGACATGTTTTCTCTACCTAATCTTTACATTCTTGATCATTTCTTTCTATATAGAATGCAGAGAGCTGGAATTCCTTGTCCGACAGTTGTACTGCTCAAGAAACACATTTTAGTTATGTCTTTTATTGGCCAAGATCAAGTTCCAGCCCCTAAATTAAAAGAAGTAAAGCTCAGTAGTGAAGAATTGAAAGACGCTTACTACCAAACTCTTCATGTAAGTTGTGCCTTTGAAAGCACTCACATTTACATACTGGCTTTTCAAAACAGTTCCTATAAACTTTTTTAAAGGTTTATTTATTTATTTATTTTTTATTTACTTGAAAGGCGGAGCTGCCAGCATTGTAGCATAGTGGGTAAAGCCCCTGCCTGCGACATTGGCATCCCAACTGGTTACCAGTTTGAATCCTGGCTGTTCCTCTTCTGATCCAGCTTCTGCTGATATGCCTAGGAGACCCAGAGGAAGCTGCTGGCTTCTGCCTGGCCCAGTCCCCATCATAACAGTCATTTGGGTGTGAACCATCAGATGAAAGATCTCTGTGTCTTTCAAACAAGTTTTAAACACACACAGACATATAGAAAGCCGAAGGAAAAGGGAAAGTGAGCTCCTTCATTTACTGGTCTACTCCCTAAATGCCTTTAGCAGCCAGGGCTGGTCCTAGCCCCAGCTGGAAGCCTGGGACTCCATTGAGGTCTCCACGTGAATGGCGGGGACCACAGTGCTTGAGCCATCACCTGCTACCTCCCATGGAATAGTTTAGCAGGAAGCTGAAAGGGAAAGCATAGCCAGTATTCAAACCCTGGTACTTCAGTATGGGATGTGAGTGTCCCAAGGAGTGACTGAATTGCTGTGCCAAATGCGTGCCCCTCTTGTACATTTTAAAAGAAAATCCCAGATAATTCTATTTCAGGTGATGCGGCAAGGACAGACTGAAATTTGTGATGAAGTACTAATGTTTTTCTATCAATATGTGTATGTCTTAAGTAGCTTTGAAAAAATTACAGGCTTATACAGCAAAAGGAGGCTTCATTGCTAATGTTAGTAAGACAGTTCTCACAACTTGAGTACATTGGTGTTGCTAGCTCTGACAGATCCAGTGCCTCATAACTGTATGCTTGCCTGGCTCTAACAGTGTTAGAAATGCGAGAGAGCGTCTAAGGATTCAAGGAAAGTGGAATTGAAAAGTAGAATTGAAAAAAAAAAAATTTATGCAAAAGAAATTGAAATTTGTGCAGTTTTTTCCATAATGTGCATTTCACAAGATTTTTTTGAAGACCTCTCCTATCTGTTGTGAAGCAGATTTGGCTTCAGCATATCTAAGAAAGTAGTGATGAGAACTGAAGATACATAGCTCAGGTGCTGAAGCTTAAAGAGAGGAATCTCGAGGAAGCCAGGCATGCTCTGAACAGCAGTTATATCCAACCTGAGGGCGTTCTCGCCTTAGAAAATGTTCCCTGGACTGGCGATTTGGCACTGCACGTTAAACCCTTGCTCATGACTTTGGCATCTCTTATTGGAACTCTGATTTGAGTCGTGGCTACGTCACTTCCCATCAAGCTCCCTGCTGATGTACCTCGGTAAACAATAGAGGACAGCTCAAGTCCCTGAGCCCCTGCCACCCACAAAGGAGACCTGGGTGGAATTATGTGCTCCTACTGCGGCCACTGGGGAGTGAACCAGAGGGTGATGGAAGATTTTTCTCTCTCTCCTTTCTCTCCCTCTATGCATTGCCCTGCCTTTCAAATAAGTTTCCTGGGACTGTCATTGTTTCTCTATATAGCTTTAATTGAACACTGGAGAATTTACATGCTTCTTCAGTGTCTGCCTGGAGTTCTCATGTCACATGAATATCAAAAGTGTTGTTCAGTTAACTTGCTATGATAGAACTAGGGAAATGGTCTTCTCTGCCTCCAGAAGGAGCAACAAAAGGAAAATGAAGTGTGTTTGTAGGCAGGGTGGCCAGGGAAGAGAGGAAGTAGTGATAAACCTTTCTTATGTCATTCTGATTCATCAGCGTTGATGGCAGCTCTGAGTCCAGTGGTCACCATCAACAATGAATACATAGTACCACTTAATTTGTAAGGATGAGCTCTCATTTCTGCCATGTCTGGCAGGAAATACTTTTCACTTGGAAATTGTATGAGGGATCTTCAGAAAGCTAATGTGAAATGTGTATCATGAAAAAACCATGTGTGGACTTCAAAATGCTTTTTCACCCAAATAAATTTAACTTACTTGTAATTCCATTCCCCAGTTTTTTCAGCTTCCCTTGTGTGTGCTCCGTAGAGGTCTCAGTAGGATAGCTGTCCTTTTGTAAGTGGAAGCAGATTTACCAAGGTCCTCTGACTAACGGCCACAGATCTAGTGTGAGAATCTAGAATTGACCCTTGATCTCCTGCCCCTGCTGTCCTGCGGACCAGGGTGTGGCATGTCACATACTGATTGCCACTGTCTTACTGTTCCCACATTCCATTTGAAACACCAAAGGGAAAAACCAAGAGCTGGATGACATAGATAACGAGGAAATAGGTGCTTCCACCTTGTTCTTTTTGGAAAATACTGGTGGGGTTCCCTGTTTTAGCTCTGTAGGTGAGTTGGGATCATTCCTTTCTTGCTGAAGTCTTTGCCTTCCCTCCGCACAGTTGATGCAGCAGCTGTATAACGAGTGCACGCTTGTCCATGCTGACCTCAGCGAGTACAACATGCTGTGGCATGCTGGGAAGGTGAGGAGCACATTTTGTTGATGTTTACGTTAAATTGCTACAAGTCAGTTGTTGAAAGTAAATTGATTGATGTATTCTTTGTATTTAAATAGGTCTGGTTGATTGATGTCAGTCAGTCAGTAGAGCCAACCCATCCTCATGGCTTGGAATTCCTATTCCGGGACTGCAGGAATGTCTCCCAGGTAGGCATGTAACCAGTATGTACTTTTGGGTGAGATGTGACAGGCCCACCCTTGTGGTAAGTAAAAAGACATCGTCTTAGAAGCTGAAAGAATGGATATTGGCTACTTTTAGGATAAGGAAGTAAAAATCAGTTTTGATTTTCAGCAAGAATTCGATTCTGTGTCTGATATCATGAGGAAAATTTCCTAGGGAGTTTTGCCTTTGGTTGCTGGTTTTACAGCAGCTAGAACAGAACCTGCTAGAGGGAGAGTATCCTGACCAAACTTCTGAAATCCAAAGTGCTCAGATCTGAAGGTGTAAGTAGAAATTGCCACACTTGACCTCAGGTATCAGGTGGCTATCAAAAAGTAGCCACACTACAATTATTGTATAAAATCACCCTCAGGCTTTGTGTATTAAGTGGATGCAAAGTACAAGTTATTTCCTGTTTAGTCGTTTGTCCCTTCCCCAAGATACCTCATTATATATATGCAAGTATTCCAAAACCGGAAAACAATCCAAAACACTTTTGGCCCCGGGTGATCTGGTTGGGGGATGCCCAGTCTGTACCCCGTAGGCCTGCAAGCTTATTAACGCTCCTGTTATCACCACTGAAAAGAAGACAGGCTCCTCAGTGTGAGAGAGAATACACAAGAGAGAAGAACTGAGGAAGCACACAAATGGGTCATGTTTGTTTACCATTTCTAAGCAAATGGGGAATTAGCAACAACTGAGGTAGGAGTGGTTTTCCTAACGCACAGAAGAGGTACATATCAGAAATAATCACTGAGCCCACTTGAAAATTTTTGTTTAGGTTAGTGCTTTGCACCTGCACATTAAAGCAGTACCAAGCAATTTTATGTAGTAACTTCCCCAACTCAGCTTATCCTTGGTTTCATTTCACATGGTTTCGTTTGCTTAGTCAACTACAGTCCAAAAATATTAAGTGGAAATTTCTGTAATGAACAATGTGTGAGTTTTAAACTGCACATTCTTCTAAATAGTCTGGTAGATTCTCACCCTGTTTTGCCCAGGACATGAATCGCCCTTTTGTCCAGCGGCCTCAGTTACCATGTCGCAATGTGAAAGTCCTGGAGTTCAGTAAACCTTTATGTGCTGGGTTAGTGCTGTTCATTCGTCTGCATTCATCTCACACTTGGGCGTTGTGTCATTTTATGTCATCACAGGAATGGCGAATACAGGAGTAAAATGAGATTTTGACAGATCACATTCACCTAACTTATTATAGTATGTTGCTAGAATTGTTCTCTTTCATTACATAGCTTTTATCTCTTTACTGTACCTAACTTAACATTAAGTTTTATCATATAAAAGTTAGGAGAATGTTGTATATATAGAGCTTAATGTTATTCATGCTTTTGGGAATCTGCTGAAGGTCCTGGGATGCATCTTGCACAGATGGGTCTGGACCACTGTATCTGCCACTTATTTCTCTAGTTACAAGTTGCAATGTGATAAACTAAATCTAGAAAGTCAAAGAGATGAGTCAAGAGAATGAAAGGGAGTGGAACCTGAGCATAGCTACACTGACGTGAGAAATTCAAGTATATCCCCTGTGTTTCTTTTTTTAAATTTTATTTTTGATAATTTTTACATAGTTGATTAGGGTGCGAAGGATCAAGGACTGGAGGAAAGAGGGTGAAACCATTGTTTTCACATTCTCTTTTTTCCTTCCTGTATCTGGGGGAAGAGGGGAGATAAGGGGAGATGCCACACGCAACCTCCCAACCATCCCAGGGTCCCCGATGTGGGGCATGTTCCAAGGGTCATGCTCAAGTGGTTTTGATAGTTCAGCAGTTCTGAATTGCTATGGATCTTGCTGTTCCAGTCACGATGAGATCTTTCCAGAATCCACTGGTTGACATAGTCCCTGGTGTTTCTTTACCAGTTTTTCCAGAAAGGAGGAGTGAAAGAAGCTCTAGGTGAACGAGAACTCTTCAATGCTGTTTCAGGCTTAAACATCTCGGCAGATAACGAGGTGGATTTCTTAGCTGAGGTAAGTGATGCGTAGCTGCCTTCACCTTGCCAGGATGGAGGGCTGCAGAGAGGAGAGAGCTGACAGAGCTGACTTGATCCTGTTTTCCCTCCCAAACCACAGCACAGAGCTGCCTGTGGTTGCAATGCTTTGGCCCTCAGCTGACTTACAACTTAGGATAATTATGCAGAAAAAAAAACCTTGTCAGGGAATCCCAGAGTTCAGTAAGATGAATGGATGACACATTTGCAGTAGAGTCCTGTTTCCTTTATTGAGTGACTAAAGTTACTTGAAGAATACTCTGGGTGATGGCAGAAGCAACACTACATGATCCTTGTCCTTAACGAACACAGAAAGGTAGAAATAGCCAGTCATTATAATATCAGAGCAGACCCATAAAAAAAAAAAAAAAAAACTTCCTCCATCGAAGGTTTCTAAAAACCAAACAGAAACTGAGAAGTAGCAGCTAATTATTTCCAACATTACACCAAAGCAGAGAGTGATGGCAGTATGTTCCCAAACTCCTAAATAGTTCTTGAGGTTGGCCGAGGTATCCTGGCAGCTAAAGCCCGGGGAAGATATAGCAGAATGCTGTCAATTCAGCCTCTAGCAGAAATTAGCACTCAACAAGTAGCAATGTTGAATGAATGCTGGACTTTGTTTCTTGTTGTTGCTACTGTTCCTGGAAGGCTTTATGGAACCCACATTAAGACATAAACTGATTTAGTGTGCTGGCTTGAAAGCCCAAATATCGACCCAGCTAGTATAGTCAAGCAAAAACCATGCATGAACATATGAACATATGTGTACACACACATACATAAACATGGAAGAATTCTAATTCAAGGTCAGAATCAATAAGGGATGATCTTGTTTTAAGAGAAAAATACTGCCTTAATCCAAAGTATGGTTTCCATGAAGTAGAAATTTGACAAATATATTCAACATATTCATTTTGTAGATAGAGGCTTTGGAGAAAATGAATGAAGATCATGTTCAGAAGAATGGAAGAAAAGCTGCTTCATTTTTGAAAGACGATAGCGGCCCACCAGTACTGTATAACGAATAGCACCAGGACCCACTGCTTTCTGCGTTAACTCGGTGGTGATCGTCAGCTGCCAAGAGCCAGCGGAGTCATGGGTGATTGAGATACCAAACCACTGGTGCTCCTGTGCTTTCTGCCCCTGGTACCCCACGTGCCGGATGTGTGGAACGTTCAGCTCGACATCGAGAGAATAAATGTCACTACCTCTCAGCTTCTGAACAGGATGATAGAATTCTTTAACAGCTCTAAGTTATCTAACTGAAGTTGACCTGGCTTACAGGCCGCATGATGTAAGATGTTTTCATGAGAATTCGAAAAGTTTAGCCAACACTTCCAGGCACAGAGGACGGGGCAGGTGTTTTTTCCCACGGGGCTTTGGTGACAGCATGCTTGGCTTGGTCACCTCCCAGTTTTGTGTGGCATCTTTCCTCACATGTTTTATTGGACAAAGTTGGCCCTCCTTCGTTCTTGTTCTTTACAAATGTGACTTCACAGGAAAATTTCTTCTCCTTCATGGATATTACTAATGGAAATCTGTTCTCAGAATGACCGAGGGAAACATAAAAGCAATGTAGTTTTTATTGATACATCCCACAAAAATGAACTCAGTTTTATTTTTTCCATGTTCAGATCCAAGAAAAGGCATGTGAGAAATTCATTGTCCACATTTTAAAATTTCACTTTTTAAACTTTTCTACATTTAGATAAAAGGTTAGGATGTAGCTCAAGGTCTGGCTGCTTGACATTTATACTGAAACGTGTATCATTTAGAAGGACAGAACACAAGACTTAACCATGTCTGACACACTAGGTGAGACAGATTTCAGTATACATCTCAGTAAAACTTGATTTTCAGAGAAACATAGCAAACTGATGAGGAAATAATGTTAAAGGGTATGTACTAAAACAACTTGGATACCAAATTAACCAACTGATTGAGAGGTCTAACCTCACTTAAGTCCTTCACTGCCTGGACAGACACCGGCGTTGTTGGGATTCAGGTTTGTTCTGTAACTGCAGCAGCATCATTCCTTGTGTTACTGTAGTCAGACTGGAACCCCCGAGTGAAGAGCCATGCTTTCTGTCTGGTAATAAAAAGTAAATGTCTAGACAGCATTTACCCTTGAAAACTTACCTTTTAACATTCACATTACTTTAAAAGGCCAAGTATGTTCTGTCTATAAAAATATTTATTTTTGTTTCTATGATATATAGGTTTTAACTGCATTTCAAAGGAATGTGATTTGGGATTGGGTATTCATTATGTTTCTGAAATGTGTACTGCTCTGAAACGGAGATTTAACTGGTTGGTGATTATTGGCTTTGAAGAAATTTCAGAGAAAGAAATTTTTAATACTGTTAACCATTTAAAACTTGCCTGGATTTGTTTTCTGACATACTCTGACAAAAACCAGCAAGCCATTGCTGTGTGGCATCGTGGGAGTGTGCTGTGAACATGCTTTTCAAGAAATTAAAAATGCAAAGTTCATTTTAGAATTGGTCCTTTGTGTGCATCCTTCCTGTCCCTTATGTTAACTTGTGTTCTGGCACCAAGTCACCCTTTTTGTACAAAATTAACCAAAGATTTATTTTTACTGGAAAAGCAGATTTACAGAGGGAAAGATCTTCTGTCCCCTGGTTTACTCCCTAAGTGGCCACAGTAGCTGGGGCTGAGCTGATCTGAAGCCAGGAGCCTCTTCCTGGTCTCCTACGTTGGTTCAGGATCCCAAGGCTTTGGGCTGCCCTCGACTGCTTTCCCAGGCCACCAGCAGGGAGCTGGATGGGAAGTGGAATAGCCAGGATATAAACTAGTGCCTGTATGGGATCCCAGCACAAGCAAGGCAAGGGTTTATCCACTAGGCCATTATGCCAGGCACTAACCAGTATTTTTTAAGCATACATTTTTCTTCTCAAATTCTCATGTTTCAGATTCACTGTTAACTACTCTGTTTCCTATTACCAAATGGTTGTTTCCTCTTACAAATGAGAGATTACATTTTTCACAGATTGGAAAAAGATGACAAATGTTGGTTGGCTAAATGAAGGAAATATGGAAATAGGGATATAGGGATATTATACCTCACTTTAATGGAAGTGGCCTACAATAATTATAAAATAATAAGTCATCAACGGGTCAGGCACAGTGGCCTAGCAGCTAAAGTCCTTGCCTTGAACACATCAGGATCCCATATGGGCACCAGTTCTAATCCTGGCAGCCCCACTTCCCATCCAGCTCCTTGCTTGTGGCCTGGGAAAGCAGTCAAGGACAGTTCAAAGCCTTGGGACCCTACACTCACGTAGGAGACCTGGAAAGATCTTCCTGTCTGTCCTCCTCTCTGAATATCTGACTTTGCAATAAAAATAAATAAATCTTTTAAAAAATTTTATCAAAATAAGAATGGCTGGAACAAACTTTCAGTAACAAAATTGTCAGCTCTCTTTGTATACAATGAAAATCAGACTTTTTTCCTCTGCTTGCAAAAGTAAAACAAGTTCATCTGAATTTAGATATTACAGAAGTTTACACATGTTGAAATCCCCTTGAGTTCCAAGTAGGGGTGGGGAATGGCTGGCTCCTAAATTGTGTCATTTGGTCTGGGCCCTCCAAGCAATTTCTGGCAGTGGTCGAAATGGAATGAATCTGCAACAGGCTAATAATGTGTAAGCACTTGTTGAATGGTCGGAGAAGTAGCAAGACGGCCCTTGCCAGAGTAAAGTTCCCTAGCCTGGTTTAGAGTGCAGCCTGCAGCCCTGTGCATTTCTCCCTCTTGGCGTATGTTGTTTCCTCTTTCTGAAAACATCTTTGAGCAAAGAGCAAGGTGAAGCAGTACAACCAGTGGGGAAAATGGCTGCAACCACCAGGTCTGGGCTGTTCCAAAGCCAGGAGCTTCTTCCGGGTTTCCCAAGCAGGTGCAGTGTGCTTAGGCCATCCTCCACTGCCTTTGCAGGCTGTTAGCAGGGAGCTGGATGGGAAATGGAACAGCCAGGACATGAACTGGCACCCACGAGGGATCCTGGCACTTGGAAGGAGAGGATTTAGCCATTTGCCAGGCCCTCAGATTGTAATTTGGAACCATGATATTTAGGTCTTTGAAGATGGACTGACAGAGGTCTTCTATCCAGTACTCCACTCCCCCAGTAACTGCAGCAGCCAGGTTGGGCCAGGCCAAAGCCAGGAGCCTGCAGCTCCATTTGGATTTCCCTTACTTCTGTCATTCTGCATTTTAATAAAATGGAAATAAGTGTGTAACAAAAAAAAAAAAATCTGCAGTTAAATCAGGTGCCTTTCCTGTCCAGACCCCTATATTCCAGTGGATTGGCCATCACACTCTGAGTAAGATCCAAAGGGCTGGCAGACAGGCTACAGTCTGGCCCACGGTCAAGGCCCCTCCTCTCGTGCTGGCTTTACTTACTGTTCTAGTCACACTCGCTTAGTCTTCAACCACACCTGCCTCAGGCCCTTTGCTCTTCCTAATCCCTCCTATAGTGCTTTTCTGCTAGGGATGCCCTCACCTGCACCCACTAGGTCTTGTGACAACAGGATCTGCCATACAGCCAAGTACTTCAGAGAGCCATGGTGTGGAACAACAAACGTTTCTGAGCATTAAGAGCCCAGCTGAGACTTTGTGCTGATTTGGGCTCAAGCACTCTGACAATGGTGCAGCTGAGACCATACCCGTTCTGAGGGCCTGGCTGGGACTGGAGGATCCGCTTCCAAGATGGCTCACTCCTGTGAGAAATAATGGTCTCACCCACCTTCCTGTAGCCCTTGGCCCTTTGCACCCTAATCAACTATGTAAAAAACATCAAAAATAAAAATAATTATATAGGGGCCTGGCAGCATGGCCTAGCAGCTGAGGTCCTTACCTTGAATGTGCTGGGATTCCATATGGGCACTGGTTCTAAGCCCAGCAGCCCCACTTCCCATCCAGCTCCCTGCCTGTGGCCTGGAAAAGCAGTTGAGGACGGCCCAAAGCCTTAGGACCCTGCACCCAAGTAGGAGACCCGGGAAGAAGTTCCTGGCTCCTGGCTCCAGATCAGCACAGCACTGGCCGATGCAGTCACTTGGGGAGTGAATAATCAGATCTTCGTCTCTGTCTCTCCTCCTCTCTGTATATCTGACTTTGCAATAATAAATAAATAAATAAATCTTTAAAAAGACAATGTTGCAAAAGGGGCCTGAAGCTGATGAAGAGGGGAGAGAGGGAAGAAGGTGGTGGCACCGTGGCAGAGGGGACAGGAACATGGGCTGGGGGTTTCCTGGGAGCAGCTGAGCCTGCAGGTGGGATGGCGGGGATAGCTGGAGTGCAGGGTCCTGGAGCCAAGGATGTGCTTTGCAAGGGAGGAGTCTCAATTGTGGGTGCTTCAAGCCACTGATAGAATTAAATGTGCCTCCCTTGGTATAAAATGTCTGAAATCCATGCAGTTTTCATGATACCCATTTTTTTTCTTTTTAATTTTTTGAAAGATTTATTTGTTCTTACTGCAAAGTCAGATATATAGAGACAAAGGAGGAGAGACAAATATCTTCCTTCTGATGATTCACTTCCCAAGTGACTGCAACGGTCAGTGCTGTGCCGATCAGGAGCCAGGAGCTCTTCCGGGTCTTCCACGTGGGTGCAGGGTCCCAAGGCTTTGAGCCATCCTTGACTGCTTTCCCAGGCCACAAGCAGGGAGCAGGATGGGAAGCGGGGCTGCTGGGCTTAGAACCAGTGCCCATATGGGATCCCAGTACGTGTAAGGTGAGGACTTCAGCCGCTAGGCCACTGTGCCGGACCCTCTTAATTTTTAATGATACAGTTCTTCCCCTTCAACCCTCTCCCTGACCCCCCAACTGATTTCCCCTATGTTATAATAGCGCAGTCCTTCAACAACAGTCACAAGGCCATCATTTTGCTATTGCAGCCATGAGATCCATTTTCCACCTCAGTTTCTGACCAGCATAACCAACTGTCTAGATACCTTTTCTTCCTGGATGCACACTGTTACCTGCCCAACTCTGTCACACAAAGTCGCTGTTGGCAGCCAGAGAGGAGATCATGCGGACTCTTCCAGAATGGTAACTTTGTATAGCAGTGGGGGAAATAGGTATCTTTTTAGAGGGACATGAATGTGACAGAGTTTTTGTCATCCTGCGTATGGCTGGGGACCAGTGCATGCAGGTGTGAGCCAAACCCCTGCAGAAGTCCTTGCCTTTGGAGACTGAACGGCACCAGGCCCTAGTCTCCCAGCCTGCTATCGCTTCAAGTTTCATTGCCCTGCTTTTACTAAAATCCACTCATGGAGGCAAGGCAGTGTGCAGCTGGCACTAAAGAGTCCCTGGTCACAAAACACGTGGGCTCCTTTGCCCTGGAGATGCCATCTTGATGTTCTGTCTTGAGGGGTTTCCTTCCTAGGAATCCCAGACCGGCAGAAACAAGGAAGAGTCACCTGACCATCATCTGACTGCCCAGAGCCACACTGCCAGCATCAGCATTGCCTGAAGACCATGATAGTGCTGACCTGTCACAGGAGGGCCAGGAGACTGGGATGCCAGCCAGGGACATGAGAACATGAGCTGGACATGCACCGCTCATGCCAGCTTCACTTCATGAGTCCTTTGCCCATAAGCCCTTGCAGAGCCTGGCAATGGCCCCTCTCCTGGCTCTGCACCTTGTAATAAAATGGCTGCTTGCTTTCAGCACCCAGGTGTCAGTAACTGACTTGCTGCACATCGGCTGAGTGAATGACTAGTTTTAGGGGTTCAGCAACAATTCCTCTATCTCATTTTGGGAGTGTGCTGTAACAGTGCAGTTGAGAACCATGCTTCAACATTGGCTGTGTGTTAGTGGTAGTACGGGTGAAGCTCCTGCTGGGCGCAGTGGTGGTGTGAAGATGAAGTGAAAAGTGACCTTCAGATACTTTCTGACCCTCCGCTGTCACCTGTGCAGGGGGGCTTGGTCCAGTCCAGGCTGGCTGGCGATGGTGGCCTCTATCCAAGGAACAGGACTGACAACTTGCAGGACAATCTGGGAGAATATCAAGTGTTTTTAGAGTCCTGAAATAGAAACCTGAGTCACAATGAAAATTTCTGAGGTGCTCAGGGCATTGGCCGGTAACAAAATGTTTAATATGGAATTCTCCATCTTCCCAGTTCCCTGCCAACCTTCCCGGGTGTGTCTGTCCTAGAGAATGGGACCCCAGTTGTGAGGAATGCAAGCTTGGAGATCAACTGTGACCCTGCTCTTCCTCCCTCCGGTCTGTCTCCTCTCTTAGACCTTGAACGAGGCCCTCTCTCCTTCCTTTCTCTTACCTGACATCAGCTCCTACTATTCAGATATAGAAGCCACTCGACAGCGGTGCTGCTGGAGAACTAAACAGCCGTACGATCCAGCAATGCCACTGTGAGTATGTGAGTCCATTCGAGAGAACTGAAGCAGAGTCAGATTTGCACACCACATTCAGAATGGCACTGAGGAGGGAGCAACCCCAATACCCAGCACGGGAGGCGGATGAATAAGACAAAGAAGATGAATACAATGGAACGCCATTATATCTTCCAAGTGCCACAGCATGGATGCCCTACAGGATACCCTGTTAACGTTAGAAGAAGGTGAACAGGGAAGGGCAATTGTTCCAAATTTTTACTGATAGGAGGGGGTACCAAGAATAATGGGACTCACAGAGACAGAAGGCAGCGTGGGGGTTTCCAGGGCTGGGAGTGGGGAGGCAGGGGAGGTGTGTCATGGGCAATGTCCAGTTGGTGAGATTAAAAAGTTCTTGCTTGAGGGCCCGGCGCGGCAGCGCAAGTGGTTAAGGTCCTCGCCTTGCACGCCCGGGATCCCATATGGACGCCGGTTCTAATCCCGGCAGCCCTGCTTCCCATCCAGCTCCCTGCCTGTGGCCCGGGAAAGCAGTGGGAGACCCGGAAGAGCCTTCTGGCTTCAGATCGGCATAGCATCGGCTGTTGCGCTCACTTGGGGAGTGAATCATCGGAGGGAAGATCTTCCTCTCTATCTCTGCTCTCTGTATATCCGCCTTTCCAATAAAAAATAATTTAAAAAAAATAAATCTTTAAAAAAAAAAAACAACTTCTTGCTTGAGTCTGGCATGGTAGCCTAGTGCCTAAAATGTTTGCCTTGCACGTGCTGGGATCCCGTGTGGGTGCCGGTTCTAATCCTATTGGGACTCTGCACCCACTTGGAGATCCGCAAGAAGCTCCTGGTTCCTGACTTCGGATTGGCTTAACTCTGGCCATTGTGGCCACTTGGGCAGTGAGCCAGTGGACGGAGGCTGTTTCACTCTCTTCTTCTCTGTATATCTATCTGCCTTTCCAATGAAAATTAATAAATCTTAAAAAAAAAAAAATCTTCTGGCTTGAGAAGCCTGCTTGCTTTCCTCAAGAAGGCCTGGGTTCCCACAGCGTCTCTGCTGCAGGCTGATGCTCGCCCTTGGAGGCAGCAGGCGAGGTCGCAGCAGGTGGAGGCTTGGACAGGGGCCCTGGCTCCTGGCGCTGCCCAACCCAGACCCGACTGCTGTAGGCATCTGTGGGGAGTGAACCAGTAAAACGGAGAAAGCTCTCTTGACTCTGTGTGTGCCTTTCAAACAACAACAAAAAAAAATATTTTAAGGTCCCAGAGCTATTTCACAATCATGATGTAAAATGTGCTCCACGCACAAGAGCTGGGCACTTGAACAGGGTTAAGAAGGTTGAGTTTTAGGTTATTTGCTTTTCAGCAATTAAAAAACCAAAACGAAAAACCAGGGGGAGCTAGCTGACTGGCAATCTAAATGTGTTTGCTTGTTGCAGGCTCATATCCCTTACTGAGCTCCAGGGGCTTACGAAGCTGACCAGGGGCACGGCATTACTGGGGTTTGGGGAGCACGCACACACACACACCCCAGCTAGCCTCCCTGCTCATCACATGCGTGCACACACACACACACACACACACACACACCCCAGCTAGCCTCCTTGTTCACCGCATGCGTGCACACACACACACACACACACCAGCTCGCCTCCCTGCTCATCACATGCGTGCACACACACACACACACCCCAGCTAGCCTCCCTGTTCACCACATACATGCGCGCGCACACACACACACACACACACACACCAGCTCGCCTCCCTGCTCATCACATGCGTGCACACACACACACACACACACCCCAGCTAACCTCCCTGCTCATCACATGCGTGCACACACACACACACGCACACCAGCTAGCCTCCCTGCTCATCGCATGCGTACACACACACACACACACACACACACACACACTGGAGAAGGCTGGCGGTGACGCCACGCCTGTCTCCGGGCGCCCTGGGACGAGGCGGAGCATCCGCGATGGGCGGGCCTCGGGGACGGTCGGTGGGCCCCATCACCCGCCACGGCCCGTTTAAGAGCCGAGGGCACGAGGTCACGTGGCGGGAGGGGCGGAGGCGTGGCACCAGGAAGCGGCCTGGGTGCCGGGCCCGAGCTCGCCGCCCCCGGCCCCACGTCTCCGCGCGTCCCGCGCCCGGCTCCAAACTGGCGGCCGCCCCCGGGCCCCCCGCCGCCGCGGCCGCCGCCATGGGCGAGGAGGATTATTACCTGGAGCTGTGCGAGCGGCCGGTGCAGTTCGAGAAGGCCAACCCCGTCAACTGCGTCTTCTTCGATGAGGCCAACAAGCAGGTCCGCCAGCCCGCGCCCTCCTGGCCCCCGCGCGCGGCCGGTTCCGGGGCTGCGCCCACGCTGCCCTGTGCTCGGTCCCGGCGCTCCCAGCCAGCCTCCCTGATGGGGGACCCCGGCGTGGGAGACCCCGGCGTGGGGGACCCCGAGCCGGCGGCGCGCCCTGTGCGCCTGGCTAGCTGGCTAGTGCGCTGGTCCTTCCCAGGCGCCTTGTGTTGTCTGCAATTGTCATCAAATACACTTGGGGCGGAGGATTTGAGCAGTGACATGACCATTTTTTCTTGGAATTTTGTAAGAGGACGGGGAGGGCGGGGAGCCAGGAAAAGACACTTCACCCTGAAGTGCAGGAGCCTGGCCAGCCGAGCCACGAAGCACGGTGGTCTGTGCCCAGGCCGTCTTCACCGGTTTGGTCTCTGGTTTGATAAGGCTCACGTGGACAGCCGGGCATGGGTGCCAGCCATGGGAGCTTAGCTGGGCCAAGGGTGAAGCACTGTGGCAGAGACAGTCACCTGTAGGGGGGCGTGTGGGGACACATTTCTTTCCACGTCCAGGCCCTTGACTGGCTGCTTTTTCCTTCCAGGTGTTTGCTGTGCGATCTGGTGGTGCCACCGGGGTGGTGGTTAAAGGCCCGGATGATAGGAACCCTATCTCCTTTAGGTAAGATCCTTTCTCACAGTAATGTCCAACTTGGAGACAGTTGTGACTGCCGCTTTGTATCTTACCCCTTGGTTTCCCCTAAGGGGTCTGGTGTGTGTGTGTACAGGTGCCAGCAGTCCTGCTGGGCACACAGGCGTCTCACCCCTCCTGTGCCAGGGAAATGTGTGGCACTGGTGGTTGGGGCCGAAGGGCAGCTGCTTCCTGGTCCCTGGCATCAGCCACTCAGGGCGTGGATGCACCCATTTCCTGTCGGTGGACTTCCTGTGTCAACTTCAGTGCCCCCCCCCCTTCCTAAGGCAGGGAGCCGAGGGCTTCCACAGTCCCTAAGGTGACCAGATGGCCCAGTTTGCACAAGTACTCAACCCCGGGGTGTGGTGGGGGCTCTGTGACTCTCAGAGTGACTCCATGTGGGTGAGAACTGTCATGCAGGTGGAGGCCCTCCTTCAGTGGGTGAAGAAGTGTAGGAAGACAGTTCAGGGTGACCTTCAGTCTTGGGAACCCAGTTTTGAAGGAGAATGCTCGGCCTCTCTTCCTTTGCTCACGCTGGCTTTACTAGGGGCCCGGCAAGTAAAGGCCTTGACCTCAGCCACTCTTCACCCCACTTTTGGACCCATAAATGCAGCGTGGGAGACGAGTGAGCAGGAAGCACATTGTCCACCGTGACACGGGTGTGATGAAGCTCTGTTTCAAATGTGAAACACTGCAGAGTCATGACACTCCCCTTGGGCCGGGTCAGGGAAGACCACCAGCCAAGGAGGCCTGGGGCTGGGAGCAGGCGGTGCAAGGGGGTAAGCTTTGAGCGAAGTGTTAAATTTTAACTATTTGTTTGAGGCCAGCTTTGTGGCATAGGGAGTTAAACTACCACCTGTGGGGTCAGCATCTCCATATGGACACTGGTTCGAGTCCTGCTCGCTCTGCTTCTGATCCAGCTTCCTGCCAATGCACCTGGGAAAGCAGTAGAGGGTGGCCCAAGTAGGTAGGCCATGCCCCCGTGTGGACAGCCTGGAGAAAGCTGGCTGCCAGGCTGCCAATCTTGTGGAGTGAATCAGTGAATGAAAGCTTCCTCTCTTTACCTCTACCTTTCAAATCTTTTTTTTTTTTAAGGTTTATTGATTTCTATTGGAAAGACAGATGTTTTACAGAGAGAAGGAGAGAGAGAATGATTTTCCATCCTCTGGTTCACTCCCCAAGTGGCTGCAATGGCCAGCACTGAGCCAATCTGAAGCTGGGAGCCAGGAGCTTCTCTCAGGTCTCCTATCTTGGTGCAGAGTCCCAAGGCTTTGGGCCGTCCTCCACTGCTTTCCAGGCCACAAGCAGAGAGCTGGAAGGGGAGTGGACGCAGCTGGGACATGAATCAGTACCTATGTGGGATACTGGTACTCTTGCAAATAGAGGATTAGCCTGTTGAGCCACAGTGCCATCTCCTGCCTCTCAAACCTTCCAGAAAAAAATTATTAATAGATAAATAAATAGATAGATAAATAAATAAAATTTGTATTTATTTGAAAGGCAGAAAGGGTCTTCCATCTGATGCTTCAGTCCCTAAAGGCCCCGAATAGTCCAGTGCTGCGTTGGCTGAAGCGAAGGGCCCAGAACTCAGGCTGGCTTTCCTGCCTGGCTGAGAGGGGCTGTGCTACTGTGGCCAGCACCTGCTGCCTCCCAAGGCCTGCATCCGTGTGAAACTGCGATGGGGAGTGGAGCAGGGGCTTGGATGCAGGCATTTCAATCAGTACATGGGCTGTGCCATCAGAGGCCTGCCCAAAGCACAGGTCTAAATAATGCATGGGGTGATTTGTAGCTGGGGAAATAGGGGGAGTTCCTTGATGGAAAACCACAACAACAAAGATATTTTGGGAGATAATTTTTTTTTATTTTAAAGAAAGCTTTGTTGCAGTGTCATTGGTGCACAAGTCGCTGCACACATTCAGTGTCTACACTAAGTTGAATTTTGACACACGTGTGCATCTGTGAAACTCACCGCGGTTAAGGGTCTGAGTTTCCATACCCCCAAGTATCTCTTCATTGCGTGCAATTCCTCCCTTGGATGTACTTAGCAAAAAATGTGAGAGAAAGAGAAGAAAGAGATACTGTCCAAATGCCCACAGCTCGCAGGGCACATTTTGGGAAGCCAGGAATTCAAACCCGTGTTTGCCACAGGGACTCAGCTACTTAAACCTGCCATGTCTGCACCGGCAGGGTGCTGGAATCAGCCTCAGTGCTCCAATGTGGGCCCCTACATTTCTTTTTTTAAAGATTTACTATTTATTTGAAAGGCCAAGTTACAGAGAGATGGGGAGAGAGAGAGAGAAAGAGGAAGCGATAGGTCTTCCATGCACTGGTTCACCGCCCAGATTGCTGCAATAGTTGGTTCCTGGCTGGGAGCCAGGAACATCTTCCAGGGCTCCCAGCTGGCTGCAGAGGCCTGAAGAGATGGGCAGTCCTCTGCTGCTTTGCATTAGCAGGGAGCTGGATTAGAAGTGGAGCAGCCAGGACTTGAGCCGATGTCCACGTAGATGCTAACAGCGTAGGCGCCAGTTTTATTTGCTAGGCCATGACTGTGCCCTCTGACATACTGTTTAACGCCCGTTTAGAGTACATGGCAGTGGTTGCATGGAGAATGGGCCACGAGTCGCAGGGTAGACTCCTTGCACAGCAGGTTTGCTGAGAGTGTTGGACAAGGACTGTCGTTTGTGAAGTGCTGTGTGGCTGTGCAGATAACACGTTTGTTTCAGCCTGTGGTAATTGTCAGGTGATAAGTATATGTGATTGTAAGTCTTCACTCTCCTGTTACCCATAAAGCTCTAAATCTCCAGCAAGCTGTTTCTTGTTGGGTTTTATTGTTTGAAAACACAGGTGGGTGTTTAGCTTAGTGGGCGAGATGCCGGTGTGTGTGTCGGCGTATCTAGGTTCCATGCTTGCTTCCATCTCCTGACTCCAGCTTCCTGCCAGTGCAGATCCTGGGAGGCCACTGAGATGGCTCCAGAAGTTGTGGGATGGTTCCCATGCCTGGGAGAGCTGGGCTGAGTTCCTGGCTCGGGCCCCAGCATTTGGGGAGCAGACCAGTTGATGGGAGCTTGCTCTCTGTTCTTTACAAACACCTTTTGTCTCCATGAGAGTTGCTAGAGGCTCTTGTTTTGTTTAAATGCTCTTTTTTTTTTTCCTTGTTAAAGAATGGATGACAAAGGAGAAGTGAAATGCATTAAGTTCTCTTTGGAAAATAAGATACTGGCTGTGCAGAGGACCTCAAAGACTGTGGTGAGTACGGCATTGCAGAAGGGCCATGGCATGCACCTGCAAGGGAGCGAGTGGCCAGGAGCGCAGTGTCCGGGGAAGCACGTGTGTTATTGGTTCTTTGGCTGTCTTGGAAGATGGAATTGTGTCCTGTCTCATTTGAGCTTTCAATGATGGGAAAGACATGAATGGAAAATTAAATCTGAGCTTGTTTGAAAATGAAATCTGAACTAGTTTGATGTTTTTAATTTCTTTTTTTAAAAAATGCTGGACTTCATAGATATTTATTGTGTGGTGGCTGCCAAGGCTGATGCTGTGAGGCATGTTCTTGCAGCTTTATGGATTCACCTTACTAAGGAGCTGTGTGTGACTTCTCTCAGGTCACACAGGAGCCCTCGTGGTTGCCACAAGCTTTCTGGCCCTGTAGCCCTTAGAATTGCTCACTGTGGTCCTTTATAAAGGGGCAGCAGAAGCTGCAGGGGAAGGCAAGCCATCTCATTTGCTCCTTTGTGCTCAGTATTCATTGTTAACCCTGAAGGGAAGCTTCCCGGAAAATGCAGCAGCAGACATCAGCTAGCCGAGGAAGGGATTTCCAAACTGGCCTTGGGTTTGTATCTGTTCCTGGTAGCCGAGCTGGAAGCCTGCTGCTGGGAAGGGGCCACTCTGTGTCCTCCATGGGGCCCTGTCTGTTATTTTCTGATGGCTTTTGGAACCAGCCTTGTTTCTGCTGGGTCTGGGAGCATGCCACGTGTGCTGGGGGTGGGTCGGGGTGGGGAGCATGTAGAATGTTGGCTGATCCACATTCTCCAACGTGTTCTTGCCTTCACTGTGCAGGATTTCTGTAATTTCATCCCAGATAATTCTCAGCTGGAATACACACAGGAGTGCAAGGTAGGGGCTGAAATCCTCTCTGCCAGCGACAGGGGCTGTGTGGGCTGTGTGTGGGGAGCAGGGGCAGGCCTCGCCGTGCTGGGATCCTTGGATGGGAAGGCCTGTCTCTGTAGCTGGCAGATGCATTTGGAGGGCTGAAGGGGTGGTGGCTGTTCACCTCCAGCTGAGTCAGCTCCGCCACCTGCTGCTTCTGTCCCACGTGTTGTCAGCCTTGGTCCCCTCACTGCTGGCTGCCTGGGAGGTTGTGGGTGGGGTACTTTTTTCTCTTTCACTTTCTTTGATGATGGTTTCTTTCTTGATATATATAGATTTATTTTAAATTTTTTACTTAAGAAGCAGATTTTAAAGAGACAAGGAGAGATAGAGAGAAAAAGAGTTAGAGAGAATCTTCTATATGTTGGTTTACTCCCCAAATGCCTAAAGTGACCAGGGCTGTGCTGATCTGAAGCCAGGAGCCAGGAGTTTGTTCCAGGTGTCCCAGGCAGGTGCAAGGGCCTAAGTACTTGACCCATTTCTTTGATGCTTTGTCAGGCCACTGGCAGGGAGTTGGATTGAAAGTGGAGGAGCCATGTATCCACATTGGATACCGATGTACAGGCCGGGGGTTAGCCTGTTGAGCCACAGTTATGGCGTCTTTCTTCCTTGATTTCTTGTCCTAGGAGAGTCCTGGGCATTCCTGCTGCACTCAGATGCAGATTAGATCCACATGAATGAGCTTTGCTGGGCACGACAGAGTAGGCTAGAGGGGGCTCGCCTGAAGTTCCCTGGGCACCTTTCATCATCCCAGCTCAACAGAAGCCGCTCAGTGCATGTGTTAAGCCCTGGGGAAGGGCTCCCGGGCTCTCAGGCCTGCTGTGCTCAGTGAAGGTCAGGGGAAGGCTTTGCCCCTCAGCAAGGCACGGTGCGGCTGCTCAGAAACCGAGCCTTTCCCAGCTTGGCTGCTCCATGAGTGGCACCACCGTAGCCCTGTTGGGCCCAGTCCCTCTTGGCCTCAGGATCCACACACCCGTTGTGGTCCTCACTCAATGAATTAACTTCAGGTCTTTGTGCTTTTATAGTGCAGTAGGTTCTCAAGTCTGTTTGAAAGAGACATGGGCCATAGCATAGTAGGCTAATCCTCCTCTTGCAGTACAGACATCTCACGTGGGCAGTGGTTCAAGTCCCAGCTGCTCCACTTCCCATCCAGCTCCCTGCTTGTAGCCTGGAAAGAAGTGGAGGATAGTCCAGGACCTTGGGTCCTTATACCCAGGTGGGAGATCCAGAGGAAGCCTCTGGCTCCTGGCTTCAGATTGGCTCAGCTTTCGGTGTTGTGGCCATTTAGGGAGTGAGCCAGTGGGTGGACGATCTCTCTTTGTCTCCCCTTCTCTCTCTCTAACTCTTCTGTCTTCCAAATGAAAATAAATCTTTAAAAAAGAAGAAGAAAAGAGGAGGGAGGGAAGAAGAGAGCAGAGAGAGAGAATGAGATCTGGTATGCACTGCTTCACTTCCCAGCGATGTCTGCCGGCAGCACGGCCGGAGCCCGGGAGTCCAGAACTCAGTCCAGGTGTCCCACATGGGCATCAGGGAGCCGGGTGGTTGAGCCACCCCTGCTGCCTCCCTGGGTGCACATCAGCAGGGAGCTAACATTAGGGGTGGACCGGGACCCAGGCACCTGCTGCGGGACACGGGTGTCTGAAAAGGAGTCTTGGTGCTCACACCCATAGCCCGCCCCACTGTGCTGGTTCTCATGGTGGGGCTGACGATGAGGCTGTCGGGCTGACGATGAGGCTGTCGGGCTGACGATGAGGCTGTCGGGCTGACGATGAGGCTGTCAGGCCGACTTCCTGGAGGCAGCAGCCATGCTCAGCCATCTTATACAAAACCTAGGGTGTCTCCTGATCCAGTAACAAGAAGGAGTGACAATTCAGGGTCTTGAATGAGATGTTGGAGTAAAAGTCAGGGAAGGTTGTTTTGAAGAAAATTTGATTTGTTACCAAATAATCCTTTGGTACTTTCTCCAAGAGGGCATGGAAGAACAGTGGCACATTTTAAATTTACGAAGAAAGTGACACCTTATTCTCTGTCATTCCTTTCAGACCAAGAATGCTAATATCCTCGGGTTTTGCTGGACCAGTTCCACTGAAATTGTCTTCATAACAGACCAGGGAATTGAATTCTACCAGGTATTTGATTTCTTTCTTTTTTTTTTTTTGTACATTTTTTTTTTACTATTTTTTTATTTTAACAATCTTTACATGGTTAACTTGTGCACAAGGGGTCAAGGGCTACAGGAAGGTGGGTAAGACCATTATTTCCATATTGTTTCCTTCATATATCTGAGGTAGAGGGGGATATTGAGGGAGAAGCTCCACCCGGTTTCCCACCCACCCCAAGTCCTGCATGTGGGGCATGCTCCGAGACTCGTTGAAGTGGTTTCAATAGGTCACCAGTTTTGAAATTGCTGCCAATCTTGCCTCTCCAAACACGATGAGGTTGTTGAAAAATCCATTAATTGACAGTGTCCATCATAGCGTCTCTATTTTCCCGGTATTTTGTTGCCAACCTATAGCTGAGGTGGTTGATTAACCTGCTCCATCTTCTGTCCCTTCATGGTTAGGGTTCTGAGTCCAGCACTTCAATTGGGGAGATCACCAAAGAAACTTCGTCTGAGGTGTTCTCAGACCAGATACTCGTATGCACCAGCAAGCACAGGGCCCAGCACAGTCCATCACCCAGTCAGCTGGTAGTTGCAATTGCTGGGTTGGTTCTGTTTTCAGCCCCGCCTTCTACTGGAACCAATGGGTGTTGCAGTCCAGCCTGGTTCTGCACAGCACATACTCGGTCTTCACCGAAACCAGTGGGAGCTGCATCCTGATGAGAGCGGCCCACAATAACCCCCACCAGGCCAACCCCATACCCTGGTTTGCCAGTATGTGTAGCAGACCAGTCCAGTCTGACCCACATCCCCCCTGGTTCTCGTACATGGCAAATGGCATTGAAGCTTGGATTCATCTACCCAGCTCAACAGTCAAGCCTTCACGGGTGTGGTTGAGAGGTATTTGATTTCTTATCTCTGCTTGCTGCAGACAGCCCCTTGAGGGCAGCTTGGGCAGCCTTTCAAATTCAGCACTTAACAAAGTACACTTTTTTCCAAGATGCATGGAAAGTGAAAGTTCACATGATCTCTGGAAATTACCATCTGATACTTTTCCCTGCACACATGCACACTTTCTTTTAGAAGGAAACTTGCACACGGACTCCTGCAGCTAACTGGACCCTCACGGCAGTGTGCCTTGGCCGCCTTTCCGTGGTGGGCCGTGGAGGTACCGCCGTTGACTGCGCTGATGTGCTGGCACCTTTGTATTCCCATTTCTGTGACTGTAGACAGTCCTTGGGAGGGCAGGCTGTTGTGCTCTGGGTGAGGCAGTTCTTGGAGGAGACCCGAGCATGGGGATGGCTTCCCTGCTGAAGTTTATGCTTTGCCCAGCCCTGTAGGAGTCTCCATGTTCCACACTTGGTCAGCACTGGAGGTTCTGTGGCTGTAGGCATTTTCCTGTTTGGGAGCTAGAAACACATTTTAATTTGCAGTTGTTCTTACTGGGGAGGCAATTTGTTTTTTAAAGATTTATGTATTATTTTTATTGGAAAGTCAAACTTACAGAGAGGAGAGACAGAGAGAAAGATCTGTCTGCTGCTTCACTCCCCAAGTGGCCACAACGAGTGGAGCTGACCTTATCTGAAACCAGGAGCCAGGAGCTTCTGCTGGGTCTCCCACATGCGTGCAGGGTCCCAAAGCCTTGGGCCATCTGCTGCTGCTTTCCCAGGCCACAAGCAGTTGGGATACGAATTGACACCCATGTGGGATCCTAGTGCATGCAAGGCAAGGTAGCCTAGAAAGATTCAGTTTTTTAAAAGTTGTTTCATTCATTTGAAAGGCAAAATTAGAAAAGAAGAGATAGAGGAAAGCCAGCAGTGGGGAGCGTGTGGAGAGCGATGGTCTTCCATGTGATGGTTCACTCCCCAGATGTCTGCGGTGGCCAGGCTTGGGTCAGGCTGAAGCCAAGAGCCAGGAGCTTCCCCTGGTCTCAAGCACTTGGACCATCTTTTGCTACTTTGCTAGGCACAGTAGCAGGAAGTTGGCTAGAAGTGGAGTAACCAAGACTTGAACGCGTGCCTATGTGGGATGCCCGTATTACAGGCGGCAGCATTTCCCACCATGCCACAACACTGGCCTCAATCTTTTTTATTTGTTTTTTGTCGTCCATTTATCTTTTGTTGTGAACTGCCCGTACATAGCTGTGCTAAGGAACCACAACATTTACCATCTTAACTTACCCTTTAGATCGGTGGTTCAGTGGCGTTGAGTTTGCTCACTCATGTGATTGTGAAACAGCTCCAGGCTGTGTTATGTTGCCAAGTGGAAACTGCTTATTAAACACCAGCCCTTCTGCTGCTTTCCCAGGCCACAAGCAGGAAGCTGGAAGGAAAGTGGAACAGTCAGGATATGCATTGACATGGTAGCCTAAAATCCTTGCGTTGCATGCTCTAGGATCCCCTCTGGGTGCTGGTTCTAATCCCAGTTGCCACGCTTTCCTTCCAGTTCCCTGCTTGTGGCCTGGGAAAGCGGTTGAGGACGACCCAAAGCCTTGGGACCTTGCACCCACATGGGAGACCTGGAGGAGGCTTTGGGCTCCTGGCTTTGGATTGGCTCAGCTCCGGCCATTGCAGCTGCTTGGGTAGTGAATTAATGGACGGAAGATCTTCCACTCTGTCTCTCCTCCTCTCTGTATATCTGACTTTTCATAAAAAAAAAAATAAATCTTTAAAAAATTTCGCTTCTTGGCCTTTTGGCTAAGCTCAGGTATAGTATCTGTTCTTATCAGTAAAAAAAAAGCAAACAAAAAAAAACCATCTCTTTGATTTCTGTAGTGGGAATGCGCACACGGAGGTGACCTTGTTGGCCTTCAAGGCTGCAAGAAATCAGCAGCCCTGCCTGACTTGCGTGCCAGTTCTTTGGTGCAGCATCTGTGGGCGTCAGTGTGTCCCTTAGCATGTCAGAGCCCGTGGAAAGAGCCCTGATGAGAAAGCGTGCTGGTGCCGAGCGTCACCAGCATATTGGTGTGAAGCTGGGAACCCCTCCAAGGCTGGCCTGGGGACTGGGCAGGAGGCCGACTTGGAACCTGGATCTCTCCATTTCTGCGGTGTGTGAGAACACAGCTGCTCCTTGCTCCTGGTGCACTGGGCTGAGCAGGCACAGGGGCAACATGACTGCCATGAGGGCTGCCTGGCTTCCAGGGCCGGTAGGGCTGAGCCACAGGGTCCCTGATGGCAGGGCTGGCCGCCCGCAAACGTCCTGAACATAAGTCATACTCTAGTCCACTCGGCATCCCTTCCCTGGCTGGACCGTGGCAACTTGTCTGCTGTTCTTTCCTGTTGTCTGCGGCGGCAGGTGCTCCCGGAGAAGCGCAGCCTGAAGATGTTGAAGAGTCACAACATCAACGTGAACTGGTACCTGTACTGTCCCGAGAGCGCCGTGATCTTGCTCTCTACCACCGTGCTGGGCAACGTCCTGCAGCCTTTCCATTTCAGGGTGAGTCTCCCCTCCTGGGCCTGCGGCCAGAAGAGGGCGCCCCACACCGTGGCACGGTGCAGGCCCAGGGCTGGCTGGTTCTACGCAGACCCAAGCGTGGGGAGTGAAGTGGCCCCCAGACGCCGTGTGTGGGGATTGGGACACCTCGAAGGGGCTTTGTAAACTGTTCCTACTTCTCCCCTCTACACAGGCTGGCACCATGTCGAAGCTGCCCAAGTTTGAGATCGAGTTACCAGCCGCCCCAAAGTCCACCAAGGTCAGCCTGTCTGAGCGGGACATCGCCATGGCCACCATGTAGGTTTGGGGCTGGAGGGGGGTGGGAAACTCCCCCTTGGGATGGCCCTGATGGAATGTGTGTGTCACAGTGAGAGTGATGTACTTAGGGACCTTAGGAGGACACCCCATTTCCTGCATGTTACCCTGATTTTACAAGTATGCAAAACTGTGGTCTTTCTGGCTTTTTTTTTTTTTTTTTTTTTGGTGGCTTTCTCTAGAGGGAAGGTTTTCACTTTTCTTGTGTGATAAAATATGAACATTGTGATAAAAATGAGAACATGGTGCAAATTTACTTCTTATTTATCTTAGTTTTGGAGTTTTTTTTTTTTTCCTTTTGGTGAGCTGAAGCTTACCAGGATTTTTTTAAGCTAAAAATACATAATTGTTCTAGAATAATTTTTTTTAATCTAACAAGCAGAATTGGATTACTTGTCTGTTTTCAATTGGAAGTAGATATGTGAAATTAATTTTTAAACAAAATTTCAATCTCAGAAATATAAACCAGCACAGGCAACTCCGCATACACCCACATCCCTGACTCAGCAGTCATCACAGTTTTGCTTCCAAATTGCTTCTGAATGCCTGGCTCCCTGGCTTGGAGGCTTTTCCAGTGTGTATTCGGGAGCTCTTCAGTGGGTCCCGGGTTTGAAGATGAAGCGCCAGGCGTCCCAGGCCCCGGGCTGCGGCCTTCAGCATGTGCTGGTGCTGGGTGGAGTTTTGTATTCTTGCCCTTGGGGGCTCACGGGCTCTGGGTGGCAGACCACACTTCCTGGCCGCCTGTGTGGTGACTGCGGATGCTTGGCCCTGTAGCCGAGCAGGGGGTGTGGAGAGTAGCCAGCCCGGGAGGACACTGGCCTGTGTGTTCTCTGATCAGATACGGCCAGCTCTACATTCTGTTCCTGAGGCATCATTCGCGAACGTGCAACAGCGCAGGCGCCGAGGTGGTCCTGTATCTCCTCCCGCGGTAAGGTGGCCGCCCTGCCGCCTCCTTCTCACTCTCCACTGTTCACAGGAGAACTGAAGCCTGCTGATGTATTTGTTGTTGGGCTTCCTGTTGTCCCACAGAGAAGGATCCTGTAAAAAGATGCACATCTTAAAGTTAAACAGGACGGGGAAGTTTGCCCTGAACGTGGTGGACAACTTGGTGGTCGTTCATCATCAGGACACGGAGGTACGAGCCACTGGGAGGGGTGGGTCGGGCTGAGGTGGAGTCGGACACAAATCTGCCCTCACTCCCTTCCCTAGAAAAGATTCTCAATGCCCTACCCTTGGGTCTTTCCAAAGGAAACCCGTTTGGTCCTGTAAGTGAAGTAGTGGCTGGCCGTACGTGAATAGGGCTAATCAGAAGCCACTTCAGAAAATAGCACACAGGGTCGTCTGACCTTGGCAACACTTGGTGGTCCACTGTGTCGCAGGAGTTGGTGACCCTGTGCCCTCGGAGAGTGAGCTCACGGGTAGCTGGAGGCTGTGTGGCCCGAGGGTACTGAGGGGGCACCTGCCTTTTGTGGGCTTTTGGATGGGCCTCCCAAGGCATTCAGACCCGTCCCCCAGGCATTCCCAAACGGGCAGGGGGCTGCACGGCTTTGAGGAGTGAAGGTGCTGCGAAGGATGAAGATGTGAGAATCGCCTTGAGCTGCTGAGGGGAGCAGCCAGACCCCGCATGTAGGCAGCAGGCGGGCATGACCGGGTGGCACATTCCTCCAGCTGCAAGTCTGCCAGGAGGGGTGGCTGACCCGCAGCTGCGCTGTGTGCCTGGGTGACAGGGCCTGATCAGGTGGGCATGGTGTGCTGCAGCCTCATGGTCTGCTTTCTGTCTGCCACAGACGTCGGTAATATTTGACATCAAGCTGCGGGGGGAGTTTGACGGCTCGGTGACCTTCCACCACCCAGTGCTGCCTGCGCGGTCGATCCAGCCCTACCAGATCCCCCTGCCAGGTAAGACAGGTGCCCTGCGTGGCTGGCTCCCCTCCCCTCTTTGGGAGGAAGAACCAGGGCTGCCCAATCTTTGTTTTTCTAAAAATGCAGCTGCTACTTTTCTAAAGCTGCATTGCAATGCGGGAAGCATTCAATAACGCAAAGGACTCGTTCTCTTGCCTGAGCTGCACAGAGATTCTGACCCATTCAGCTTGAGTGTGTGATGCTGATAACCCCTTCATATGTCCTGCTCACCTGCACCCTGCAGCCCCGCAGCTCAGCTTGGCTGGCTGTGGTGGTTGCCTTTACCCATGCTCTCCTCGCCCCTGCCTCTCCCCCCTTCACGGCCTCCCTCTGCCTCTCCCCCCTTCACGGCCTCCCTCTGCCTCTCCCCCTTCACGGCCTCCCTCTGCCTCTCCCTTCTTTGCAGTCAGCATTCTGATGATGTGCCCACGGATTAGTCCTCACCTTGCCCGCAGCGCTGGAGGTGGGAGGGCAGCAGCCTGCAGGGCAGGCTGGCAGGGAAGCGGCAAGAGACCTCTGGTGCCTTTGGCCTGGTACCAGCATGACTGATTTCCTGATCTTGCCGTCTGGATCAGGAGGTCTGAGGGCGGTGGGTGCCCAGCTGAAGTCGCCGTGTGTGACCGAGACTCCAGGGGCAGTGTTTTGTTCTCGGAGGGCAGGCCAGCCAGCTGGTCCCTGGGGGTCGGTCCCTCCTTTGTGGTCTGTACTTGGGCTGGGGCCGGGGTGAGCGGACTGAGGTGGGAGTGCAGCGGGAGCACCACCTCTGTCCTCCCCCGCCCCTTTGCAGGTCTTGCCACAAGCTAATGGCTTGGAGGAAGGAGTGGGTTCTCACGGTTGACAGTGTTCGTGGCCTCTCCCCACCTCCGCCACGTGTTAGCCTGTTAGCCTCTCCTTGCTCAGGACTTTTAGGTCTGTTGGCAGTGGTAAAGCCTGCTTAGAGGCATTTGGGTTCCAGCTGGCCATTAGAAGAAAACAAATGCTACTGTGGTGCAGTGGGTTAAGCTACCACCTGAGACATCAGTGTCCTGAATCAGAGCACTGGCTCTACTCGAGTCCAGCCGGGGATCAGGGGTGCAAGGGCAGTGCTGCTCCCTCCCCAGGGATCTCTCTGTTAAGACAAGTACACTGCGGGCCCTTTGACTCACCTCTCGTCTGGGCCTTGGAAGCTGGAGTAGTTGCTCAGGTTGCTGCTGTCCATGTGTGTGTCAGTGAACTCTAGCAGCTTCGGCTCTTGAAGGCCAGTGTTCCCCCTCCTCGGGGACCTTCTCAGGGACCATTCCAGGCTCCCTGCCCACCACCTGTTATCAGAGAGCCTTCGTCCTGGCTCAGCCCTGGGCTGCTGGGCAGCGCCAGCGGGCACTGGGGCCGTCAGCTGCCTTTCTTATTTGCAGGTCCTGCTGCCATGACCAGCCAGTCTCCGGTTCCCTGTAAACTTTGTATCCTTTGAAGAGTGTGGGAGGTATCCGTATCCTGCGCTCTGCGGGTACCCGCGTGCGCTCCCTAAACCTCTCCCCACCCCCACTGCTGGCAAGTTTGTGGGGGTGGGTCACAGCAGGCACAAGTGTTGCAACCTGGTTTAAGGTTTCCTATAACCTGCAGATTCTTCCTCCTGGATTGTCTTCCAGCCCGACATCATCATTAGCGCAAGCCAAGGTGGGTGGAGGGGTGGAGGGCCTCATGGGAGGATGGGCGTGACCTCCTAAAACAGCTGAGGGACAGCCATGCCCTCCTCTAAGCCCATCTTAAAAGCCTGACTCCAAGCCTTGGGGTCGGAATGTGGCCCCTGCCCATCCCCGGGGGTGCACCTGTGCCCTTGGCAGCCTTGGCCCACAGGAATCTCTTCCTGGGTATCGCCTGTGTCTTTCTTGGTCACAGAACTTCTTGTGCTGTTCTTCAGTTACCTGTGCATTTTCCCGGCTTCTCTCCCCCTCCCTGCACCCCCCGGCTCCTCAGGCCAGAGCCATCCTCTGGCTGCAGTGCGTATCTTTTGCCCTGGGCATGGGCAGTGCTGCTGACCCTCGGGGCAGCTGACAGCACTCAGGCGACCCTGTGTGCACATGTCCTCCTCTTGGGCAAGCCTAGTGCAAGGACCCAGCCAGGCTGCCTGCACAGCCACCTGTGTGATCACTCGGGACTGTGCAGGGATGAGTGAGGAAGTCCTGTAGGGTTCCTGCACTGGACTGCAGAGCTAGAGCAGGAGACCAGGGCTGAAGTTGGTGCCACATGTCGGCATGTCTACTTGAGGCAGTAAGAGGGGGTCTGGGTGTGGGGCCAGGATTGTGTGGAATCAAGGACTCCCTGCCCTGTTTAGGGAGCCATGCCCTTGACATCCTGCTGTCACACACTGCTGGCTCAGCTTTGGCTAAAAGAAGGCCATTCACCGTGCAAGGGTCCACTTGTCCCGGGTAGGGGAACTGAGCTGCTGCTCTGGACGGCGCCGCAACGTTCACTGTGCTGCCCCTCAAACCCCAGGCTACCTGTGGAACCTCCAGGTGAAGCTGCAGCCCATCGTGAACCTGCTGCCAGACAAGGGAAGGCTCATGGACTTCCTGCTGCAGAGGAAGGAGTGCAAGGCTGTCATCCTGTCCGTCTGCTCGCAGAGTGAGTCCCCAAGCCAGCCTCCTTATCTGCACGGCCTTGTTGACGTTGTGCCTTATCTACAACCCAGTTACAGAATGTGTATGACCTCTGGGAATGGCTGCCACACACAGCCCTCTCATAGGACAGATCAGGACACAGCTGACCCAAGTAGGGCACACGAGGGCACGGGCACGCACACGGGCTGCACAGCAGCCATCTTTGGGCATCCAAGTTACTTACGGTGACTGTGACTGCATTCGTCTGTCTAGTAACCGACAGGGGACAGGAACAGCTGTGGCTGTCCTGTAAATGTGCCTGCCCAGAGGAGGGTGATCCTGGGCCACACACTGGAGTTCCGGGGCTGCGCTACCCACAAGTCTAATCCGCTGTCCACCTTGCCCCCCGCAGTGCTGGGCCAGTCAGACAGAGCCTCGCTGCCCGTGATAGCCACTGTCTTCGATAAACTCAACCACGAGTACAAGAAGTACCTGGATACTGAGCAGTGTCACACGATGGTAAGTAGTGACAGTGCTGGATCAATGGATGGATGGGCTTGGTGCCATCTGCCGCCTCTCCGTAGGGCCAGGTGGGGCAAGACGAGCAGAGGCCTCACAACCCACTGGCCTAGATGCCAGCTCACCAGGCACCTTCACTGTTTTTGATCTGATCTTACACATAAATCCTTGGTCTGCCTCTGTCCTATAGATAAGAAAACCAGTGTTGGTCAAGCTAGCCTGGATTAGTGAATGAGAAATCTAACTTTGGACCACCATACCTTCTTCCTCTCCTTTGTGGGGGTGCTAGGAAGATGAGACTCGGCCTAGCCAGCAGTTGGTGTCTCGGCAAGGCAGCTTTGGTTGGATGGTCAAGTGTAGGCACTGGACTCCAGGGAGTGGGCACCAGGGCTGGAGAGAATGCGTGCATCCTCTCACCCTGCTCACGATGGGCTATTTTTAACCCATTATCTTCTGAAGACAGAAAAGATTAGTGCAAGTGGAATTCTTTCACTTCAAGTTCTAATTTAGTCCTAAAGGCTAAAAACGGAAATGGCTTTAAGCAAGCAAAGTCAAAACCAGTCCCTTGATTTGCTTAGGGCTATCAGGCTGCCAGCCTCGAGGAACAGCTAAGCTCACTAGTTCCTGCTCCTGATGTGGGCTCTTCCTGCACCACCTTTGCTGGCCATTGGACTTTGTAAGCCCTCAATGCCCAGAGCACATGGGTGCAGTGACCAGGGCCGCTTAGGGATTAGGGTTTCCAGGCTGCACCCCACCACAACTGTTGAGTCCCCCTGACACAAAGGGCTTGGCATTGATGGGTAAGAGTCGACGTCTTGTCGCACAGCTTCACATCTTTACCATTTTGGGGCCCAGACTGAGGCATATGTGAGGTACGCTCACGTTATGTGCTCAGGGCTCCCTAAAACACGGTCAACACGCCAGTGTAGCCTGGGAGCTGAAAAATGCAAGGCTAAGAAAGAAAACTGACTTCTGCTGGTCTAGTTCATCCTTGAACCCTGGTGTGTTCTCAGGAGGCCCAAGGGGGACTTCCTGGCTATTCCCTGTGGTACAGCAAAGCATTCTTAGTAGTGCAGTGTTTTCTCTTCCTGCCATGATGTACCTGCTGGAGTGCAGTCTCTTGGGATGCTCTGTGAGTGGCGCCATCTCTTGATCACGACCCCAGCATGTGATTTGCTGTTGCAGGCTGTGGAAGCAGGGCAGAGTCGCAACCCACTTTTCAAGAGGTCCGTGCAGACTCAGGCCGTGGTGGACCAGTCGGACGTGTACACTCATGTGCTGTCACCGTTCACCGAAAACAAGGTGGGCAGCGGTTCCCCAGGTGCTTCTAGATGGGCAGTTCTGAGTAGGGAGCTGGGGCCCATTAGAACTCGGGACACGAGTGCAAGAACTACAGTTGTCTTATGTGGGGACCTAGCATTGGTAGTTCGGACTTTTTTTTCCTTTTAAAGATTTATTCTACTGGTTCACTCCTCAAATGCCTGCAATGGCTGAGGCCGAGTTAATAGCCAGAAACTCCCATCTGGGTGCCCCATATGAGTGGTGGGGCCCAAGTGTTCAGGCCATCTTCTGCTGCCTTCCCAGGTGCACTGACAGGGAGCTGGACTGTGAGCACAGCATCTGGGACCCAGGATGCCCAGGTCAAGGCAGCAGCTTTACAAGCTGCACCTCAAGGCCCACCTATGTAGACTAGCCTCTGATAGGCTGGAGCCACCATCCTGCATGGGGTCGTTCTGTGGGATTGGGCATGGGCCAGGCTGGGGTGCTGGACAGGGAGGTGTTACCATGGAGCTCTCACAGACACCCCGTCCCCCCTCCAGGAGATGCCACACAAGTTTGTGATCGCCGTGCTGATGGAGTATATCCGCTCCCTGAACCAGTTTCAGATACCAGTGCAGGTACCTTCCCGTAGGTGTCTTAACCTAGGCCCTACCCCTTTCACTTGCTCCCAGGATCTACCTCTCTGACTTGAAATTCCCAGACGCTCCTAACCTTCCCACATGTGGCCTGGAGTAGCTGCGGTCTTCACCCAGCCAGCCGCTCACGTGCTGTGGCAGAGCCACACAGGCCTGTGTTTAACTCACGCTTTGTCCACAGCACTACTTGCACGAGCTGGTCATCAAGACGCTGGTCCAGCACAACCTCTTCTACATGCTGCACCAGTTCCTGCAGTACCACGTGCTCAGCGACTCTAAGCCCCTGGTAGGTGGCATAGGGCTTGGCCTGTGTTGACACCCAGTGCAGTGGTTCAATGGCTAAACCTCACCTTGCAGGCATTGATTGGGGTTTCATCTGGGCATTGTTTCGTGAGCACCACATTGCAGGCCACACTAGCCTGCCCCTTTGTCTTGTTACAGGCTTGTCTGCTCTTGTCCCTAGAAAGCTTCTATCCACCTGCGCACCAGCTCTCACTGGACATGCTGAAGGTAACTGGCCAGCATGGTCTCATTCGCTTGACACCCGCCCTGGTGCTGGTACTGACCTGCACTCTTCTTCCCCCTCACTCCCAGCGACTCTCCACAGCCAACGATGAGATAGTGGAAGTGCTTCTCTCCAAACACCAAGTGTTAGCGGCCTTGAGGTTTATCCGGGGCATCGGTGGCCATGACAACATTTCTGCACGGAAGTTTTTAGACGCTGCGAAGCAGACAGAGGACAACATGCTTTTCTATACCATATTCCGGTTTTTTGAACAGCGAAACCAGCGCCTGCGAGGGAACCCCAGCTTCACTCCAGGTGGGAATACTGTGGTCCTGGCAAGACCTGGGTGACCAGACTCGGGGGGTAAGAGCACAGCTGGGCACAGGAAGCCCCCCAGGAAGGACGACTTGCAGCAACATGCTCTAAGGCAGCATAGTGATGGAACTCATACCGGCAGCGGTGTGGGGTAGAGATGGACTCTGGCGGCTCCAGCCTGGAACATGGCTACTAAAGGGTCAGGAACTAGACAGCAGCAGATGGTGCCTAAGGAGTTACATGGCCTGCGGCCCATTCTAATAGTGTCCTGGTTGTAGGCTGGAAAGCCCTTGCTGTAGGAATGCCCCCCCCCCCCGTCACATTCCTGGGTTGGACCCTTAGCTAGGGAGAGCTGGCTCACCCTGGCGGTCCCACTGGCAAGCTGTGCTCAGTCTCTTCCATTCGGTTTTTCCACTCATATCTCAAGCAAGGGGGCAACTTGCTAGTCGTTTTGTAATAGAGAGGGCAACCCAAGCTTAGGAAAACAAAGTATTTTATTAAAAAATAAGTTAAGACCTGGCATACACACCTACTGGGCTGTTTCGCTTTGTGTCACATCTAACTGTGGATTCTGGTCTTCTCTGTAGGAGAACACTGTGAAGAACATGTTGCTTTTTTCAAGCAGGTGTTTGGAGAACAAGCTCTAATGAGGCCCACAACCATCTGAAAGCACTGGCTAGGTTTTTTTTTTTAAATATATATATATAAAAAATTGTGTACAAAGTTAATTTATTGCATTAATAAAGCTCTTTAAACTACAAAGTGTTACAATAAAGTGTATCTACAACATCTTCAAATGCTACTAAAAATATGGTCTAGAACTTTGTGTGATGGCTTACTCCTAAAAACAGGAGCCAGTGCCCTGATTGGCCTTTTACAGGTCAGTGAGCAGGTCATGCCCAGAGCCGTCCCGGTGTCACCTCTGCTTCCTGGAGAGTAGGAGGGGCGGTCAGGTCCCGTGCTCGTCTTCAGGATGTGTAATACTGCTTCACCAGCCAGCCGCGCTGTCCTGAGTTTAAAAACACTACAGCCTCAGCTGCTGCGATGCAACAGCCTGACGTTGGCAAACATCCACCGTTCAACTTAGCCTTGGCAGTGCAGCTCTGTCCACTGGGGCACCTGGTAAATGACGGACCCTTAGACACAGTTCAAAGTCACCAAGCCCTGGAGGGAGCTAGAAATTTAGGAGTCGCTCTCGCTCAGTACCTTTGTATCGCTCTTGAGTGGCACAACTTTTGGCTTTATTTGTTGCGGGTCCTGTGGGAGAAGAATAACCTTCCATTACTGCAGGAGGCAGGGCCTTAGTCTGTGTTTGCCTTTAGAGAAGGACTAGTGGAACTCACTTCCACCCCAAGAATGACGAGCCCCCCCACATTGTCCTGGTTTTTATCCTTCAGTGCGTCAGCCTGGGCCCAAAGCCCTAGACCTGGGCTGTCAGCTGGGGACCATGAGGGGAAGTGACCACAGAAGTCTCGGGGGACAAGGGACTGTCTCAGGGAGGTGAGTGACATGGGGCACAGTGACACCCGAGCAGAACTTGTGGCGGGGGTGGGGTCAGGCCCAGCAGCAGGTGTCTTCTTTCCCACCATGGGTCAGGGACTGCCCCAAGGCCTGCCAACATGCAGACTCACTAGAGGGGTCACTTCAGGCCTTTCTTGGGCAGTCAGGTCAGGTCCCTGGAGACAAAGTAGCAGCTGACTAATGCAGTAGCTGGGGGCAGTCATGAAGCCCCCAAACTGTTTTTCTCCTGAAAATTTTCATCCCAAACCATTCAGCAGATGACCCTGTGAGTGCAGGTGCACATGCTACAGAAGGATGCTCCACGAGGGCTTTTATCCTAGTAACACACACACCTGCTTGTGTCCCGTTAAAGCTATGAATGCTCACCTATGTAACTGAGCAAGACCGGAAGGAAGATCAACCCATGTGTGGCACCCAGCAAGACCATGGCCAAGTACATCCTGAAGTAAAATATCTGGAAAATCTGAGATTTGGCAAAAGCCAACACCACAATCCCTCCAAATTTAGTAAGTGTGATTCCACTGAAGACCTGGAAGACAAGAGTGTTAGAGCTGTGAGCCATTTGCTGTGAGTGAACGCTTTCTGTAATCAAGGTACAGAGCGTGCAGTCACCCTGTGGAGTTGGGGAAGTTGCCCTTGTGGCTTTGTGAGGCTGAGGGGAGAAGGCACGAATAAGGGCCAGAGAGATGACTGCACATGTCCTCCATCAGCAGGTCAACGTGCAGCCTCAGGTGCAGGCGATGCTAAGTAGATAAAACTTGCAAAGTTTTAGCTTTTACTCCCAAACATTTCAGTCTGAAGCGGTAAAGGGACAGACAGGCCACTCCAGGACAGAGTTGAACCAGAACATTCTGCAGGCATGAGCTCCACTCTGCACAGGGTTTTGGAACCCAGGAGCAACCCTGCTTTTCAGCACACAGGGGTGACATGCAGCTCTCTCCAAGTGACCTGCTTGCTGTGGCCACACTGTTCCCCAGGCAGGAGTCATACACACTGGCGTTTCTCAACAGACCTACAGGTCTGCTGGCCAACAGCCTCGCTGGGGCTACTATCAACGCGGCCTCCAGACGCTGGTTCCTGGCTGAATCTCAGTTCCTCCTTGGGGATCCCGTCTTGCCACGAGCTGGCCCTACCAGGGTACTTACAGAGCTGCCCATGTGAGCAAGCGCGTCCTCTGCACGGGCTGCACGGCTTCCTTTTCCACTCACTGTGAACGCTCTGGTTATGTGGCTGCAGAACTCCACGGAGATGCCACAACTCTGCAATAAAGCACTTCGCTTAGCGTGGCCCTTGCCCAGTGCAGTGGCCTGCGCAGCTGCCCCGTCCCCTGAACTGAATGGTATCGACCCCCGGACTCATCACGCTGACCTCCAGCAGGAATGGGGAAGTCCTGGGCACAGCCCTGCACTCCCATTTCCTGTGGCTTTTTGCCTTTAGTAGGGGAGGTGCCGAGGCTTTCCACAAGCTCCACTGGGCCTGTGAGCTGTCACTACTGCTTGTGTCCCACCTGCCACAGGGCAAACACAGGTATGTACTGCTTCTAGTGCCCATTTGTACCCTCCTGAAGGCTCAGCCCCTAGACTGTCACCTGACTGTCCACCTTGGGGGAAGGCCAGACTACTGGACATCCTGGACCAACAGTGAGCATGGCCAGGCTGCAAACGGCACAGTACTGTCAGGGCACTAAAGCAGTGCCCAGGCTAGCCCTGGTCGCACGTCTCTTCTGAGAGGCAGCAGGATTCCAGCCTAGGGCTGAAACTACAGGGCTTCTCTGGATGTCCCCCTCCATGCCCCATCCTGACTCCATCCAGCACCCAGCCCATCTCTCCTGGCAATCTCGCAGTCAGAGCCAGACTTAGTACTCTGCCCCATTTTAGGGTTTTATTGGAATTCCTGACCCAGGTCCTGTGAAAAGCAGAGGAGTTAGAGGCTAATGGAGGACAGACAAGGACTCACCATCACCAAGTTGACCAAGGACACTGCATTCAGACTGATGCCCCAGAGCCACATGACCCCAAACATGTTGACCAAGATCATGGTAATCGTGACACACATAATGACCGCAGCCCACAGCTCACAGCCCAGGAGCACCACGGACACTGCGAACACTGCTCCCAGGGACACGCCAAGGTTAAAGATGGTATCATCGAGAATGGTTAGGTACTGCTCGTAGAAGACGTAGAACACGCTGGGGAGGAGAGAGGAGAGTGTGCCTAAGGCTAAGATTGCCTGCTTCCAGAGCGGAGGTGCACTTTGCCCCAAGATGGCCCAGGCAGGGAACCTGCTTCCAGTGCTGTGCCAGGCTCAGCAGTAGCCACCTGGCTGCTAGCACGACCTAGGAGGGTTCTGCCAGTGGTCGGAGTGCTGCCACCTCAGAGACTTTGAATCAAGTCCTCATTTCTCCTAGAAAGTACCCTCCCCCAGGCCCCACCAAAGCAAAGTGGCTCTGCCCAGGAGTGGGACACACACTCTGAGGCTCCTCCCACACAGCCCCAGGCTGTCCTTTCACCATGGTTGGGACAGAGGTTACAGACTGCCTGGATACAACATCATTGTTTCTTAGCTCATCCTATTTTCCTGTCACATTGAGTTACACTGTCCTTCAAAAAATAGATTCAAAGAGATGGAAAAAAATCCAGTGAATGGAAAAGTCCACCTAAAAGCACCAGGTTATGTGCTCAGCAGGAGGGGGCACCCATGGGTGGCTGCCAGTCACTGAGGACGCGGGCAGCTCCACCTTCTGTGTCCTGCTGGGGGCTGTTTCCCTGTAGGTCTCCCTTAAGCTGAGTGGGCAGGGCTCAAGTTGCACATCTCCAGCCCTGGTCTAGCAGGCCCAGCTTTACCTGTAAGGGAACACACGCTGGTGACTGCCCTTCAGGCCAATGGTGGCGGTGATGTTACTGGCCACGAGTTTGGCTTTCTTCATGGCGTCAATGAAGTCGGCGGAACTCTGCAGCACTGTGTGGTAGGTCATGAAGTATGTGGCTCCGACAGCAGTGTTGTTGCCCAAGATGTTGACTGCCGTGGCATAAGCAGCATGTCCCCTGGAAGGGACAAGGGGTGTCATTCAGGTCTCCCCCGCGGGGGTCGAGCACTGGATCCTCAGTGAAGCCCCCTGACCCTGGGCATGGAGATGGGACCTCAGAGGACCCCTCAAGGATAAGGACTGTCTCCTTGATAGGGCATAAAGCAGGCAGACCTTGCCCTGGGGCAGTTGCCTTCCCTGCTGGGTCCTGCTCCTAAGCGGATGTGTTCTCCGCGCAGTTCACGCTGCACAGTGTGGCCAACTCTGCACAGTCGCCTCATGCTGGGCAATGCCCCTCATGGGAACAGCACACTCGCTTCAGCTACGCTGCAGGGCCGACGTGGCAGATGGCGATCCCTTCCTCGGCCCTGCAAACCCCTAAACCTAACAGACATGTAGTTTTTGTCTGTTTGCTTGTTTAAGAAGAACAAAGAAAAACAAAGCCCCTGAATCTACCTGAACTTCCTGGAGGTAGGCCAAAGCATTTGGTCTGTAAGCAAAAGCTGAATTAAAAGACCTGGTCCTGTTTCATTTCCAGAGGCAGTCTTCTAACTGGGATGGGACATATCTGACTGCCTGCTATGATTTTGGTCAAATACATCTTCATTTTTCTGAAAAATGGGTGTGCCCAGGGGTTCAGGCATGCCTGCACAGGCACTTGTCAGTCCCAGCAGCCTCCAGGCTGCCTCACAACCAGGCCATGTGGATTCCTGATTGCCTGGTGGACAAGGGAGTGAGCCCATGGCCACCCATACGTGGACCAACCGGCACGAGCTATGGGGCTGGAAGAACCCAAACCTCACAGTGAACTCACATCAGCCAAGCAAGCAAAGCCATGGCAGCCCTGGACACACCAAGCTCCCGCGTATCCCGTGAAGCCAGTGGCTGCAGCTGACCCTGCTCATTTCGTGGCTGGCACAGAGGTCTGTACCCAATTGTGTCTGGGGGCCAGGACACAGAGAAAACTCGAGAAAGATAGGAGGGGAGTTGCTTACAAGGCTGCCTGGGCTTCTGCCTCACAGAGGAGGGACACAGGGAGCTTCAGGGCCAGACACCATCGGGCCCTAGGTCCCCTCAGCCTACCAACCAATCAGTGGAAGTGGTGTTGACCAGAAGTAGCTAGTGGCACTTACCCTTTGCCACACTTGGGGTTCGGGTTGTCAGAGAGGAACATGGGCAGGAATCTCATGAAGTCCTCACCCTGAGGCCGCTGCTTTCCCTCTGGGGTGAGAGGCCTGCAGCGGACGCAGGCAGGGTCAACCACTGGCAGAAACAGAGAGGGCCAGCATTAGAGGAACGGGCCTCCAGAAACGAACACAATAACAACACAACATTAAATAATACAAACAAGGAAAGGAATTATTTATCCTTTTTAAGAAACCTCTACCACTAGCACCTTCTGTGTCTCACTAAACTTGAAACACTTGCATCTCAGCATGTGTCAAGGCTGCCCTCACAGGTATCAGCAGAGCCCAAGGGTTGTGTGCTTTCTCCAGAAAATTCCAGGATGGCCTCACCCTCTCACAAAGCCTTACAGCATCAGTGATAAACTGAGGGAACCCAACTGAAAGAGGCACCTGATATGGTCAGGCATGACAAGAACCACATCTGGCAGCCAGAGCACCTGACGAAGGCCATGTTTAGCCTGCAGGTCTGAGGGGTGCAGAAATGGACATGTGGCCGTTGGCACTGAGATAAGAGTGGTGGTAAGGGGGCTAAGACCACCATGGGCAAATGCATGGCTGCAAACACACGACTTCTAAATGATGATGGTAAGACTTTTCTGAAGACAGGGAGGGATGTGGAAGTGTCCGAGTTACCTGAGGCATTGCAGAACTGCTCTGTGACATTGGAGACTCGGCAGCAAGATGACTGTGGCTTCACCCAGTCGAAATAATCGTCAATCCAAGACGAGGGGGCGAAGCCAATACGTGTGCTGAAAGAAAGCAGGCGGCAGTGACCAACTCACTCCATAGGGAGGACATCTCCTACCTCAGGACCTGCTCAACACCCACCCGACTCCCTGCCAAAGAACTGCAACCTACATGGAATGAGGAAATCTTCAAAGCCTTTGGGGTGTGTTAGGCTTAAAGGTGCAGCCCAGGCAAGCCTAGATTTAAATAGGGTTTGAATAGCTACAACTTTTTCAAAAATGTCTGTATGATCTAGTACATTCTACAGCCAGAAGCTGATGCTGGGGTTGGGCAGAGTTGGAAAGAGCGAGAGAGCGAGCGAGAAAGAGAGAGAGGAGGTACTGACTAGTTGTCCAGCTGGGCTGCGTTAAATATCTGCTGCACGATGGAGTCGTTGTCACAGCCCATGCCGCCGCACACCATGTTCTGCCCCTGCAGGGAGGTGTAGTCGTGCCCTTCCTCCAGGACAAAGTACACAGGAGGCCCAGCGTGCAGGTACTGCCCGAGGGACCTGAAATAGTCCACCACGTAGGAGTCCTGAAAGACAGGCCAAAGAAAGGGAGCATCTCAATGTGCTCATGACAATGCAGATGAACAAACATTACAGGGAATTCAGAGGATGCCAGACTGCCCGGGGTACCAGGGGCGCCCCTGCCCAGTCCCACAACCTCACTAGATGGGTAGCTCCCAGTGGCTAGTGCTGTGGAAGTGTTACGACAGCAGCTGAGTGTTACAACAATCCACATAATGTCAACCCATTTTCTTCTGCATTTCCAAGCAGCACTGGCTTAAAACACCCCCAAGCAGGCTCTGACAACCTTATTCATTGCCAAGCCAAATGAAAGAAAGCATCTTACGTCAGGCATTGAGAGAGACTGATCCAATCCGATTTCCACTTTGTTCAGGACTGCGATACTGAACGAGAGAATACCCACGAACACTGCTATCTGGAAGAGAGGGTATCACGAGATGGTGACTGCCCAGCGTGATGACTGGCCTGGGACAGCAACTCAACCTTGTACACAGTTAAATGACATGCCCAGACAGCAGGCAGTAGTGGTAACTAGAGTCAAGGTTTGTGCATTCAAATCCTACCTTTGCATGTGATTTCAAAGACCTTACAGAAATCACTCAGCCTACCCTAGTTTCTATTTGCTCACCAGGAAAAAAGAAGACTTGTAGAGTCCAAAGGCCTTGGGGATTAGCACCAGCACCCTCGCCTTGCACGTGCTGTGATCTCATATGGGCGCCAGTTCATGTACCAGGAGCCCTGCTTCCAGTCCAGCTTCCGGCCTGTGGCCTGGGAAAGCCCAAAACCTTGGGACCCTGCAGCCGGATGGGAGACCCAGAAGAGGCTCCAGGCTTCAGATCTGCTCAGCTCTAGCCATTGTACTGACTTAGGTAGTGAATCAACAGACGGAAGACCTTTCTGTCTCTCCTCTCTGTATCTCTGACTTTCCAATAATAAATAAATTAATTTTTTAAAAATATACCACTGGTGAAAACTCAGGGGAGGGAACTTGTATCCGCACTTCACTACTCTTCTAGCTCCCTTAGAATCTATACTGCCCTATACTCTGACTGCCCTACTTTGAAATAAACCTTAAAGAAGTGTTGCTTATACCAAAAAACATTTTAGGTCTTTATATCTATTTGCCTTTCCAATATCTTCTGTACATTTTAAAATTTGTATCTTAGGTGTATCTACCTTATTTGAAATGCAGAGGGACAGAACCACGTGCTAGTTACTCCTCCAAATGTGTGCAGTAGTTGACTAGGTCAGACCCAAACCACAAGCCCGGCATTCCAACACAGTCCCCGAAACAGAAGGCTGGAAGCCAAGTTTGTTGCTTTTCAGGCTGGCATCAACAGGTAGCTAAATCAGAAGTGGAGGAGCTGGGACTTGAACCCAGAGACTATGATATGTAATGCAGAGATACCATGCAGTCTGCTCAAAACAAACACCCGAGTAACATATCCAGTCTTCTTGGCTTTTTTATTTTAAATCAAACCCAGCAGCAGCCAGGACCACTACCAGGTCTTGCACTCAGGTATAAAGGAAGTACCTGGGCCTCCCTTTGTTGCCATCCCAGGAGCATTAGCAGGAAGACAGATCAGAAATGGAGTTGCAGGGCTGGTCCAAGTCCTGGATGCCCTACTTCTCATCCAGGTCCCTGCTCTTGGGTCTGGAAAGCAGAGGAAATGGCCAATGTGTTTGGGTCCCTGCTGATGACTTGGGAGACCTGGATGACACACCTGTCGCCCAGATGTGGCCTGGCCTGGCCTAGCCTGGTCACATGGCTATTTGGAGAGGTCACTAATGCGTAGAAGATTTCCTCTCTCTGTCTTCCCTTCTGTGTTTTTAACTATACCTTTCAATAAACAATCTACAACAAAGAAGCATTGTAGCAAGGACTTGAATCAAGTTCTCTGATATGTAGTGATGACATCATGACGACAGCTCAACCTGTGGTGCCGTGACACCTGCCCTTTCTTCCTAGGATACATTCTTTAACCTGGCAGAATTTCCTCCCTCAGCTGTTTCTTAGAAGGCATGTGACAAGCCATTTTGGGGAGAAAAGCGAGAAAACCACAGACAAGCTCATACCACAATGGGTCGCATCCAGTCCTTTAGCAGAAGTGGCGAATAGGAGTTTTTAAAGAAGCGAAACAAGTAACTCTCGGAAGCCTGGATGCTCGTCCCAGCCTCAGCACCCTTGAAGCAGCAGCATATGTCCAGCTGGTTTCTCTGAGGGACAGAGAGGGGCAAAGATCATCCATCACACTCCAGCTGCTCCCTCCACGTCCAGATGCAGGGAAAGGGGCTTACAATCCTGGTAACAACTTACCTCTTGACGCTTGATGTCTAACCCCAGGAGGCTCACAAAGCAGGTGATCTGAAGAAGGAAGTCAATGAAGACTGCCATCCCCGCGAACAGAGAGAAAGTGTGGACGGCAGGCATCGTTGACAGGCCCCCTGTAAGGGAAACAAGTGCTTTTGTTACTGTGATGCTGGATGACCCTGCAGGCTTCAGCGTTCAAGGCCAGGTTCAGACCCAAGGATTCAGAGTAGGGTAATGAGTACAGCAAGATGCAGCAGGCGTGTTGGGCCAGGGCAGACGGGAATGTCTATAAACTCTTTGTCAGAACTGGGCTACTTGGTGATGGTGGGTGGCGGCGTGTTGTGTATGTGAAATGTGGATTTCGGGGTGAGGTCCCAGTGGTCTCTAACCAAGGCATGAATGGAACTTAAACCACGTTCTGGGCATTTTACAGGCTCTTGGGCAGATGCACACACACTAAAACCTGACAGCTGTACCTGCAGGCCATCCCGCCTCCCTTCCATGCTGCCCTCTCTGAAGGGCAGAGCTCCCTGTCCATCATGTTAGCAATGTTAGTCTCCTGGCTGAGTTATGGTACGAAGTGACTTACAGTCAAACACGGGTCTTTATGACACAGCTACTAGGATGAAACTCAAATCGCAAACTAGCAGCCCATGGACCAGCGGGATCCTGTTGGCCCACGCTACTTTAATGCATTTCAGGCTCAAAAACCTTGAGTAGCCAACACACAGTGAACAGGGTCATACTTTACACAAGAATCTAGATTCACAATGTGGGTGGGGGAGGAGGTGATTAAAGTCAGAGCTGGAAGCACTGGGCCGACCACACCTCTGGATGGCGCTTGGCACACCTGGAGTGTGCCACCCAAACCTTGGGGCACTGTGTCAGCTGCTGCCGTCATCACACATGCTTTGTTTTTCTTCTCTCAGACATTAGAAAAGAACTCTGCTGGGCAGCTATGCCCATCAACAGGACCTTGATAAGCAGAGGTTTCCCAAGCACTAGGTTTTGTGAAAATGAGCAATGACACACCGACATGGTATGCACGCATGTTTGGACAGTCCACCACCTCAGTCATTCAACAGCCCACAAAGGACACCCTGTCCATGACCGTGGCCTACAGCTCCTGCTTGCCCCCGGGGCTCTGGCCCAGTCTCCTCCTTGGACACAGATGCCTGTCTCTGCACCGCAGAGGCAGGCAGGCAGCTCCAGGGCCATGGCTCTCTGGTGCTCAGCACACATGAAACACAGAAAGGTGAACTCCTGCCCTAGGCCTGCCTTCTTGTACTGAGGCACGAGAACCTCCTCTCATGAAGGAAGCTGTTTTGGTCTGGGGACCACAACCACCTGCCCACGGAAACCACAGTAGGCAGCGTGTACACCATCCAGTGGAGTTGGGAGCTGCTGCCTAGTGCGTAGCGTTCAGAACTTCTGAACTATGCTAGGAAGCCGCTTCTTAAATGTTATTTGCCGAGGAATTCCAAAGGAGGAAATAGCAGGAAGAGCTGCACGGTCTATCATCCTGAACCCCAACATCAACAGGTTCCTGAAACTTAACAGGATAAAGAAGGTGCTTGCAAAATAACACTAATTTTTCTTGTGCCACTTGGGGATACTTTCCAACCAGGGAGCAAAGCTTAGGAGAGGCAGCATGAAAGGGGCACCCTCAGACATCCAGCCCCCTGCACCCGGCTTAGCACCCTGTAGGGCATACAGCAGAACGTGAGGCATAATTACCTAAGAAAAAGGCCACTGTCTCAGCAAAGGCAGAAAGGAAGATGCTGGGAGCCACTTCTCCTAGGACCCTGCCCAGCTGTTGATCCAGGGTTTCCCCTTGAAGACGTTCATCTCTCTGGAAAATAAATAAATAAAATAAAAGCAACAACACTCTTTATATATGCAAATTTAAAAATAAAGAAAGAAGAGATCGACAAGTGACAATGACTTCCAAGTGCCTAAATTTCAGCCTGGGAATCTACAGGTCTCATTTAAGCTCATGCAGAGCACTTTGGAACCACTGCACTACGGTCCAGGTGAGAAACCCAGGAAAGACTGGACCATGATAATGGACAGGTACCTGACACCATGTAACTCCCACAAGCCTCTGAGCCTTACCTGAGGCAGGGACTGCATGATGCCCGCCAGAGGCCACTGTCTCTATCAGTGGGCTGTGAGTTGAGCTTCTACCTTTTCCACACAGCCTACCTGCCATGCTCTACACTACACTGAGGACTGGTGTGGCAAGGGTCGTTCCCAAAACAGCTTCCAAAAGCCTGGAATAGCCCATCTTGTGCACAGGTAAACCAAAGGTATTAAAACCAAAATCTCACTGTGTCACTATCCCACCAACCAGGAGGGCCAGAGCAAGTCACAGAGCTCAAGGAGTCCCACTGGGGATGGACACGAAGTGCCCCTCGCTGTCCTCATTCACAAGTGTTGAGCTGAACATGGTAGCCAGAAAAACCTGGTGCTGGGATGGAGGCCAGTGCCAGGAGAACACAAACACACACCTGGTAGGTCTGCACCAGAATGAAGATGTTGTCCACCCCGACAGCCAGCACCAGGAACGGGATGACTTCGATCACGATGAGGGTCAAGGGGATCCCAATGTAGCTGAAGATGCCCAAAGAGCAGGCCACTGAGCTCAGCACCATCAGGATGCCTGCAATGCCCAGCGAGACCTTGGAATCCACCTGGGGAGGGGGGGTGAGCAGAGCAGGAAACACCCATCAGCAGAAGGGCATACCTCCATGGAAAACTGTCCAGGTTCTCCCTACGAACATAATTCACATGCTTGTGCTATTAGGTGGTGAAGTGAACAAATGCGAAAAATCTGGATTGTACAAATGAACTTCAATTGAAAAAACTCGTCCTGAAGACAGATGCGGGAAACAAATAATTACACACAACTGAGACATGGGAATTTAAGGCAGTTTTGGACAATGAATTGAGTAGAAGCAAAATTGGACAAAAACAGACTGTGCTAAGCCATTTCCCATGACGCACACACGTGACACACCAGAGGCTGCACCTACCAGAAGCCTGCGGCAGCTTTTGATGTGCCCCAAGGCTAGAGAAATATACAGGAACATGACAGCATAGCTAATGACCACAGTGAAGACATCACTGTTACTTTCGCGGTTTAACTCATCTTCGATGCTGCGTTCAGCAGTGAAAGAGATGGTCAGGTTTGGATTCTCGTAGTTTTTCACAAAATTAATAAACCTGAAGAGTAAGAAAAATCAGATTTTTTCAGTTAAAACTCAGTGACATTTAAGTAAGACATGTCTTCTGAGCTTTTTTGGGGCACAGGCTATTCAGCACATGGGAAGGTGAGACACTCAGGCGGTGATCACGATTCTAGACCCGCACTCTGGCCTTCCTACCACTGAGCACAGGGTCAGAACACATTTGTAAATGCTTCACACTCTTCTAAATGAAGCGTGCTATACAGATGTCTTTTCATAGAAAAAAAAATGAAAAACTTCATTTACAGATTTAATTCAATGTTCATTGGAATCCCTGCTGAATTCTTTGTAGGAAATGATAAGGTGAATCTAAAATTACACGGGATTCCAAGAGGTCCACAACAGTCTGAAAATTGTTTTCAGGGTTGGTGCTGTGCTGTAGCAGACTGTGTCCTGTCTGGGATGTCAGCATCCCATGTAGGCTCTGGTTCAAGTCCTGACTCCTTCAATTCCTATCCAGCTCCCTGCTAGTAGGCTTAGGGGAACAGCAGAGAATGAATGGTTCAAGGGTTTGCACCACCTGCACCATGTGGAAGACACATAAAACTCCTGGCATCAGCCTGGCTTAGCTCTGGTCATTGTGGCCATTTGTGAGGGATCCTCTCTCTCCATCTCTCGCCCACCCTGTTCGTAGCTCGACCTCTGAAATAAATAACTAAATAAATTCTTAAATAAATAACGAAATAAAACCCTTAAAAAATAAACAACTAAGTAAATCCTTAAAAAATAAAAGTGAAAATTAAAAAGTGTTTTAATTCTCTGATTTCTAAACTTCCTGAAAAATTAGTAATCAAAGCCTTGCTTGATACTAGCACAAGGACATACAGACCAAAGGAAAGAAGTCCTGTGTTAGTAACGTAACTGTCTCTAGCCTTCCCAGCACCACCCTGGCTGGCCAGCCGTGCCAGCCTCCCCCATGGCCAGACAGTGTGTGTGGGTCTCAGGAGTGACTCACTCTTTCTCCCAGGCCTGGACCCTCTGCAGCTTCTCTGTATCGTTGTAGTAATTATTGACAGGGAAGGTAATCACGAGGGCAGTGGCATTATTGTAGTTTTGATCTAGACAAGAAAAAAAAAATTGTGACATCAAAAATCAGATTGTAAATGTGCAGATTAGATAAATATGAAGAGACCAACAATCACAACATAGCAAGCTGAGTGACTTCCCGTGGCAGCACAGACCACGTCTCTGATCCCAGGATGAAGCGGCGGCCGCCTGGAGTGCTGTGCAGAGTCAGCGCATGATGAAGACTCCTCTGGAAGTGGGCACCCCTGCCACTCAAGAGAACTAACTGTTTCCTATCCACACAGCATGTGTATGGTAGAAATTTCAGAGAGTAGGAAGGTCTTCAATGGAAAGCTGTTCTTTCCTTGTCCAATCTCTTATCCCAAACTGGGAGCTTCTGTCCTGACACTGCGGCTATCAGAATCTCCCAGGAACTCGCCACGCATGCCCAAACATGCTACTTCTCCCTTCTCACACCAACAGCCACATAAGGTGCTGTACACTGTGTTTGCAGACTTTGCGTCTTAGACACTGCATAGCCCGAGTCCAACACAAGCTTCCTTATTCTTTTTCTGTTCGTGGTATTTTCTGGTATAATTTAACCCTCAATAGTGGAACATTTGTGCAGTTTTTTTTTTTAATTACAAAGAATGGTGTATAAATATATCTATAAAATATGTATTTACAGAATCAATTCTTACAAATATGGTCATTAAATCAAACAACTTGCATTTCTAATGTGGCTAAATTCTTCCAAGCTGCCCTTCCAGAAGCCTGTCCTGTTTCTCAATCCTTTGGTCAAGGGAGATCGACCTGGTGCCAGGGAGGATGTCGGGGACTATGAAGATTCCAGGAAAGAGAACAAAACAAAACAAACAAAACCTGCCTTTCTGAGGCTTACATTTTAGGAGCCAGCTTACGTTTCCACAAGGGTTGGTTCAAGCAAACCCTTAGGCCCTGGCCAATCTGCTAGGGGGAAATGCCTGACTACCTGGAGGGTCTGCACGTGGATGTTCCAGTCCAGGCTCTTCCTTTACAGTCTGTGGATGTGCACGCCTGGCATGCTGCGGGAGATATTCTCAGGCTCTGCCAGCTCCTCTACGGCATGCGTGACCTCAGCAAGCTTAACGCAGCCATTACAAAAAGTTTAACACAGCGCTTATGTCCAGAACAAAACCCAAGGCTAAACAAGATACTACATATTTGGGATTCACGGGTAGGGAATTAACAATCAGCATAAATTACCACGGACAGTGAATGACAGAACAAAGACCACATTATTGGAACAGAACAAGTAAATGCTTCTCTTACTTACCATCATAGCCTCCTAATACAAGCCACGGGAACACTGGACCACCAAATGTGCCCAGACAAGGCTCATGGAGCAAACTGGTATCATTCAGAGAGGTAGGAGCCCTGCCAAAAAGTTTGGAAAACCTCTAATTAGAACAAGACACTGTGGATCTACCCATTTACCCAACATTTAATAAAGTGGACACTGCTCACTGTGGGCCCTGAGTTCCTTTGTTGAGTAACTCAGCACTTGCCTTTGGGGGCTCAGAATTACCAGGCAAGGGGCAGGCAGAAACAGGCCCAGGCCATCAACAGGGGCGTGCACAAAGCTGTGCAGGCCCAGGAAGCAAATGATACGGGGCAAACCACTTCCAATAACAGATTTCACCAGATCTCTAAGCACAAGGGGCATTCCCTATCAAGGAGGATAAGAGGGTCTTCCATTCGATTACACCGAAGGGAGAAGGACAGGAATTGTAAGAAGTCCTGCCTTAGAACCTCAGTCACCCAGGAAGCGGGCTCCTGAGCCAGGGGACAAGCCTGGGAAAGGAGAGGACTCACGGCGGGGAGTAAAGGATTCAGTGACATGCTAACTTGTTAGGATTTTTATACTGGAGGTACTGGGGAATAAGTATCCCTTTCTGGGAAAGGGATGGTGTGAGTTGTTGTACAATGATAACTCAGGTGAAGAAACGGGAAGGAAACAGGTATACATTTGGGGCAGTGGTTAAGCTGCCTAAGGTGGGTAGAGTGGGAAAAGCTGTGGCATGCAACACTGGCACCCCATATTGGAGTACTGCTTTGATTCCTGGCTGTTCTGCTTCTGACCCAGCTGACTGCTAATGCATCTATGAAGGTAGCGGAGGATTACCCAAGTACTGGAACTCTGTCCCCTTTTTAGGAGACCAGGATGGAGGTCCTGGCCTCAGCCTGGCCCAGACCTGAATACTGTAGCCATTTAGGAAGTGAACCAGCAGATGGGAGATACCCTTCTTTATAAATAAATATACCTTTAACAGGGGAAAAAAAAATAAGGGTGCCACTTGGGCTGTTCACATTTCTTGACAGTATGCTGGGTCTGGGTCCGAGCTCCTCCTTTTCCCACCCAGCTTTGTGCCAACAGAGTTCATGCCAATCAGTCTGTAAACACAGACCAAGTTCCTCTCCTGACTTGGCTGGGCTCAGGCTTAGCTATTTAGGGCATTTGAGGAGTGACGCAGTACATGGAAGACATCTGTCCCAGTCTGTCTCTCAAATGAAATAAAAGAAAAAAAAAAAAAAGAGGAAGGAGCGCGATCTGAAGTCTGTGCAATGGTGCAACAGGAGACTCCAGGCAGAGGAGTCTTGCAGAGGGAAGCAGCACCCAAGAGCAGATCACCCACAGAGCTGTTATGGGTGCTTGGGAGGGCTCCTGCATGAAGCCGCCTTCAGAGCTTCAGGAGAGGGGCCCAGGTGTTGGCGGTCTGGAACCTGCAGCCAAAGGCCGAGTCCAAGTGACAACCCAAGTCAGCCTCCCTGTGACAGCCTAGAGAGGTCAGCAGAGGTTAAGATCCACCAGGACGACACTAGGTCCATGAGGAGGAGGAGCACTGCAGGACAAAGCTGCATGTCTGAGAACTGGCAGACATTGATGGGAGTAAATGACATGGTAGGACTGCAATGGGGTGGGGCTGGACCAGGCTCCGGGTACTACAGTGAGAAGGCGAGGAAACAGCAGAGCTGGAGACAGGTCCAAGATCACAAGACCATAGCACTGTGACTGCATGTCAAGTACAACTAAATTATTTGGCTTCAGTTCCCCTGTGGCTCCCAGGTACTGTCTACCCTCTCAAGACGCTGGTCTATGAGACAGACAGGCATTTGGCCTAACATGTGGGGAACCTGCCACACACATTAGAGTTCCTACACTTGAAACCCAATTCGAGCTTCCTACTAACACACACTCTGGGAGGTCGCAGGTACTGGCTCAAGTACGTGGGTCTCTGTGGGAGAGCTGAACTGAATCTCTGACTCCTGCTTTGGCCTGGTCCAGCCCCAGAGGCTGTGGGCACTGGAGGAGTGAACCAATAGATAGAAGATACCTTCCTAATCAAATAAAATAGAACAATGATGAGTATAACTCATGGTTTTAGCAGTGACACCCCTGAACTGGAGTGAAAGTGCCCGAGCTGCCTGAAGTCACAGTTGAGCAGCGCAGAGGCCTCACAGTCACGGGAGTCCCCAGAACCAGAGGCCAGAGAGCTTGGCTCTTGAGATGTGCTCAGTTGAGCAATGCACTCAAGAACAACAAGGAATCACTTCTCTGTTTGCAGGAAGAACAAATAGCCACTGTGGCTTTTCAAACGAGCAAAACACTGTCCCCAGGTCAGATCCAAAACATTTAGGGGCAGCACACCCATTGTGTTACGCCCCTATTCCCACCATGGGCACAACTCTGAATATCTCCCTGCAGGCTGCCCAGCCAGAAACACTGAGGGAGGAGGCAGCAGGGCCTGCCCTCTGCCGACCTGTTACCACCGCTTCAGGGGAGCAGACTGTGTGTTAGACTGAAGGTAATATTTGAAAGATGAGAAAAATCATAATAGGGTTCTTTCTCTAACTCTTGGGGTGAATTATATGAAACTGAGTGTTACCAGTTCAGGTAGGAGCCAAGAGGTGAGAAGAATCTGCTCTCCTGGACTTCACACCACAGAACCTTCCACCCCACAGTCTTTGCACTTGCTGCGTGCTCTGCTTGGCACACTTATCCCTGGAACGTCCACAGGTTCCTTCTTTTTCTTTCCCCTTTCTCCACTCTAAAGTAACATATCCACTCTGTCCCTCTCTAATATGAGCACATATATTTGCTCATTGTCTGTCTCCCTCTACTAGGATGTAAGCATGGCAGCGCAGGCCAGGTTCCGTTTGCTCACTGCTAGACCTCTAAGTACCATGGGTAATGGAAACAACAGCAGGTGTCCGCATGTGGGCAGGCCCCTTGCCACTCACCGGACACAGTACAGAAAGTGCGTGTGGTAATCAGCATACACAAAGAAGTCGTCCCCTTTTGTGTTGTCCAGCACAGAATGGCTGTTCTGGAAGTAGTTTAACACACTCAGGATGGTGCAGTTCTTGTTGTATGGAGCGAGAGGGGCCAAGCAGATGTCTTGGAGAGTCACCGTCTCATTGTTATAAAATGCAGTAATGTTCTCAATGGCTGTCTGTAAGTCAAGAACCTGAAAAGCAATATTAAAAGTGAGCAAACTCAAAGGCGCCAGGCTTTGCTCGGGTACTACCTGAGCAGCAGCGCCCCAAGTGGTGAGAAGTCAAAGAGCTCCAGGATAACTTCAGAAATCGAGACCCACGGAAGCCCCGTTCCTCCTGTACAACGCTGCGGTGCAACTTAGGTACATGTTTTCACATACTTCCAACCATCTCTGGATAATTCTTAAAACCCAGTACAGGACCTGGCGTGATAACGTAGTGGTTAAAGTCCTTGCCTTGCATGTGCCAGGATCCCATATGGTCGCTGGTTTTAATCCCAATGACCCTGCTTCCAATCCAGCTCCCTGCCTGTGGCCTAGGAAAGCAGTAAAGGATGGCGCAAAGCATTGGGACCCTACATCCACGTGGGAGACCCGAAAGAGCTCCTGGCTCCTGGCTTCAGATCGGCTCAGCTCCAGCCATTGTGGTTACTTGGGGAGTGAATCATCAGATGGAAGATCTTCCTGTCTGTCTATCCTCCTCTCTGTATATCTGCCTTTCCAATAAAAATAAATAAATCTTAAAAATCAAAACAAAACAAAACAGCACAATGCAAATGCCATGGAAATAATTATTTGCTGTCTATATTTGCTGTCTATGGATGCAGTGTCTGTGGGTATGTAGGGCTGACTGTATTTGGGGAAAATGTGCTCTAAGCTAGGGGAGGGCATAAAGGCACAGCACAGTAAAATACCGGAAACTGGGGGGGAAGATCCTGTCTAGGAGCTTCTAAGACAAGCAGGGAGCACTGACCACACAGCCCCCTCCTCGTTTCTCCAGCAGTAATCAGCAAAATGCACAGCAAGGTGCCTGGACTTGCTGGTACCCCAGGTTAACAGCACACCTTCCAGCACCTTGCTGTGTGCTGAGCCACTGACAGACTCATGTCCTCCCTAACAGAGGACACACTCCTGGAGGTCAAGGGCCATGCAGGGCATCTACTGTAGTGAGCTGGGGCAAAGCAGCAGTCTCTGAGTGAATACGTCCACTAAAGGCAAGAGCTGAGGTGGTCTCCGCACAGGGTCTGCTCTCCAGGGAGAGTACGACAGGCACAGTAATAGAAACCTCAGGCGCTTTTATAAAACACTCATGGATCTCATCCCACCTGGAGGCCAGGAGCTCATGCTTGGGTCAGGATGAGCTCATTACTATGTGATTGACTGGAAACTGGTCTCTTCACCAGGCCTTGAGGTGGAGTAAAAGGCTTGCTCCCTTTAGGTCCTTGCATGTCATTTTCAGCTAGCCGGAAAATTTGGTGTTTTTATTATACCTTGACATTCAGCACAAATCCACATCAAGTGAAACTGGTCAACCACCAGGTCACCCAGGATGACTTTTTTTGTATAGATTACCTGGTGCAAAATCTGTTTGTCGAGTGGTGGTCCAAAAGGCACATCAGCGCCCGAGGGGTATGGCTGATAGATGTGCTTGTCAGTGTGGGGGGCCCGGATGATGAGCTGCTCGGTTCGGAAGAAAGGCCCAAAGTGTGCATCAAAGTACTCTTTCTCCAGGCGGGCCTGGCTATTGGGGGCCGACCACAGCTGGACTGGGTTGGTGGTGACCTGGACATACAACAGGCCCGAAGAACATGCAGCGATGAAGACAAGCGAGAGGAAGATGACGCAGCCAGGGTTTCGGACACAGAAGGCTCCCCAGCGAGTGAACAGTCGCCTCAAAAAGCCGTCAAATGCTGCACCCAGCAGGTCACAGCAGGACGCCTCCCCTGGAAGGGTGGGAGAGGAAGGGAGGGTGGAGGTTAAGAGCCAAGCCATCCCTGAAAGTTGGAACAGGGAAACCATTAGCTACTGAGGCACGTGCCAGGAGCTGAGCCCACCTGCAGACACACCCGGACCCGCCTCCCCATTCTTGGCTGGGGCTCTACTCAGCAAGACCACACTCTGTGGCTGCCCACCATAAAACTTGCTCCGGCCTCACAGAGGAGCCTCTGAGAAGCAGAGCTCTCTGTCACCTGCCCAGCCAGGTAAACTCCCTGGCCCTGCCGCATTGCCCCTGCAATGCCCCTGCGGCTCTTATCACAATCCCTGGTTATCTGAGTGCTGTCATTAATGACTCTGAGCTGTGCTGCAAAGGCAATGGGCATGTCTACCATGATCACAGCTGTATCCTTGGAACTGCCTCACCCAGAACAAGGACGTAAACACTGGCTGGGTAAGAGAAGGCTCTTGGGCCAAGGCTACTATTGTTTCTGGAAAAATACGCCTACCTTTGTCGCTGGCATTAACAGAGAAAGCTATGTTGCTATCAATAGGCGTGTACTCGGACACAAAGTACCGTTTTCTGCAAAATAAAAGCACAAGAGTGGCATTAGTGGGCTTTGGCACAGTGAGGCTGTGACATCCCTACAATGCCATTAACATCTCCTCAAGTCTTTCTCCTCTCCACCTGTTACTTTCATTCCCCCTACATTTTCTTGCTCTGGATGTCTCTGCCCATCACCTTCAAGAGACCTCACTGGCATTTAAAACTGTGAGGTCCCTTTAAAAACACACTATCCTCGCCATCAGCAACAGGCACCTGGTGTGCCTGCACCTTGCATCCTGACACCGTGCTGCAGTGGAGGGAGGGGTGCTTCTCGCCAACAAGCCTGGTCCTTGGGCAAGTCTGGGCTACAGCATGGAAAGGGCCACGGGGGTCAAATGGAAGGGACTGCAGACCAAGCTGGAAATACCGGCACAAGAAAACAAATGCTGGGATTGGACAGAGCCCACAAAATAAATAAAAGGCTCATGATTAAATAACAGAACAAACACAAGCATGAGGGAGAACGGGGAGCCCCTAGTCCAGCACTCTGCATGGTAAACAGAGACTCGGCACACCTCCATGGGGCCAACAGCACAGTAAACGCTGCAGAGAGGGGCTGCCATGATGCTGCAATCCGTGGGTGATGCTTTGAGGAGGAACCAAAGTCTGGCACAGTCTCAAAACATCCTTTCTCAAAATATTTAACTACAAAGGGAAAATCACAGAGGAGGCTCTGGGCTCTTGGCTTCAGATCGGCTCAGCTCCAGCCATTGTGGACACTTGAGGAATGAATCAATGGATGGAAGATCTTCTGTCTCTCCTCCTCTCTGTATATCTGACTTTCCAATAAAAAATAAAAAAATCTTGGGCCTGGCGGTGTGGTCTAGTGGCTAAGAGTCCTTGCCTTGAACGCTCCGGGATCCCATATGGGTGCCAGTTCTAAGCCCGGCAGCTCCACTTTCCATCCAACTCCCTGCTTGTGGCCTGGGAAAGCAGTCAAGGACAGCCCAAAGCCTTCAGACTCTGCACCCATGTGGGAGACCTGGAAAAAGTTCCTGGATCCTGGCTTCGGATCAGCACAGCACCAGCCATTACGGTCACTTGGGGAGTGAATCATTGGATGGAAGATCTTCCTCTCTGTCTCTCTTCCTCTCTTTGTATATGTATATCTGACTTTCTAATAAAAACAAAAAAATAATTCTTTTAAAAAATTAAAAATAAAATCTTAAAAAAAAAAAGTTAACATCACAACAGAGAAACCCAGCATAATCCACAGGGTCATGGTTAGTTGCCAGTAAGGACATACTCTACCACCAAGAACATGGTGCTGTGATGCACTAAGACATAACAGCACATCTGGGATGTCTTTGCCAGAACACAGGAGGAAGCCCAGCTGAAGGACAGGCTGCACAACAACTGATGGGACTCATCAGGGGAGCAACGGCCATAAGAGAAGGGACTGAGGAACAGCCACAGCTTGCGGGGCGGAAGAACTGGAAGTGATTATGCATGGGCCTGAACAGAAAAAGAGCATCAGAGGAAAAACTGGGGATGGCTGAATCAAGGTTGTGGTTCAGCAAATACACCACTGCTTTTTTCACGGTTTTCATAAATGCACTATGAACTCTGCAAGGTGTTATATTACATGAAGATGGCGAAGGAGAGACACAAATTCCATCATTTTGGCAACTTTTTAGTAAATCCAAGATTCCAAAGTTTTTTTTTTTTTTTAAACAATACTGGGGCCAGCGCCATAGCACGGTACGCTGAACTTCAGCTGGCGTCCCAGCAACATCCCATAGGGGCGCCAGTTAGTGTTCTGGCTGCTCCATTTCAGATCCAGCTCCCTGCTTATGGCTGGGGAAAGCAATAGAAGATGGCACAAGCCCTTGGGTGCCTGCACCCACGTGGGAGACCCCGAGGAAGCTCCTGGCTCTTGGCTTCGGCTCGCCTCTGCTCCGGCTGTTGCAGTTATTTGGGGAGTGAACCGGCAGACGGATGATCTCTCTCTGTCTTTCTTCTCTTTGTAGTTCTGCCTTTCAAACAAACAAACAAACAAACAAAATACAAACCTACTGTCCTAAACAAAAGGCAAGTATGTAAAAGGGCTAGAATATTATGTTCAATGAGATTTGAGTCGGATGTGATCAAGGAAGCACGACTGGGTGGGTAACACACTAACTTCACGTGTTTAAATCTGCACAAGCCTCGACTGCTTACAGTCGAGCTACAGGACAATGTGATCGGTTGGATGAGGGTATGTTTCTTGCTCTAATTAGCCAATAATCTGCCCAGTGAAATCTAAAAGGGTCACACCAGGATAACCTGGCTCTTCTTTGGTCCTGGACAAATAAAACTGCTTACCTGTAGCACCACACAGCGAAAAACATTCCAAAAAACACAAACAAGAACGCCATGTAGGTGATCCACATGATGACATACATGGCGTCCAGACCCCAGATCCTCCAGGGCACGGGAGGCGGTGGGGGCTGGGGCTTGGGGCCACACATGGCAGAGCAGTCCTGGCAGCTGCAGGGTGCCGTGACTTCATCCACCGCCTCATTGCAGCCTTTGGTGGCATTATTCATGGGCTCCATGCCGGAGACCGGGAGATCTGCAGGAAACAATTCAGGGGAGAGCTCAGTAAACATATTAACACCTTCGTATTAAAGTACACAAAAGCCCAACACCAGCCCTGTGGAACACAGCCCAGGAGGAGGAGAGAGGGGGTGGCAGCTTTTGTTCTGTTGTTTTGCTGCTTCATCCTGTGATGACTCTTGAGTAAGATTTTGTTGCTGTTACCAGGTATATTATACACCAAAGAAAACCTTCCATCTTCAGCTACATCTCACCTCCACTCTAAGGAGTGAGGCTAGTACTGAGATCTGAAAAGGCTTCTTCCAGCCATAAAAATAAATCAGTAAAATAAAACCTACCCCCATCTTATTCTCTGAATTTTACAGAAAATCGTAAGACAACTCTGCATTCCTCCCTTCCCACTCGCAGCCCTCCTTCAATTAACCAAAGCAGGCTACGTGTTCTTAGTGGCCTCTCTCAGGAGACACCCAAGGGACCAGGCATCTGGATTCAGCTTCCTGCTGCAGACAACGATGCCTTTGGCTTAAAAATATCACAAACTCAATCTGGAAGGTATGCCTACCTGAAAAAATGGGAGTGATGGTAAATGGCGCCTGTCCGTTGTCCTTATTGAACATGTACTGGATCCAGTTGGTGGCATTGCAGGCACTGGCGTCCTTCCCACACAGGAGGCCCAGGGCCTTGTCATTACTTGAGGGGGCCTCTACATCCCGGCAGGCGTTGTACATGGCTAGGAGAAAAAGGCCAAAGGGAAGAGATGGAGACACTGCTTGCATCGATTCAGAAGCCTGCTTTAATTCACCGGGCCAGCCCTTTTGCAAAGCCCTTTGCCCAGGAAGGGCAAACTCCCTAAGCACTGCTGTCACACGGTGGGCAGTGAACACTCTGTCCAGAGGGGAGTCTTTCCCCTGCACTGGCCTGTGGCTCTGTGCACCATGGGCCAGGTCACATGTCAAAGTCAGGACCTCAAGTAGTTCAAGACGCCTGCCCCCAATGCTTTGAAAAACACCCTAGGGTTCAGGAATGAGACACCAGAACCTCAGGCTGCTTTGGGCGATGACACAGGTTCCAGAAAACCTCTGCAGAAAGAAACTTAGCAGGGGAAGCCTGGGGCTTGCAGAGAAAACTGGCTGTATTGTATGGACTGTGCGTGAATGAACCAAGCACTGCTCCTCCGTGGTTTAACTTTAGTAACACGGTGACAGCAAATCTCCTCAGGGTCACAGCAGTGACACTAAGTACAGGAGAAAGCGGTGGGAACGTGTCCCGACCCAGCTGCTTCCAGGCACTCACTCCAGCTTGTAAGCATCTGCCCAGGAGCTCTCTCCTGAAACTTCAGACACTCATGCATGCAGTCCGTTTCGCCCACCCTCCTAGAAGGCAGGTTAGCTGGGCAGACAGTCGCTGAACACTGAATATATGTATTACCCCACTGCTTTCTGCTCTCAGTCTTGGAGGCTAAGAAAGCCTCCAGTTCTCTGTCTTTTCAAGTTGATTCCCATTTTTATATCAGCCATAATATGGGCTTTTTCTAAGCTATAGATTCCATTTCGTAAGATAGCTTTATTGAGATGTAATTCACATATAATTTATCCACTTAAAGTATACGATCCAGTGGATTTTAACACATACATAAATATGTGCAGCCATCACCACAGACTTTGAAAATGAATACATGAATTTGCAATTTTAGGACATTTGCAGTGGCTCAGAAAGAAACCCTGGACTACCTAGCCATAGTCCCAACTGCCCTGGCTTCCATAGCACTGACAAGCATACATCTCTCATATGTACATCAATAGGCTTCCTCTATTTGGGACATCTGATCTGAATGGAGTCATAACATTCAGCCTACATTCGGTCTTTGTGGCTGGCTTCCCACAGGCAGTATCAGTCTTCAAGGGTTAGTGTGTTAGTACTCTACTTTTCCCCACTAAGATTTTTATTTATTTGAAGACAAAGCAACAGAGTCAGAGACAGACCTTCCGGCTGCTGGTTCACTGCTCAAAAGGCCCTAGCCAGGTCTGGGCTAGGCTGAAGGTAGGAAGCAGGAACTCCATTTAAGTCTACCTTGGGGGCAGGAACCCAAGCACTTGGGTCATTATTTGCTACCGGGATCAGAAGTAAGCTAGTAGGGATTCTGGCTTTGTAAACCATGGTTTTACTCACTGTGCCACATCATATTGACACACTAAATACTGCCTACCTATATATCAGTCAATGTTCATCTGGGCTGTTTTTAATATTTGGCTACTAGTAGTAACATGGTTATGAATAGCTGGATATATTTTATGTGACCCTTTGCTTGTACTTCTCAAATTAATGTAATTTCTGGTTCATTTGGTAACTGTATTTTAATGTTTTCAGAAGTTGCCAACTGTGTCCCAAAGTGGCTGCACCATTTTACATCCCCACCAACAGTTAATGAGGTTCCAATCTCTACACAGCCTTGTGAATGTTCGTTCCCTGGGCATTTTGACTCTAACCACTCTGGTCAGTTTGAAATGGCAACCCACTGTGGTCCTGATCTGCATTTCCTTGAGGATTAGTAATGTTGAACATCTTTCCAAGAGTTTATGAATCATTTAGACACCTTCCCTGGGGAAAATACACACATTCTATGCTTATTTTAAACTGGGTTGTCTATTTACTTGTTGAGTTGTAAGAGTTTTTAATATATTTCAAATACAAGTCCCTTTTAGAATATGTAATTTGTGAATATTTTCTTATTTTTCCTGTATAGGGTCCTTTGGAGCACAGCTTACTCTTTTCAAAAAGATACTTATCTGAAAGGCAGGGTGATATGAGAAAGTCAGGTAATGAGACCATCTGTGCCCTAGTTCTCTCTCCAAATGCCCATATCAGCCAGGAACCAGGAACTCCATCACAGTCACCCACAGAGATGGCAAGGACTCAAGTATTTCAGCTGTCCCCGAGGGTGATTGGCAGGAAGGTGAGTGAAAGCACAGAGCAGCCGGGACTTAAAGCAGTCACTCTGAGACAGGACCTGACCCTCTTAAGCAAGGCTCAGCCCTACTGTGCCACAGTGCCTGCCAAGTTGTGTTGTAGTTCATTTTACTGGCGCCCAGATTGTCTTCATTTTGTTGTTGTTGTTGCTCATGCTTTTCTTTTTAAATCCATTGCCAAACAGAAGTTCATGAAGACTTTCCCTTAATTTCCCTCTAAGTCTTTTATAGTTTTACATTTCTTTTTTTTTTTTTAAAGATTTATTTTTATTATTTTTGTATTGGAAAGGCGGATATACAGAGAGGAGAGATAGAGAGGAAGATCTTCCGTCCTGATGATTCACTCCCCAAGTAAGCGCAACGGCTGATGCTATGCCAATCCGAAGCCAGGAGCCTCCTCCGGGTCTCCCACGCGGGTGCAGGGTCCCAAAGCTTTGGGCCGTCCTCTACTGCTCTCCCGGGCCACAAGCAGGGAGCTGGAAGGGAAGCGGGGCTGCCGGGATAGAACCGGCGCCCATATGGGATCCCGGGCGTGCAAGGCGAGGACCTTAACCACTTGCGCCACCGCGCCGGGCCCGAGTTTTACATTTCTCTTTAATCCATTCAAAAATATTTTCATATAATTTGAAAGGCAAAGAGAGAGAAAAAGAGAATTCCTGTCTGTTCATTATCTAAATACCTCTACAACAGGCATGGCTGGGCCAGGCAGAGGCCAGCAAGCTCAGAATTCAATTCAGATCTTCCCATAGGTGGAAGAGGGAACCCAAGATCTTGAGTGCTCATCTACTGCCTCCCAGGGTGCCTATGAACAGGGAGGGATATAAAATGGGGAGAGACCAGGATGAAATCAAGGCACTCTGGCATGGGGTTTGGGTATCTATGTATCACAAGTAGTACCTTAATTGTTGTGCTAAGCCTAACCCCTTTGTTCTGCTTCAAATTGATTTTAAAATTTATTTTTATTTCAAAGGCAGAGTTAGAAAGAAGAAAGACAGATCTTGCATCTACTGGTTCATTACTCAAATGGCCACAATGATGGGAGCCAGGCCAGTCTAAAGCCAGGAGCCTGGAGCTTTTTCCAGGTCTTCCATGTGAGTGGGCCATCCTTCACTGCCTTCCCAGGCAATCAGCAGGGAGCTGGATTGGAAGCGGACCATTGGGACTTGAACTGGCACTCACATGAGATGCTGGCATGGCAGGCAAAGCTTAGTCTATGATGTTATAGCTGATTTTCGTATATGGTGTGAAGTATATCCACGTTTTCATGTGGACATATTTTCAACTCATTTAGGTAAATATCAAGAAACATAATTCCTGGATCAAATATTATTATGCTCAGTTTTGTAAGAAACTGTCAAATTGTCCTTCCAAGCGGTTGTGGCATTCTCCATTCTCACCGGCAATGAAAGTTGCTCTTACTCCATATATCCCTGTCTGTCCTGGAGTCTAATGACAAATGATGTTGAGCATCACTTTTTTTTATTCAAAGATCCATCTATTTATTTTGAAGGTCAGAGTTATAGACAGAGAGATTGTTTATCCATTGATTTGATCCCTAGATGGCCAATCAGTTAGGGGTAGGCCAGGCAGGCAGAGAAGAGCCAAGCACTCCAACAGCATCTCCCACATGGGTGGCCAGGTCCAAATATGTGCAAGATCTGCTGCCCTACTCAGTCCACCAGCAAAAAGCTGGATCAAAACTGGAAGAGCTGGGACACAAACAGGCACCAACATGGCATGACAGTGTTGCAGGAGGCAGCTCTATTTGCTGTGCCATAACTCCAGGCCATGAACATCTTCTCACAGACTTATTTACCATTTGAATGCTATTTCTAGTGAAATATCTATTCAGGTTTTGTGCTCATTTTTCACCCAAACTTTTTGCTTTCTTTTGCTTCATCTTCAGTCTATCATACATTTCGGATAACATTCCTTAGTCAAGTATGGTTTTTGCAAGTATATTCTTTCAGTCTATGACTTATCTTCTCATTCTTAGGATGTCTCTCATTTTTCACAATCCTGAAAGTGCTACAACAGATGTTGCTATATGCGTCTTCCTGTACAAACATATTAAGAGTCCCTCTCAGCAAAGTCCTCCACAAGAGGAATTTCTGGGTTGAGGGTGTATTTACCTTCAACTTTACAAGGTATTGAAAAGTTGGTTTTCAAATACTTGTACACAGTCCTGGTTGCCAGGAGCACAGTACACCAGCACTCCTATTGTTCTACACTCTCGGTAATAGCTGGAATTGACCAATTTCTTAACTTGTGCCAAGGTATTAATAAGGAATGTGCGTCACTGTTTTGAAAGTTGCATTTCACTGACTGTTTCAGATATGGATTGCTTATATTCATGAATATCTTCTTATTCCTGCTTTTCCTCTCCTGTTCATAAATTCTTCCTCATTTCAATGTTAGACATTTTGTACATTTTAAACATTGTGAAAATTAAAGTTTTTAATCTAGTCCCTTGCTAGTGCACGTAAAAATAAAAATTTGATGTACTCAATCAACTTTATCACCTTGATTATTGGCCATCTTCCACTTTAACTCAGTAACTTGTAACCACACACCCCTCATATACCGGCCTTCTAGATAGGCATGCTTCTGCTTTTGGGCAGATCTGTCAGGGTGGCTCTTCTTCTTCTGCTTTTGGGCAGATCTGTCAGGGTGGCACATCTTCTACAAGACTGATCCCGAGGCACTATCGCTCTAAGAGGCAGTGATTTTGTTGGATCCCTAAGTCTATTAGTTGTAGGTTGTTCTCGGACACTTCCTTTTCTTTGGTTTTGTCTAACGTGCTTTATACCAACTGCTATTTCTGTCACCGTACTAGCGGGTTCTGATCTGGTCGATTTTTCTCTGGAGTTCTCTACTCGTTCAGGCATCTTTTCTCTTAGCTATTTTTAACAGAGGACCTCCTTTAGACAGTCTAGTGTTTTCCAGGTGCTTGGGGCCATGTCCCCTCTGTGCTCCTTCCCTTCCCTTATGAAGATTTGACCCATTTCCAAGCCTTCCTCACTCCCTCTCCTCCCATCAGCCAGCTTTCAACTCCTCTCCTGAATCCACTGACGACTACTAGAAAGAACCAAAGTCCCAATGTCTGCTAAAATTTACAGAAGTGAACTTAAAAGTCAGGAAGGGACTGAGCAAACACTCCAGAAATAGCTACATTGTTTGTAGCTCCAGTCTTAGCACCAACTTTCACTTCACCACCACAGGGACTAAAAACTGTGATTGAAATGAACTTGATCCACTATGTTGGTGCCAGCTTGCTTACCGTCAGCAAATCTCTGTCCGATGTAGTACTGTAACTCCTTTACGTTGGTCTTGGTCTGGTTTGTGGCAGGGTCAACATACTCTTCAGTAGCTGTAACATTCAGAAACTGACTCTGCCGAGGACTGCATGTCAGCTCACAAAATAGGTTCATTAGGTTATAGAAACAGGATGGACACCTAAAGAAAACACAGAGTACACTCTGAATAATAGGGCCAGTGAAAAAGCAACTTAAAGAACATCTAAAATTCATTAAGGTAACAAATCGATTATGAGCATCTGTCAAGCCCAGCAGTTCTAAACCTTAAGCCTCATTTTCAAACACCTATCTCTAAAAACTCCTTAATTACTACCTGCAGTGTGTTCAGTTGTGATTTCAAAAAAACGGTAGGGGGGGGGAGAGAGGAAGATGTTCTTTAGAATCCTGCACTGCGTAATTTAGTGACAAATGCTTGCTTTGCCCTACCCAGGGCCACAGTTTCTTTGAGGAGCACCATGGTGACAACTCTAAGGAAAAAAGGGGGGGAGGGGGAGGGAGAACGAGCAGTACTACACCAGAATTTTTATTTTACAATCTTCTACGGAAGGCTCTTCTTCTAAAGCTAGGTCCTGCTGAAACACACCGTTTGTCTGGCTTTTTGTTTTGAAGCCTACTCCTCCTTTCTTTGAAAGGCAGAGGCATAGACCAAGAGAGCCCCTATCTGCTGCTTTGCTTTCCAAATACCTGCAACAAGAGCTGGGCTGGGCCAGAGCCAGGAACTGGAAACTCATCCCAGGTCTACCAGGAGTGGGTGGCAGGAACCCAATAATTTAAGCCATCAATGCTGCTTACCACGGTTTGCACTGGCAAGAATTTGGAGTTGGGACATGGAGGCTGGACTCAAACCCAGGTACTCTGAAAATCGAAGTGGGTATCCCAACTACTGGGTTTAACACCTCCCCCTACGAGCGACTCGGAAAGCTGAATTCTACCTGCAGGTATTCCAGAAGCACAGGGTTTTCATGAGCACAAGCTGTCTGCTGTCCCTCAGGTTCAGAGTTAAAGCTACTAACGTTGATTTGCTACATGGTAAGAGTCCTCTCCTGCCTTTAGCCAGTTGTTGGCTGTTGCTTTACTGGACACACTCACAACACAACCAAGATTACTTTCTATCCTGATCTGGTCCAGGTAAGCAGGCACATCACAGTTGATAAAGGAAGGAGTGCCCAGACATCAGGAAGCTCTGCTCTAGGGAAGGGGACAGACACACACAAGAACTGTCTTTCAGAAGCCCTTGCTTTACTGCGACAAACCCAGGCATCACAATGACACCACGGGGTTCAGAGTACCCTTGGGGAGTACATAGTTTCCTACTGTCCACTGTGAATCACAAGCCTCTCTCTAGATTACTACATTTTGACATCTGTAGAATACTCTGTATAGTCTTTTTTTTTCCTGCTATTACAAATAAAGCTTTGGTGTCTCTGGTAACAGCCCACCCGAATGGATGTAAACGTGTTTTGACTGGGAGATGAAAGCTCCAATCAGGCTCTATCAAAATCCTCCAGCCATCCACAGGACACAGTGTCCTCACTAGATCCTCAGCATGGCCTCTATTATCTTATTCCACATTGTTCTGAAAGATGGCCTCAACCCTGTATTGTAAACTGTGGTGAGCAACAGGCCTTCCTCACTGGAAGCTGGCCTGTACCCTGTTGCCTGCAGTTATTTGCTCCTCATCCATTTGATTGGGTGCTTTAGTCAGAAACATTTAAGAAGACAGTACAATCTAAGCTGTTCCTTAGGATGTCGCTGAGAACAGCCCAGTGGGCCTTGAGCAGAACAGCTGTTAGACACCACCCCCATCCCACCCCATTTCACCGGCCTGAGTCACGGACAATAGACTGGATGGGGAACCAAATGCGACAAATCTGGCCAACTAGCCCAGGACAAGCTGAGCCAACCAAGAGCAGCTCTACTGAGGACCTGATCCTGGTACGTGGTTTCAGCACAGGAAAGACAAGCATGATGTGCAGGCAGAGGAGGGTGACGCAGGTCTGCCGTGAGGGTCTTGGCTAGGGACCTGAGCAGGACCACCAGACCCTCTCCTTCCATAGCACACAGAGCTCTGCTTGAAAAGGAGGCAGTCCACAGTGTACCTTCTGAGGCGTGGAGGAAACCAAGCGCTAATTCTGAAAGCAACTTGGGAGAACAACATCTGATCATCATGACTTCCTCTTTATTTTTGACAAGATACACAATGCTTTCTTAAAATAAAGCAAACCAGCCTTCAAAATGAAATGAGAACACTGCTAGTTAACATGCACCCTCTCAAGCCCAGGTCTTCTGTTTGCCTGCTGGTCTCCCTACCTGGATAGAAACTGTAGCGGCAGCTGCAGGTTGCCCTTCAGTGTTCGAAGCTGCTGAACATCACAGCAGAGGCTGACATTGTCAAAGAAAAATCCTGGACAGAGTTCCTTTGGGGAGAGAGAGAGAGCAGGGATGTCAGGGTGGCACAGCTGACAAAAGCACAAGATTTCTTAAGAAACAAAGACCACCTCACTCATGGGATCCTTCTTCAATAGGACAACAGGGACAGGTATATTTGCAGAAAGTTCCCACAGAGTTCTTTTGAAAGGCTTACTCCGCACAAAGCTCTATAAACAGAGCCTTTTCCAATTTCCTTACTTGGAAGCTTATTGCCTCACCTCGATAGCTTACCTTGTCTCAGTATCTTACGACCAACTCCTGCTACTCATCACCTCCATTAGTTACTCCAGGGAAGCCAAGGTCCCCAATAATTCTGATGAAGATACAAAGTGAGCAGCAGAATTCTGCTGTCTCACACCTTGATCTTGGATTATTTAAGTCTCTAAAAGCATTCTTTGTTTTCCAGCCTTTTCCTAATAATCCTTGTGTATCTATGATGATGAGAATGATAAGAGCAAAACCCTAGCAGCCCCAATCCACAGGCTTTTGGAGAATCATAGAAATGAACAGGGGCAGGGCTGGCTCTGTGGCATAGTACGTTAATCTACTGCATGCAGCACTAGCACCCCCATATGAGCACCACTTTGAGTCCCAGCTGCTACACTTCCAACCCAGTTCCCTGCTTATGGCCTGGGAAAGCACCAGATGAATATGCAACTTCTTGGGTCCCTGCATCCATGCAGGAGAACAACAAAAAGCTCCTGGTTTCTGCCTGGCTGATCCAGGTCTGGATATTTGCACATACTTCCTTTCTCTCTCTTAGTCTCTAACTCTTGACTTTTAGATGACATAAATCTTAAAAACAAATCAACAAATAAAAAAAGAAAGTGAATAGGGCAAGATTAGTTACCTAACAGTTCACTGTTCAATCCTTGTAACCAAGGAACCAAAAAAAGCAAACTTTTAACCATTTGTGGTGGGAGTGTGAGTCTCTAAATAACTTGTTGATGGGAAACCTTGAGAGGCATACAGGTTTGCTCCTGAAAGATTAAGCCTGTGGGGTTACCACCTCTGCCATCAGGTGCTAGAGGGAGGAATCTGGGACAAGATTTCAGCCTCTTAGTCTTTCCTCCACTCACTGCACAGTAACACTTCAAGTGTAAATTAATGAGGATCAAAAAAGAGCCAGGAGGACAAACTTACCTGTACTAAGTCATACCCATCCTTGGGCAATGGTTTTGGTGGTCCAGAATACCGGCAATTGTACCTCTTATCTCCGGAGGCAATGCCACACTCTCCATACCAAACACAGGACTGGGGAAGCACCTGCGGAAGCCAACAAGGGATTACCAGGACTCAAGGAAAAAGCCAATGTCAACAACAAAAAGCAGTCACTCAAGCACCACTCAGAATCCCCCAAAGTCATCTGCAAATCAAAAAAACAGCTACAGGCAATGCTTTGAAAACTCTGCCTAAAGGAATTTGTCAAGCCAGTTAAGTAGGTAATACAAGTCACTTATTTTACATGATTTCTACTTACTGCCTGTTTATTTATTAAGAGATGGCTCTTTAAAGTATCACTAAAAGCCTATATGGAGGGGAAAAAAGCAAGATAACTTTACTTTTTGCATATCTATATAAGAAACTCTACAAGCTCTATACAATGAAAGACTATTTCCATATTTAGGTTAATTCATACAGGCATACTGTAATAGGAAGAACAAAACCACAACATCAATAACCTTACAGAAGGAAGAGAATCAAAGAACATGACTTGTTCTCAGGTCCTAAGGACAGAACAAGCAATGTGCTAACTACAGGGGAATTCACCTTAGCAATCTTGAAGGAAAATTCTAAAATCTCTTAGTGCGAATTTCTCAAGAGCCACTCATACTTCCCATGTGAGAGTCATGAGTTGTCAGAAAACTCAGAAGGGGGAGGGTTTCCCATGAATCATCAAGCCAGCATCCTCCTCCAAGGGGTGTAGCCCCGGCCACCCAATCCTCTATACCACAGCTGACTCATGAAGCTGCTCTGCTGTCAGTGCGCGGGCACTGCCGTCTCCCAGGACACAGCAGGCAGCAAGAAGCAAACAGGACTCCCAGAAGAGGGCAACAGTAACGATGGCACATGACCCACATAACCAGGAGCCAAGTCAGTCTGTGTTGATGATGAGCATCAAAATTCACACCCCAATAAGACAGAGGGAAGGAGAGAGAGAGAGAGAAAGAAACAAAACCAGGCAGGGCTGGGGCTGTCTATGTGTGTCTGGGGACAGGAGGGGGAATCCAAAGAACCAGTGTAACTTGGATGAGATTCATTCTTCAGACGTTCTGAAGTAACAGTTACCTTCTCATGACTCAAGAAAAACCCTGCCTTTCAGTCACAGGGAGTGAAATTTCACAAATGAGGAAGTGACAAAGACCTATACCATTCCTCTGGCCAGAAGCTATAAAATTGCACCACTGTTTTTATATAAAGAGAATCCAAAATGTAATTTCCATAAACGCAGCCATTCTAAGAAGATTCCAATTCTGGGTTTCTAAATCAAAGTTACAATGACCTAACTCAAGGCGCAAGCTGATTACAGAGGTGAGAGAAACTGCTTGTGTTTCTGTGCAAGACTCCCGGTGGCGTTCCTGAGGGACGGCAGGCCCCGACGTCTCCCTTCAGGGCACTCGGGCTAGACCCGAGCAGGAGCGCCAGCATTGGAAGGAAAATGGTTTAGGCCAACTAAACTGAGTGAACTTCATGTGAGCAAAACAAGAACAATTCACACACCAGGCATCTCCATGAACCAGAGCGGGTTCCCTGATCACACAGCACTGTAGAACAAAGTGAGGCATAAACAACTGAAGTGGCCACAGCTTAGTCCATCAGTGGCCACACACTAACAGGTTAGTTTGTTAGCTGGTTATGGGGTGTCCGTCTGAACACCATACTGGATGGATGGGCCCAGTACAGGTGTCCTGGTCAAGCCTGTGGCCCTCCTCTGAAGCTACCACACAGCTGACATCTCGGAAACAAGTCACAGCCCTGGCAGGACCAATCCGATGGCCATCTACAGCCTACAGCCCTGACTCAGCACTTGCCACTCCAAGGCAAATGGAGAGGAGTTGAGGCTGCTCCAGTTCCTTTTCATCAAGATTATCCTTTCTAATTTACTCCAAAATTTATTCCAAAGCAAAAATGCTGGTCCTGCCCATCAGCTGGGAGGAGGGCGCACACAGGGCAGTCAGGAGTCCTGGGTTCCTGTCCTGAGAACTCACAAGGCCTTGGTAACGGGCTTGTTGAGCCCTGGCATACCTGGGTTTGCACCTGACTCACACCGGACAGGTGTTTTCCCTCCCTAGGAAATGAAGCTCAGTATCTCACAGATCTGGTGTGAAGAGCGGAGAGGGTATATATGAAAGCATAGAGTGAAGTCCTCAGGAGAGGACACAGTACAACACAGTCAAACCTCACTCAATATTAGCAATGCCTTCCACCTGCCTGGGACTTCAGCAAAGGTTCCAGGGACCTGAAGAAAATAAAAACCTGAGACCTCTTTGGGCCCAGGAAACAGGCTTGACCCAGTGCTCTTGGGTTTGCTTCCCCCATGAACCATGCTGCTTAAATTAGCAGTAGCAACCTGAGCTAGGAAGGGTGAGGGGGAAGGGGCAGCCAAAAGTACCTACAAGGCCCTCAGTGTGTGCCAGGAACCCTTTCCAATGTTCTTCACACATTAAGTAATCTCAACAATAGCCTGATGTGGGAGGTGCTGTTAAAATGCCCATTTTAAAGAAGTGGAAACTGCCACACTGAAAATGTTGAATAACTTGTTTAGGATTACACAAAGCCAGGCAGGATTCAAACTGGGATGTTTTGGCTCCAGGAAAAAAACCTCTACAAAAACCTCCTCAAAAGCAAAACTAACGCCCTCCTTCTAGCATTAGACTCTCCATGGCCTTTACCTTGTGCAAGGGCCAAGCACTCACAGAGCAGAGCAAACCGGAAGCCTCCTTTCCCTCAAATCTCAACCTTCACCTCCTCTCTGTTCCTTGCAGCTGAGGAAGCAGGGCTCCACTTCCTCAGGGACCTGCACCATCTCATCTCTTTCAACCTCCTCTCCTTGGCTCCTGCACCCAACCACAAACTCTTGCCCTAGTGTCACTGGTCGGGGGGCCCTTTTGCCAGTATGCTTCCGGCCTGCTACACAGCAGGCTTTGGTACCCTACAGGGGACTCAGAGACCTCCTCTGTCACCAACACCTTTCAACAGATTCTTCAGACTCATCTTTCCCTGCTGGCCTTTGGCCTGTGCTCGGGAAGGCACTTAGTCTTCTCCCCTTTCATCTGACTGAGGCTTGCATGGCTTTGGTGCACAGCTACCATTTGGCGCTTCCAGATACTGGCCCAGGTGCTGGCCTGGTGCTCCGAAGCCTTCAACCCATACCTCCCCCTGCCTGGGAGATAAGCTATAGGAGTCCTGCCCTGGCTCTGTCCACATTCCAAAATGTTCCAAAGCAAACACTCTCACTTCCTACTCTTCTTCCCACGCTAAGTAGAACCTGCCTGTCCTGCACTGGTCATGCAGGTCCACCCTCCCTCCCCCACAATCCTTATACCAGGAACACCTGCCCAGGCCACCCTCAAGCCACCATCTCTCCACATCTTGCTGACACATGCCAAGCACCATCTTTCTCCCCAAGTTCCCACCACACATTCTGTCCCTAGGAGTTCAACCATCGCCCTCATCTCCTCCCCTTAGCAGCCCACAGTATCTCATACAACCCTCAGAACAGATCTGAGAGGCTGGAGCTAAAGTTTTACATTAGGAAACACAATCAAGCAAGTTAACTGATGCACATAACACAGGGAAGAGCCACATGCCACCCGTGGCCGGCCTGGTGGGGACCAGAGCTCTTACTTTGTGGTCCAGTGGGCGTGGGTGTGGGCGTGGGCAGACAGGGCCGGGCTGTGCTCATACCTGTATCCCACACAGAATCCAGCTGGCATTCCCAGGACTGGACTTGCAGTTTGAGAAGCACAACACAGTGGGTGGCTGAATTTTGTGTTGTAAGATCCTCTGGACTGCCAGAGCAGTACATACCGATGCCAAGGCCAAGGGTACCCCATGCAAACAAAGCACACGATTTCTAAGCTTTAAAGTGCCTGGCCAAAAGCTGCCTTTATACAACACAAGAACACAGCTTGGACTAATTTCACTTCAGAAATATCCAATGGGGAAAGGAAGCATCACACAGACTTGAAAACCATGTGTGACATTTGTCACAGCCAAAAGTGCACTGGATCAAAATGCAAGCTCAGTTCTGGAGATGGATGGTGGTGTTGGCTGCACATGACATGACTGATATGATGTTACTGAGCATGGTTAAATGGATTCTATGTCATACCTCTAGGGATACTGTAAAAAGGTCATGGAAAAACAAACCTCAAAGTCAAGTTTGGGGGCAGGTGTCAGGTACAGTAGGTTAAGCAGCTGTTTGGAGTGCCTATGTTTCCTACTGGAGTGCCAGGTTTGTGTGCAGGTAGGTGGCTCTGCTTCTGATCCATCTTCTTGTTACCGTGTTAACTGGTGATGGTTCAAGTACTTGGGTGTCCAGCACTCATACAGGGGACAGGTGAGAGTTCCAGGCTTCTGGCTTTGGCCTGACTCAGGCTGTTGCAGGCATTTGAGGAGTGAAATCAGTGGATGGAAAGTGTGTCTCTCTCTCTCTGCTCTGCTTTTCAAATAAACAAAAACATCTATTTTTAAAAGATAAGTTCATTTTGGTTAAAAATGTTTTGAGGCCCGGCGCGGTGGCGCAAGTGGTTAAGTCCTCGCCTTGCAACCCCGGGATCCCATATGGGCGCCGGTTCTGGTCCCGGCAGCCCCGCTTCCCTTCCAGCTCCCTGCTTGTGGCCTGGGAAAGCAGTGGAGGACGGCCCAAAGCTTTGGGAACCTGCACCCGTGCGGGAGACCCGGAAGAGGCTCCTGGCTTCGGATCGGCATAGTATCGGCCCGTTGCGCTCACTTGGGGAGTGAATCATCGGACGGAAGATCTTCCTCTCTCTCTCTCCTCTCTCTGTACATCCGCCTTTCCAATGAAAAAATAATAAAAATAAATCTTTAAAAAAAAAAAAAAAAAAATGTTTTGAAACCAAAGCATAGTTGTTGTTTTTTCCCCCCAAAAAAGGAGGAGCTGGCACCGTGGCGTAGTAAGCTCAGCCTCCACATCCCACCTGGGTACCACCACTGGTTTGTGTCCTGGCCACTTCACTTCTGATCCGCCTCCATGCTAACATGCCTGGGAAAGCAACAGAAGATGGCCCAGGTCCTTGGAC